TATTTATATCAACTTTATCAAAAGCCATACTAGTATCAAGATACTAGTTTATGATTTCATGATCGGACCATTATAGAATTATGGTTGAACCGATCATGAAAAAATTTAGATATTTTAAATAATATATACTTAAAATAAAAAAATATTCATAATAATAAAAATAAATATTTCAATCTAGAGAAAAGTAATATATGGTAAAAAAAAAAGGCAACATCTATAAATATTCATTGTCCTCATCCAAGATTTATATACTTATTTTATAATTTATAATTTTAAACTATATATGTTTATACATATTTCGTGCATGTTTTTTTTTCCTTCAATCTTACTCTCTCTGGATCAAAATATGGAATATTAGTAACTAATTTATGGTTTTTAAAAAATATTACTTGAAATTTTAATTTCTTAAAAAAATTACATCTTTTCAATCTTATCTTTATTAAATATCATATATAAGTACTTTAATAATGATAATTAAAATTTTAATGCATAATTTTTTAAAAAAACATAATAAATAAAGTAGAGATATAGTTGAAAAAATAATTATAAATTTTTTTTAATATCTTGTATTTTAGACTAAGTAAAATTTTTAAAAAATGCAATATATTGTGGTTTAGAGGAAATATTTGGTATAGAGAAACATAAACTGTTGCTTAGAAATATGAATAAAAATTTTAATAAATAAATGTGACTAATTCAAAGCTAATTCAACGAATTCTCAAATCTCTCAATCGTCTCCTATCTTTGACACAGACATTGGATCGGTTTTTATTCAGAGCGACTGGTTGTATTTGATTCTTAGAAATTAAAATATTAAGTTTTACTAATTTTTTGAAAGATGTTTATTTTAATATGAATCTACTACTCTTTCTATGTATCTTGGCGCAAAAAATTAAAAAAATAAAAAAATCTTTCCATATACCGAGAAATTAATGTGTCAATGTTTGTTGCCTTTCTCAATGTATTCCCCCATGTCTTCAACATCGACTTACCATGAGAGACGCAAACAGACACGGCTTAGCCTTTAGGGACAACGTTGAAAATATTACTATAAATTATAAAATTTAATCCTTTGAGGACTTGAACTCTTTTTCTTTTTCCATGTTGCTGTTTTTAACTTGGTATTTTCTTCGAAGTTGACAGAACTTCAATCAATGGTCAAATAAATTTAACGTGATTTTTATACACAAAATTAGAACCCATGCAATTTGTAAGAAAAATCGAATTATTTTCACTTTATTAACCATAATTTTTTTAAAAGTTTTCTTGGGTTATGTTTTCTTTTTATATTTTTAATACAAAATCATTGAAAACGTGCAGGAAAAAATCAATTCACACTAGAATAAATAACACTTCTGCATCTTAAAGTGAGTCGACAAAAGTTGAAAACTCTAAATTGTGGTTTGAAGCATCCCGGCCAACCAATTCGCTGTATATTTACATGCAGTGGCGGGTCAGGACCCCATGTCAGGAAGTATAGATTAATTTTAAAAATAATAATTTAAAAAGAATTATTTAATATTTTTTAAAATAATCATATATTTTATAATTGTTCCCTAATTATTATCAAATGCTATTAAAAATATTTCCTTTCATATAAGTCACTAATTTATGATATTATTTATATATAAAAATATATAATAATTAACCAGAGATTTAAAAAATTAAATAAATAAGTATATTTTTTTTTAAAAATCATGTTGGAGTTTTAAATTTAATGAATTCATAATCGAACTTAAGTTAAAATATTCACCCAAAAAAACCTAATTTTTAAAGGGTTTAAAATTTTGTGACTAAAAAAAATAAAATAATAAAATATTTATTATTTATTTGTAATTTTTTTTAAATTGAGGGAGTGCACATGCTCCCCTTCAAATACATGCGGCTCTGTTACTGTTCACATGGGTTATGTTCCCCCCACGGCAGCGGGTACTGAAAGCAGAGGCTCCTAGTCGCGGGTTCACCACGCTGCTTGGGAAACGTGAGCACCAAGCCACCAATGCTTCACAGTGGAATTTTCCCATGATAGGGTTTTATTGGCCATTTCCTGGATTAAGGAATGTACTAAGAAATATTAGACATCCAATAGTGCAGATAATAAGTTAAAAGATTCAACAATTAACACTATCGACCAACGGACTAAAAAATAATTATATAGTAATAATAAAATTTTATTAAAATATGTAAATAATAACAATCAAATCTACCGAAATGTAACAATTGCTTTGAAATCCTTGAATACCTTTTTTATATTAATAATTTAGATTAAATAATAAAATTTCTCCTTATGTAAAATAAAAATAATGGGATTTGGCTTTATTCTTTTAATCACAAACTTTGTTCATTGAATTATAAAAATTGGACAATAAATTACAACTTTTTATGTAAAGTTTCTTTTATGGTTCATAAATAAGTTTTGAAAAAAATTAATTTCAATCACAACTTTGATTTAGTAAATCATAAGAGTTGAACAATAAATCATAAATTCTCACAAAAGAATTCTCACATAAAATGCCTTTTGTTATTGAAATCCAAATTTTAAAAATAACGAATTACAATCTTATTAAACAATCACAATTTTTATTATGTGAATAGCAATAATTGAATAGAAAATTACAGCCTTTCATGTAAAATTTCTTTTATTACTAAAATTCAAGTTTTAAAAATAATAAGTTGCAACTTTTATTTAAATAATCATAACTTTTATTTTATAAATTACGATAATTAAATATGAAATCACAAATTTTCACGTGAGCTCATTGTTTTTTATTTCAAATAAGAGACAATTTAGTCATTTAACTTAAAATTATTAATGTTAGAAATACACCTAAAAATTTTAAAGGAATTATGGCATTTCAAGATACTTAATTTTCATTTATATATTTCTATAAAATTTTATTATCATTTTAAAAAAACTATTTTCAAATTATAAGATATTTTGGAGAGATTTGATATACAAAAATATAAAACACTTTGAAAAAAAATCAAGGTTTATTGAACAAGTTTATTCCAATCTTACCATTTTCTCTCTCTCTATTAAATTGTTAAGTTTTGACTTAAGGTTTTATTAAATTAAAGATATTTTTGAAATTTTTTAGTTTTATTTGAAAAGATAAAATTATATAACGTATTTAATGAATTTTATTGATGCGTGAAAATTTGTTCAAAAATATTTTTTAATTTAAGATAGAAGAAGTACTTTCTTTTGATGAATTTCGTGTCTTCAAAGTGTTAAAGAAATATATCTACAATAAGCTTAGAAAAAGAAAAGCAAAAGCTACTTTTTAATTTATAAGATATTTTTGAAAAATATTTGATGTTTCAAAATATAAAACACTTTGGCAAAAATCAAATTTTATTAATAATACTTTTTTAATATTACCTTCTCATTATATTCTTTTTCTTTAACATTCTTTTATAAATAGAATATTAAATGAAGAGTATTTTTAAAAATTTATACTTTTTTTGAAAAAATATTTTAAAGTATATTTAATAAGTTTTATCCATATCATTGTTTTTTTTTAATTGAGCAGTAATGTAATTCAGTTTGAGACATGATTAAATATTAAAATTAGGCAACTCTCTTATATGAGATTTAAATCCTAATTCATCATATTATAAGATGCTAACTCTTTCTATTAGACTCAATCCTCATTAATATTGATGTGCATGATTTTATTTAAAAATACTTTATAAATTAAGACGTATATTGTAATATATTGTGGTCTGTGTAGTACATGGAAATTAAGTTTAAAAGCAAAATATTAAAAAAGCAGGCCCATGAAGAGAGTATAGTGATGTCAAATTTGTCTTATTAGCACTGCTGTTATACTACATCGATTTTTACTAAATTTAGGCTATCAAATTAGAAACTTTTACTGAGAATCATAGTTTGAAAACATCTTTAAGGAAAATACTCATCGAATTGGTAAGCTACTTAATCGTATGTTCTTTTTTGGTCAACCAAAGTAATAGACTCTAGCATTTTTTCACCTTTTTTGGTGCATAAATTCTTGCATTCTAAAGGAAACGAGAAAAAACATATTAGGCAGATATTTTTTTTTTTTGGGCCATCAGGTAGAGTGATCCATTCGATCAAATTATGCATGCCAACATGTCACGAAAAATGAAATGGATATACGTTGAAGTAACATATCTAGTTGCCTGATTGAGAAATGTGTTATTTCCAGGAAATACAGACATATAATTTATTTCATTAGTGGCACAACTATCCCAAGCAATAAATGAGAAAGAAAATTTATTTTGAGGTTGAATGGAGAGGAAAATAGAAAAAATTCTTAAAAATAGTAAAAAAAATTATTATTTTTAGAATTTTCTCTTTTTAATTTTCTTTCCTCCCTATTTTTTTTCTACTTTTTTGTATATCCAAATCGAGACTTAATTCCTCATAGTAATCTTGAGTTTTGACTTTCAATGTTTTCTTTGGAATGAATTTTTTTAAATTTTTATTTTTATTTATCTTCTCTTGTTAAAAATGAACACAAAATTATTTATATAATAAAACCACATCTCATTTGATTCTTAATTTTTAATTTTTTTATTTTAACACATTTCATTTGTTTTAAAAAATAAAAGCATTCATATTTTTTTTTTACTGTCAAAATTATGTAGAGTTTAAGGAGAGAAAAAATTGAATAAAAAAATAAAATGCAGACACACATCCTGTTTTTTTTTTTTTGGTCACTTCCACTCTTAATTTTATCACGATTTACCATCAACATTATCTTTTTTTAGGAGATCAGATGGTTGGAGAATTTGGAATGGGGCCTTATGTGTGAAAAGCCTAAAGAAAAAATGGATCCATGTCGGTGGAAAACACGGGAAGGGATGACAAAACCATCATGCATACAGGAAAATAGGGGAAATAAGATTTTTTTTTCCCTTCTTTTTTAACATTTTATTTATAATATAATATAATTTTGAAATTTCAATTAACTTAAATTATAATTGAAAATTCTTATATTCGGCAAAGAGGCACTGGAAGGCGACGACCAGGAATTCAGGCTCAACTTACTTTCTGAAACCATTTTTAATGATAACAGACGCCAACATCACAACAAGAAACGAAAGATCATTCGCTTTTCCTGACTTTTGACTGAATCGAGGTTGAGGAAACGCTTGGTTTGTTGAGGTACTCAATGCTTATCGGGTTTCCTCCAATTTCTCTTTGAATTCATCTTTCTTTGATGCATATGTATACTCCATGCTTGTTACTTGAGATCTTCGATTCTACAAAACTAGTTCATTGGTTGCTTTCAAAAAGGTACGGTTTCAATGTTGGACTGACGCATTTTATTTGAATTGATGTTTTGAGCTTCACAGAGCTGGTTTTATTATTGGGTATTAACAATTCTGGAAGCACTGTTGAGCTGGATTGACCGAGTATTGATTCGCTGCAAAAGGTTGGCTCTTGTTCTACTTATTCGGTGCTAGTTTCAGGTTTATGCTTTGGGTTGTCATCGGCACAGTCAAGTGCTAGGAGTCCGCCATCCCCAACCTCAGCTGGTTGCTAAAAAAAGCTTAAAACTGACATTCAATTATGCAATCTTGACGCGTGGTTCTACCATCGTTTCCGAGTGCCAACCTGCTCGGGAATTGTTTTTTCTATAGCGTGAAAATTTTTGAGGCAAAAATTTCTGGGAAATTAAAATATGTAACTCCGGCAACTGAAACCTTTATAACATATCGTATTGTAATTTAATCAGTAATGGGCATTTTCATTAGAAGGTTGTGATAAACTCAACTTATGCTGTGAGTAAAAGGAAGTTGGGTAAATTTGAAGCATCTGCACTGACTATTAATCACCAATGTATTCTAGGTTTAAGATGGGGTGTGATTTTTCCAAGTTCTCAGCATGCTGCTCGGGTACAGAGCAAAGTGGTCCAGTTCCTGAAGGCAACATTAATGGTAGGTCTTGGTCATATGCACATCTTTTGTTCTTGTTACTACGAGAGTGCTGCAATCACGGAGTTCTGATTTCCTTTTCAGAAAATGAAGAGAATAGGGAGGCCACTGATGTGCCACCATTTCAAGAATACACAATTGATCAGCTTAGGAAAGCTACTTCTGGTTTTGCCATCGAGAATATAGTTTCTGAGCATGGGGAAAAGGCTCCAAATGTGGTTTATAAAGGGAAACTAGAAAATCAAACGCGAATTGCAGTCAAACGGTTCAATAGATCAGCCTGGCCTGATGCCCGACAATTTTTGGTAAGCATAAGTGAGTTTATGTGCCAAATTTTGGTATATTTGCTAGAGGTTTCAATGAAGATTTCTTTCACTCTTCTGCTTTTCCCAATACGATGCTTAATATTTTTTATGTTCTGCTAAGGACACCTGGAAGTCTTTTGTGTGTTGGGGAATGTCAGAATTAAACATTATTCATTTTGTATGTGCACTTGTTGCCTTTTATGCATTTGTCATTTTATCTGTAATAGGTAAATATACTATTATTTGATGGAAACCAAACCGAAAATGCTATTAAAATGATATAATTCTGCCAGAGTACAGAATCTAAGCAGAATTCCACAAGTCTGAAATTGAAAATGGAAAATAAATGACAAAACTCTGGCTCTTTGATAGGCTAGTCTCCTCCCAAATAACACTCGCTAGTTGCTTGTCTTCCCTGCCCCCATGACCTACTCTGTCTCTGTCTCTCTCTCTCTCTCTCTCTCTCTCTCACACACACACACACACACAAAACCCCCTATCACAAAGTGCATGAGTTAATTACCAGCCCTGCCCATCACTTACAACTACAAGCCCAACATTTCCCGACCCTTGAAGTTTCAACTTGCCTTCAAGGTGGGAAGTCAAAATTCAAACCCATGGCAGACCGTTCTCTTCAAATGCCCTCACAAAATTATAGGAGAACTTAAGTTCAAGAGCTGCAACTTCTCCTAGATCAGAACAATGTTCTCCACCCCATGCTGTATAACAACCAAAATTCGAGTAACCAGACACTCATATTAACTTCCCAAGACTTGATTTTGTCCTGTTAACTCTTCCTCAAGGTGATCAAAATCCCACAGGCATGGTTCTCGAATATAAAAGTAAGTTAATCATTACACCCTTTGAACTACGCTCCTGTTACACCTTGCTAATTTCTGAAATTGCAAAATTGTTTCAGGAAACCCACTGGCCCCCCTTAAAAGCCTCTTCTTCATCATCTTCAATAAGTGTTAGTAAAGAAGGCACGCTAAGTAAACTTCTTGAACCAGGTGCATTACTATCCTCCTGCTTTGTCAAAAAGGAAGCCCGTATCACCAATCGAATGATTACCATGAGAGGGTATAACATTATATGACCTTTTATTAGCTCAAAAAATAAGATTGAAATCAAAGGTACGTGCAAACTGATGCTAACATAGCAGCCATTACAACTATCACTAATCGACCAACTATAAGCTTATAAGCCATGCAAAAAATTGTTACAATAAATTGGCACCTGTTAATTGGGTCAACAGCAGAACTCTAGTGAATGAAGCCCCTTTCTCAATATGTGGAACTTTAGTAAAGCTTCAATATAGTCTTCCAAATTGGTGAAATCCGGCTGCAACAGTAAAAATTGGTCTGGTCTCCCTTTCCTCAATACTTGTGAGCTCAATCTGCAAATCTGTTGCACCATTAATGTCAAGGTGATTTGAAGTATCACAAGAAATTGTTGCATATTTCATTGATTTGTCTGAAGGCTTGAGCTCCTGCTTATAGCTGCTCATAGATTTTATTGCGATAAACCACACAGGTAACATTACATTGGCCCTTATCAAAATTGGATGTAACCCAGCATTCAACCCTGGATCAAAATCAATAAAATAGGCGGCATTTCTCATACCATCATGGATTTTGCTAGGCACTGCCAGATGCCCTCTTTCCCCAAATGACAGTTTTTGCAATTCGACAGCAACTTCTACGAGATCCCTGAAATTGCAAGAGCTATCCCAAGTTACTCTCACATTCAAAAATGGAAAATAAGCAGGCTCTCTAGCACTTCGAGAGGCTAGTCTCTCCCAAATAACACTCACTAGTTGCTTGCCTCTCTTCTGTCTCCATGACCTAAATTATATGCCTCTCTCTCACACACACTTGTACCCCTCACTAGCCCATGGGTTAGTTAGCAGCCCAGTCTTTCAGTTAAAAGTCCAAAATTTGAAACTTTAATATGCTGAAAAATGTTGGAGATTATTGTAAAGGTTTTCCATAAGATAGCTTATGCCATGGAGATGAATGGAATCCTTGACATATTTGCAGAGCTTCTAAGAGTTCAATTATTGCAATACCTGTTTCTCTTGGTCATTTCCATGTAAGTTATGGTGAACTTGTGCGCTGTCTGCACTTAAATCCCAATAGGCCTTCATGTGAAGGGTGTGTAAAAGATTATAATAAAACTATAAATGAGAAAACGTAGCTCATTTGAAACAGATTGGAAATCAGAAGGATTCCAGTGTTTACCTTTGAACTAGATTCTTCATGCCAGGGAACTTACAAAGTACAGCAATCAGTATAAACTGCTTTATTATATCTTGAAGAAACAACGTAATATCTTGAAGAAACAACATAGATATCCCAATAAAATTTTCCGCCACCATGACATGATTATTCATAAAATTCATATACCTGCACATTTGAATTTATTTAAACTAATGATTTACCAACTACAACTGGATGAAAGAAGGTAAACCTGATAATCAGTATGCAGGTTTCTCTTTGAGTTTCCTGGAGCATCTTCAGATTTTTTTTTTTGGCCATTCAGCTGTATCATATGCAGTGCTAAACATCACATTTTCTAGTTTTTTATGTTCTGACTTTTGGAAAATTATATTTCCTTTTCCTTTTCCATTTAAAATATGGGTATAGGGGTGATACTTGTTCTCAAACTAGGAAGCATCTGTGATTTAATAAGAAAAAGTAATGTTCAAAGTACTTGACTTGATTTATGGCTTTGATGGTTTACATTTTACACATAGGGCCTCTTGAATTGTTTTCACCATTTTGGATTTTTCTTTTCCACATGACAGACAATTTGGTCAGAGCGTGGCTTTCATTATTCCTTCTTTTAGCAACCTTTTTTATTTTACATCCCTTCAGGAAGAAGCCAGGGCTGTTGGACATCTAAGGAACGAAAGACTGGCAAATCTTCTTGGATGCTGCAATGATGGTGATGAGAGGTTACTTGTTGCAGAATATATGCCTAATGATACTTTGGCAAAGCACTTGTTCCACTGTAAGTGCGCAACTAGCAACAAATTCTGCTTCTTTGCAGTAGACTATGGATTTTTTATTTCATTTTAAATACAGTTACTATCTATCCAATGACCTGTAGAAACCTGGTTTCACCAAGGCATAATTTATGGGAACATTCATTGCCAGGGTAAAAATATATTTACATTTTGATTTCTGCAATCTTATGTTCCTATCAATCTTTGTAATTCTATCATATGTATAAATTGTAGCTATGATTCTTTTGTGTGGCGCTACCTAGTTAAATGCAGTTCACTAACCTTACCGAACACTTATTTACTTGATTATACAGGGGAAAATAAGCCCATGAAATGGGCAATGCGACTGAGAGTTGCTTTATCCCTTGCCCAAGCGCTAGAATATTGTGCGAGCAAAGGGCGCACTCTATATCATGATCTAAATGCTTATAGAGTACTTTTTGACGATGTAAGTTCATTTCCTATAATATCACGAAATCCTGTTATAGTTGGAGCACACTTTGTTTGCAATTTATGCTTTATAACTAAGTCCAATTGCCTTTTAATATATAAACAATCTTCAACACATCATATTCAGTATGCAATCTCATTGATGCAATTATGAAAGCTGTTACAGCAGTTAAAAGGATGTTATATATTAATTCCAATTAATGCTATCTCAAAAAGTTGGTGAAAATGACCAACATCAAACATATAAGGAGCAGGCTGAGTTCTCATTGATGGTTTGTTGGGATAGGGATGATTTGAATTATTAGGTTGTAAATCAAGAAAGACCATTTTGGAGGAAGGGGATGTCTACTTTTCAAATGTATTACTGTAAAGTTGGTTCTGGAGTTTTTGAAAGGTTGTAGGGTAGAATCCTTGAAAAATTGAATTTGGGTTTTAAGTGGAAGAGTTTGTAAACATGTCTGATCAAGAAATAATTCTGTAGTAAGATAAATTAACAAAAATGATCGGATATAGAAGAGGCATGGTCTAGGATTTGTACTCTATAACCTCTAAGCAAGATGAGAACTCTAAATTAAAAGAAATAAACAAAGGGGGCTAAGACCCAGTCCCAGATGACTTTTTCTAGGCAAGGACTACTGAAATTATCTAAACACTGCAAATAAAGAAGGCTGAATCATTTTTATTACACAAATAACATGTTTTAGGACATAGGAATCACTATTGTGATTTATGAAAAGATTGCATTTATACCTCAGACTATATTGGGCCAGCTTCCCCCCCCCCCCAATTTCATAGCCCTTAAAGAATGGGTAAGCATACAAGATCAGGGAAGAAAGTAAGTGGCAATATACTAGATTAAGAAGCAAGGGAAGAGTATGCTATTGTGGGTGAAACTGCCTAGACTTTTGTTTTTCAAGCCCTTAACAGTTAGTGCTGACTATCCTCATGCTCTGTTATTGTTTTTCAGGAAGGAAATCCTAGACTCTCATGTTTTGGTTTGATGAAAAACAGTCGAGATGGTAAAAGTTATAGTACAAACCTGGCATTTACTCCACCTGAGTATTTAAGGACAGGTTATCCCTTAAACTTGTTCAACACATATTTTTATTATTTGATATCCCATGTCTGTGTGGTCGTTGAAATTTGAGACCATGTTATTTAGAGTTGTCTTGCTAAGATTCTTATTTTATTCTAAGATTAAGTCGCTAAATTTTGTTCTTAGGTCAATTTGATGCTTTCATGTTTTTCTTCTCTAAGCTTTCAGTCACATGCTATTTCTATGGATATTCAGCCTATGTTAAAAAAATAATAATAATACTCAAGTGCTGAGAGCTGTGATGACTCATTATCATTATTTGGCACCATCTTTTATTTCATTACTTTAAAACATGATGGCAAGTGTTTTTTTGTCTCCTGGTCATGCAGGCAGAGTTACTCCTGAGAGCGTAACATATAGTTTTGGAACCCTTTTACTTGACCTTCTCAGTGGAAAACACATTCCTCCAAGCCATGTAAGTTTCTTTCCTTGATAGATGATTCTGTATTCCAAGCAATTGCACCTTACCTTAAGTTTCTTACCTATCCTCTGACTGTAATAAGCTCCTCTTTTTTTTTTTGTAATTATTGATTTCTTCTTCCCCTTTATGTGGCTAAAATTATTCTGTTGGGAACGTCAACGTTATTTGTTTGTAACATTGTACTCTTATGATCGAATACAATAGTTTTTAGCTCAAAGTCAAAGCAATGAGTTCTGATGTTAATTAAGCTGTGCATCTGACAGTTAATTTCATATTGCTTTAGGCTCTTGACCTGATTCGAGACAGGAACCTTCAGACGTTGACAGATTCTTGTTTAGAAGGACAATTTTCAAGTGATGAGGGGACTGAATTAGTGCGCTTAGCCTCACGATGTTTACAATCAGAACCCCGGGAGCGTCCTTATCCAAAGTCATTGGTTTCTGCTTTAATACCTCTACAGAAAGATTCTGAGGTTAATTGTCTTATAAGTGGTTCATTGTATTATGTATTTTTTGAAAAATTATTCATCTTCCATTGTCAACAGTTTAGTTTGGCAAGCCATTGGCTTTGATCTTTGCTGAGAATTTAAACATATTCTAGTAAGCTGGAATGAACTTGTATATCATTTTCCAGGTTCCTTCTCATGTTTTGATGGGTATACCACATGGCACAAATGCTTTACCCCTTTCACCATTTGGTGAGGCATGTCTAAGAATGGATTTGACTGCCATACATGAGGTCCTTGAAAAACTCGGGTATAAAGATGACGAGGGTGCTGCTACTGAGGTTTGTTTCTTATGAGTAAATTGTCGAGTGTGATTCTATGCTCATGATAAATCATTGAAATCTTCTTATACCTTGTTATCATCTTCATTCTTCCCTTTGAAGAAATGTATCCCTAGATTTTGATGTCAATGCAAGTTCGCTTTTGTTATTTTATGTGAAGCCTTATTCATAATTTTTTTTTTTTGATAATCAGCGTTATTATAATATTATTTATATTGGGCTTAGTATGGTGTATATATATTTGGTATGGCATTAAGAGGTAAAGCGTAAATCTTGATTTATTCTATATTTTGATGATTGTCATGTATTCTGTAAATGTGTCTGATGGTTACTTGATAGTATGGGATATCAAGTCGTACATTGGGCAATTTGGAATGTTCGATGGGATATTTAAATGTATTGATTATCAATGTCTAGTAGAAATAAACGAAAGGATTTTAGCATTACATACCTTCCAAAGTTTGGATATAATGCAACATGGCTTGAATTGAATATGAAGTTCACATCTATGTTTTCATTATTGTCCTGATTTTCCAGGTATAATGGCTGATCCACTCTTTTTTTGAAAAAAAAAACAAAAAAATTATGCAGCTTTCATTCCAAATGTGGACCAACCAGATGCAGGAAACATTGAACTCAAAGAAGAAAGGTGATTCTGCTTTTCGTCATAAGGACTTAAAAGCTGCAATCGATGGCTATACTCAGGTTTGTTAGTTTCATAGCTCTTAAGTTGCTTATATCCTAGAATATAAATGAACATCCTGTCTTCCTGAGTAGAAAATGGAACAGTATGTTTATGGCTATATTCTGGTTGAGTATTTATACTGCTCCAATTGTCACATATGTTTATAACAAGATTTTATCCCCTGGTGTAGCCTGATAAAGAATATATATTACCTCCGTTTCAAATATGAGACACTTTTACCTAAAAGATACAAAACCAAGAACAATAGTTGGTAGTTAAGATCAGGTTTTTCCAACATTTTTAGCACTACCAATCATTAATTATTTGTTTGGTAGGAGGTAACTAATTTTAATATACTTTTAGGAGCATTTTAGGTAAAAAGTTATTAATTGCTCTTAGAATTCCGTAAAATGCCTTATTTATTAAACATAGGATTTTACAAAGCATGCCTTATATTTGAAACAGAGGGAGTATATATATATATATATATATAAAACCTGGCAACAAAGTTGGACAGGCAAGATGAAGCGTATAAAGAGATAGTGAGATCTAATGGGTTATAATCTGAAGATACTATATATGTTTTTGGTCCGAATCGGTTACAATATGCAGTTGATGGCTTTGTTGTGCAATGCATGCAGTTCGTTGATGTTGGAACTATGGTTTCTCCGACTGTATATGCACGCCGCAGTCTGTCTTATCTCATGAACAATATGCCAGAAGAAGCGCTGAAGGATGCATTGCAGGCACAAATAATTTCTCCTGTCTGGTATATTGCTTCCTACTTACAAGCCGTGGCGCTTCTTGCACTGGGCAGGGAGAGTGAGGCCCAGGTGGCGCTTAAAGAGGCTTCTTCGCTTGAAAGTAAAAGGAACACAAATTAATCGACATTAGTAGCCAGATCTCGTTCGCTCAACCAAAATAAATATATAAAAAAAAAGGAGAAAAAGGCCAGATTTTCATCCCAAAAAAGGGGGAAAAATCAACATCTTATTTTTCCTTTCCCGAAAGACAATTTTCATAGAGCACGGGATGGTGTCTACAGTGTCCGGGCAAATTCCCAGTTCCTTATCGGCAAGTTGTCGCGTGCATAGAGCGGTTTATACTTCCTTGTGCACGAATGGTTCATTGGTTGGCAAGAATTCTTTTGCACAGACTGAGTTTCTGCAGAAAATATACAAATTACTTTGCGCAAGGTTTTCTGTTGCATGCTCAGAAAGGGAAAAAGATGTTTTCTTTTGTTGCAGTTTAATTTCGTATTCCAGTACATAGGTTTAGGGACTATTTTGAGAACTTCTGGAAGAGTTTGTTTGTAAAGGATTCGTCCGTTAGCTTAAGTATGCAGTTGTTTGTGCTTGTATTTATGTACAGAGCAATCGGTTGTGGCTGGCATTGTTGGTCTGAAATAGGTTTTGTATGTTATTGATTCTGCATCTAATAAAAAAATTTCAGTTTCACTCCCTGGTTTCGCTCGTGTTTTCATTTGATCATAAAATAGTTGTTAATGAAATAAAAAAAATTCACGCACGAACCAAAAGAGGACTATAAAATAGTTGCGTTTGACAGTTGATTAGTCAAAGCATAATTTCTGATATTTTAATAATAAGCTATTTTTCCACATGCACCGTGCAGCAATGGGTGGGAGATAATAATTAAATTATTTTCATAGTTGTAACTTGTAATATATAATTTTTTTACTGTTAAATCCTATGGTGTGCTTAAAAAAAGAACTTACCGAAATACGAGGGAAAATATTAAATATTAATATAATGAAAAATTCACGCACAAACCAAAAGAGGAGCTGAATCTCTCCCTCTCTCTCTCTCTCTCTCCCCCTCTCCCTCTCCAGTGTTTAAGTGAGTGAGGCTCTAAGGATTCATCAAGACTAAGGTAGGCTTTCAAACTCAAAATATTTATAAAAATACTTATAAATTGTTAACCAATAAAATTTTTACATTAGTAATGAAATTTGATTTCATGATATTGTGATGAGTTAAATTTTTATTAATTGAATGAGTATTTGATTTTTGTCTTATTAACAAAAAGCGTTCATCCTTGCCAACCAACATTTGATTTTTGCCCTTTCATGAAGTTCTATTAACCGAAAAAGGTTCATCATTCTCTCTGTTCTTTATAACTGTCATCCTCCTCTCTTGGAATGCTGGATTCATCACTCATTAGTCTAACATTCCAGAAGAAGAAAAACTTAATCATTGTTCGTTTCCTTCTTGAAGGAATGTGCTTTTTCTCTACGAGTGAGGGGATCATTTTAAAAAAAAAAAAAATCTGAGGTTGTGTGCCTTTGCATTCTGGACGGAGTGAATATGATTGTCGTAATACTCTTGACTTTGCGCTGAGCCATAGAAGTTGTTTTCGAAGGAAAAGAGGAGATTAGCAGGGGGCTTGTTTTTACTTCGGGCATTAGAAACTCCATTAACTGGTGATGCATCACGCAGAACATGTAATTATTATCTTATGGATAAGAGTAATCAAGTGCCCACAAATATTCCTCATCCGACGTTAATGCTCCATCTGTTGTAAAAGATATTTAATTGCAATTCCAGTCTCAAAATTCTCCCCCCTGTTGGCATTTTGAGTCAGCCTTCATTAGGTAAAAATTCCCCAAAATAAAAGGGCCCAACCGGGTTCGAACCGGTGACCTCTTGATCTGCAGTCAAATGCTCTACCACTGAGCTATGGACCCTTACTGATCAAAAGACTACTAAAAATTATTATTATTTGATATAAGATTAAACTCTTTCCCAATCTATAAAATCAGGCTATATTGTAGCACCAAGTACCAACCATCAATCGCCAAAACATGCGTTTGGTCATTTCATACACCCTCACCACTGATGGTACATATTACACGATAAAGTAGTCAACTGAATGTCCAATCCCATGGAAGGCTTTTGACAAGGTTGAAGATTGGGTTCATTATTTGTGACTAAATGGTGGGATGATTCTGCCTATAGTGTAAAATTGATTGATGAATTTGCTCGGGTGGGGTCACTACATGTAGCGGGAAGGCAATTAAAGTCGAGAATAAAGATTAAATTTAAAAGTTTTATTTAAATTATAGAAATTAATTTTTTTAAAGTAGTCGGATTGAAGATTTGATTTTGATAAGCTTTGTAAAAAAAAAACTCGAACCCGAATGACCCTTCAAGCCTTAATAAATTGAGTTATCTTATATATACATACACATGCACATATTTGATTAATAATGACACAATTTGATTAATATTTATTGTAAGTGATAAAGAAAAAATTGTATAGATAATTAACATTAAATCTCTATCTCCATCTTTTAATAAGTGGACCCACATTTGAGGAATCTAATATTTTATTTTTAAATGATGATAAGAAAGATTTAAATTTACATTAATGAAGGTTTTGATATTCATCTTAAATTTAAAATTTTAATTTTTATTAAATTTATGTTAAATTTTATGTAGGACTTTAATTTAATTTATATAGAATTTTAAAATATTAATTTTTTTTTAAAAAAAGAAGGCTTAAAAATCTTACTTTAAACTTTATAAATAAGAATCAAGTCTTAAAATTAAATTAATTTTTAAATAATTTGATTTTAAAGTTTAAGTTTTTAAAGGTAAAGCTTGCCTGTATTTTCACCCCCACCTCTAAGAAGGTTTACGTTGTCCAATTTCAAAAGGGATCCAAAGGAATATACTCAACGCCACGTGCCACTGTTGTTTTCCTTTAAATGTGTATCAGATAGGGTGGGGTTAACGTGGCCTCTCAGCTTTTATCTTTTTCAGAGGAAAATAAACAAAAAGAATAAGAGAAAATCAATGAAAATTGAACCCAATAAAAGGAGTTAGTATTCGCACCTAACGAGTTAATGTTTGAATTTTCCCTGCCTTGAATAAGATAATTTTCAATGAGAAAATACCTATACTTAATTAAAAGAAGGAATGAACGAAACAGGAAATCAAATTTTCGTTTTTTCAACTTCTGTAAACATTTTTTTTTTCCAAACAGTGGTTCAGAAAACTCTACTCGTTAGTCAGCTGTGATCTGACCAATCAGTTTAGGTGGCTTCTTATTTTTCCCCCTTCTACGAAGTACAATTGGTTTTGACTTTAGTAGATGCATCCTCTGCCACTCATCTGAATTTCGATGGCTTGTGGATGATGGCTTCCAAACATGTCACATCTCTTTTACTCCCATCTAAGTTATTATCCTAGATTGATATCTTCTCATATTATCCATATATTTACAATCAATTATTGAAGGAAAATCATGCATTGATATATATAATTCAGGCAGCTACGATGATAATTGCTTTGTCTAGTTTATCATAATTTATTTGAGTAATAATACCATCCGATTTCATATATTTAAATGAGAAAGATTTGACTATCATCCGATTAATTTTTTTTTTGCCATCATTAGCCGAATAATCATTATGCGCCTTCTAAGTTTTGCGGGGGGTTATGAAAATATAAGTAGTTGAATAACCAAGCAAAGCTGGCACATTTGTTATCTTCTAGCAAACCTCGGGCTTGTAAAGAGTTCTGACTTCTGATCAAAAAGCGCGGCACCGCTTCCCTATTTGTGTGGTCTTCGCGAGGTTTACTTCAGCGCACCAACTTCTGAATTCATCTAAAATTTTAGTTATTAATTTCTTGTTCAGATAAAGGAGATTGGTAGGTTCGTCTTGGTTGGCGAGGCTTCTTGTCTTTCTCTGTTGTTTGGGGGAAGATTATCGGCAAAGTTTTTAAAGTCAAATTGGAGTTTAATCCCTTCCAAAGTTTTGTTGCATGTGAAGTATGCTGGAAATCTGATATAAGATTATTTTTTTTCTTACAACTTGGACGATTCTTTTGAAACTTAGGGCTTATTTCATTTCATTTTGTAAGGAATACTGGTCTACTTCTAAGCTTTGTTTTGAGTTTTGGGTTATATGTATGCTTATCCTTATTGTTCATGCATGCTTGTATTTATGTTCTGGGGTTGGGTTGAGCAATTCTTTGTATGCTTGTTGACCTTCAACTACACCAGGTCTGCTGGGCTATCAGTATTTATTTATTTTGAAAGTCTTCTCTTCTTGTTGTGTGACAGATTAATTAAATCTTTGTCAAATAACGTGAATTTTATTGTGCTCGGATTTGACTCTGTTTTGATGCTAATTTCAGGAGCAATGGCTAAGAGTTACTTCAAACAGGAGCATGATCTTGGTATATACTGGTTTTTATTTGAAATCCCACCGTTATTGCTTTGGTTGCATTTGGAAAGCTGAGAAACATACAAATGAATGATTTCTTTTGTCTTCAGAGAAGAGAAGAGCTGAGGCTGCTAGGATCAGGGATAAATACCCAGACAGGATCCCGGTAAGAACTGAGAACTAATAATCATGTTTTATCTCTTGCTGATGACATCTCCTTCTATGATAGAAAACGCAACTGTAGTATAAGCACGGTGGTTATTTTATATGTTTTGCCAGATGAAGGAGCCTTTGCTTTTCAACATTTCGGCTGTCTTGTTTGAATCTTTTTTGTTTTCTTCAAACTTATTCATATGTTAGTCTATTTTCTTCTCCACGTCATGATTTGGCAGGATACCAAGCTGACCAGCACTTGAAATTATTGTTCAAAAAAATAAAATTAGGATTTAGATAGGTTGTAGCACACCCCGTAATTGGTGGAGCATCAGCACCGAATCACCTTGAGGATTTGAGCTAAACAACCTATGGTCGAGGAAGCTCAAGTCTACTGCTAAGCCAATTCTTGTTGACAAAAGAACGTCCTTTTGTTGAACAGAAACTTGGTGACCAATGCAATGTTTTAGTAATTTGTATTATTCTGCTTTCTGATTCATAAAATTGTTACGGCTTTTAGTTTTCAATGTTACGAAATCATATTCCATTTTTAGAGATAGTTTAATTTGAGGCTTCTTGCAGAAACATATACTGTCAAGGGCATAATGAGTAAACTTGTGGTTGCTTTACTTGAAATGTCACTGCCATCATACTCGTAATATTTATACTTTTGTGGTTACCTACTTACCTGTCTTTGGATTTGCTGCAGGTGATTGTGGAGAAGGCAGAGAGGAGTGATATCCCAAGCATTGACAAGAAGAAGTAAGATTGGCACTTTGATTATTTATTTTATTTCCTGCCTCGTGGCCTGTGTTTTTTCAAAAGGTAAAGTAAATGTTTATTGTGAATTTGACATTATTTGTTTCTAAACTAGAGTATATTATTATTGCTAAGAGGGACGTTATAGGCTGATGAAAGTGGATAGAGAAAGGTCTTGACTTTGAATTGCAACAACTTCACTGGATCTTCAGGCATTTCTCTCTTATTTGTCTACAAGAGGCTTAGATATTTAACTCAAGGTTGTAGCAAAGAAGAACAGAGATATAATTAGTTGTTCTGAGCTTAGTGCAAGACTATTCACATTAATTACAAGATCATCTGTCGTCAGTAAATTGGGGCTAAAATTAATGATTCTATTGTGCGTGTGCTCAATTTCATAACAGGACACAAATTCTGTCTGTAAAGCGCAACTGTTTTGTTGACAATTTATTTGTATTTGCCTATTTGGTTCTTGTATGGCTTGATGATGATGGCTGGATAGTTGATGCTTCTATTACTTAGCGAATTCTAGATTTTAAGGTAGAAATGATGCTATTTTTGTCCAACGTAGCCATTTCGAAATATCATTTCAAACTGATGGAATAAATTTGCAGGTACCTTGTCCCTGCTGACCTGACGGTTGGACAGTTTGTCTATGTCATCCGCAAAAGGATCAAGTTAAGTGCAGAAAAGGCCATTTTTATTTTTGTGGACAATGTCCTTCCCCCAACGGGTAACCTTTTTGTCAAATTACATGACTTGTCACATGTTGCAACATATATGCTATAGCTATCTAATCCTGAATCGCATTCTACATCAATTTTTCAGGTGCAATTATGTCTGCTATATATGATGAGAAGAAGGATGAAGACGGGTTCCTTTATGTCACATACAGTGGCGAGAACACCTTTGGGAATCTGACTTCTTAGTTGCACTAGTAGCTTCTATTATTTCACACTGTAATATCATCTCACGGTTTTCATTGGCTTTGTCTGATGATTCTATTATGTTACTCATTGTATCAAGAACCTTGCTTTCACAGTCATGTACAGTTGTAAATAAATTCCCAGAACATATTCAATGCTCAGATTTCCTCCTTTGCATCCAGCCTTCTATCGTATGGGTCAGTCGGTTGTGCAACCAATGTTTAATTTTGGGGGTTCCTGGACTCCACGTATATTCTAATTGATATACTCTGAACTTGAGTCCTAATGTCTAAATCAAGGGATGAGGTGGACGGATTTTGTCTTGAAAATCTGTAAGTTTTAACCTCTAGACTTGAGTATTCAATCAGAGTCCGGAGTCACGTTTTTATCTGACTTGAGTATTTTACCTGTCAGGACATGAAAAGCATGAGTTAAAAAAAAAAAAAAGGAAGAAATATCCCTGTTTATATTACCTATAATATTAATCATTATTGCAATCAGTTTATCTCTCTGTCATTTTGTTTGCAGAAAGTTTACGTAGCCACTTTCGTAGATGCATAATGATGCTTGACTGCTTAAAGCAAACCATCATGGACTACTGTCCAAAGCAAACAATACGCAAGTAACCAAATAAGTGCCCCAAAACCTGACTTCCCTTGTACAGATCACGCAATGGAAGAAAAATTTGATGAGGTGTACAGAATTCGGTGCCTCGAGTTTCTGGTAAAAAGTTAAGGGCACTAAATGGGATATTCACAAGCATTGGAGAGGTTAGACGCGAAATGATGTAGGAGGCAGTTATCCTACCAATTGGGAGAAGAGAGTACCATTGTTTTTTGTACCCAAGAGTATCTAATAATTGCTCTAGTCGGTGGTTGGCAGATCTGTAATTGCAATTAGGTGCGCCACGAACAGCAATAAACTATTTAATGCCTTAGCTAGCTCTGTCTTTGAAGCAGACTTCACTTCTCGCACTCACACTTGGAGGCCAAAATAATAATAATAATAATAATAAAAGCAGGATTTTGACGATAATAATAATAATAACAACAACTTTATTTTACCTTGTTAGAATATTCTTATTACGGAATCATATTTAGTGTGCCTAAGTTTAGTAGCATCAATAATGTATTTTTTTTAAGCAGAGTTTTAAAGTTTCAAGTAATACTATTGTTTTGAAAACAAATTATTATGGGTAAAATTTTCATTTCGATTATTTTGAGTTTCGACGCACGCTCGGACGCTCATATTCTCTCCCTGCCACAGAGAAAATAGAAAAGGAAAGGAAATCAAATCTCGCCATCACAATTCACAGCATTGCATTACAGTTTCCCAATTCTTCCATTCCCATCTCCGTCTTCTCGATCTATTCGTTCTTCTTGCAGTGAGCCAACATACAGGAACTAGATTCTGCACATCTCGATCTCGCTGCCTCCACTGTCGTCCCCGAACAACTTTTGCTGATCACTCTTCCGATATCAATAGCCATTGTTCCGAGATGAGCACCGGCGAGCTCCTTAGCATTGAACCTCTAGAACTCAAGTTTCCCTGTAAGTTTTCTCCTGGATCTATTTGTCATTTTTCTAGGGTTTTCTCATGCGCTTGTTTTAATTCTGAATTTTCGTTCATTTTTTCTTAGTTGAGTTGAAGAAGCAGATCTCATGCTCCATTCAATTGTCAAATAAGACCGAAAACTATGTGGCTTTCAAGGTAGCACAATTAGTTCTCTTTTCGTCCTTCTCAGTTATTATCTATGAATTCTTTGTTCGCGGCAGATGATTCGATTGTGAATTTTGGCTTTGCTTCTATTATAAAGCTGCCAACCGCATAAGATATCCTGAATTGAACTTAATATTAATTATTGGTGAATCAATGTGACTTCCTTTTGTTTAATGCTGCATGTCCAAAGAATAAACCATCTTCGTCATGGTGTTGTTTTAATGCATGAAAATTGAAATGTGGTCTTGATTGTCACTTGCAAGATTTGTATGCTTGAGTTTGTATTGTCCATGTCCAGGTCAAAACAACCAACCCGAAGAAATATTGTGTTCGTCCAAACACTGGAATTGTCTTGCCACGATCTACATGTGACGTTATAGGTACTAATGCGAATGTTTAAATGCACTCTCCATCCTTTTTCCCCTGTTGTTTTAATTTATGGTCAATCTATGGCCGTTGACGTTTGGCTTTTTTTAAGTTACCATGCAAGCTCAAAAAGAAGCTCCACCTGACATGCAATGCAAGGATAAATTTCTTCTTCAAAGTGTAAAAACAAATGATGGAACCAATCCGAAGGATATCAATGCAGAAATGGTATCACACAACATGCCAATTATCAAAAGAACTTACTTAGACTTGGAAGTGTTTTTCCTTTTTTCTTTTGGGATAATCTTTGTGCGAAATCACAATATTTATGTCATTGGGCCTGTCTAGTTCAATAAGGAGGCTGGCCGTGTGGTCGAGGAGTGCAAATTAAGAGTGGTGTATGTTTCTCCACCTCAACCACCATCTCCAGTTCCTGAAGGTTCTGAGGAAGGATCATCTCCCAGGGCTTCTGTGTCAGAAAATGGAAATGCCAATGGTCCTGATTTCCCCACAGTAGGTTCCTAACTTGTTCGTGGTTTTCATGTGCTCCCTTCTTCCCCATAAAAGTTCAAGGACTTCATCTTAATAAACCTTTGTTGTTGGGATACTGCAGGTAACAAAAGCATTTGCTGACCATCCTGAGGTTCAAGAAAAATCTGGAGAGGTAAAAAAAGTAAAATCTAGTGAATTCCTTGTTTGTCAATATGCATTTTTTTTTGTGGGTGTTTTTGTTACTTGACTGGCAGTAACTTACACAAACTCTATTTTTTATAGTTCCTACCCCTGGATGAAGATGCTTTGGTCTCGTAATCCTAGCTCCATTTGTTTTTCTGGTTTATTTGTTTTCATTTTCTCCAAAGGATAAGAATACTCTAAAGTAAAGTGAGATCTATAAGCTATTCCATGCATCCTTTTTCAAGTTGCCTTCTACATACTCAATATGCTGTTAAGAAGCATTCATATGCTATTTTTTCAAGCTCATTATCAAAAGGAAATTTCCTAAATGAATTTTGTATTTCAACTTTGAAGTTTTTGGACACCAGCTTTTTTCAATCGGAGATTTTTAGGCTCCAAGCTTCCTTTACTCACCCATTTTAATTAAATGGTTGTTTTAATTGGTATCAAGTTGTTTCTGCTATGTGCACATTTCTGAATTTTGTTGAACTCATTCATTCACACATTCAATATGAATGAATTTATGTGCGTGCAAAATGCATATAGAGATGCCCTTAGAAAATAAAACTTAGTTGGATGTTGATTTTTCCTTTTTAAATTTTGGTTTTTACTTGGAAGTTTCGTATATCTTTCAGATGTTTGTAACATGTTTGCTTTTTTCCGGTGACTGCCAAATGCCTCACAACTGCAAAATTCTGACATTATGTTATTTCCAATGTGGATAAAGAAGTGCATCTTGTTTTTAGACTAATTTTGCACATGAATTCACACATAAGAATCTTGTTTCGTGTTTACAAATTTAGGCATGAATATGAATGTTGTAACTTTTACGCACACTTGTGATTGTTATCATTTTCCTTTCGATTGGGGTTACATGACCCATCATTTTTCTGCTTAGAGAGTGGAGACTGCTGTCCTTTATCTGGATATTGATTTTACCAGTAATTCCCAAGGGACGGTGTGTTCCCCTGTATCAAACTTGGGTTAAGAGATTAAAAGAAGAGAAAATTAATGAGTTTCTTCTTTTTGTTTGATCACAGCCTGTGATTTTGTCTGGCATATAGGTTTTAGCGTTTGAATCATGCGACAACTTTATTTTGATGGTGATTGCTTTTGTTTCAGGCAAAAGCTCTAATCTCGAGGCTGACGGAGGAGAAGAATAATGCAGTTCAACTAAATAACAAGCTTGCCCAGGAACTGGTAAGTGATTAACAAAGTATGCAGGGTTTTAAACTAATAATCTTTATTACCTATCTGTTTGTTTATTTTTCTTTTCTTTCTGGTGACTGAAGAGAGAGCAGTAAATCTTATTTATGAGTGGAAATCTTTAGGAGTAATACCCTCCTTACATTGTTATCATAGTTCTGGACATGATTGGAAGAAAGCAGATGAAATGATATGAAGAGGGCGGTCATAATCTTTTAAACTGCTGCCCATGGATCCATGACGGAACCTGATGGTGTTTTGATTTTATTGAGTAGTTATGTTAAATCTAGTTTACTTTGCATCTCCACTAATTTGGGAAAGGCATAAATATTATTTTCTGGGGAATCCAGGTTGAAGTAAATAAATCCTGATGTTCTCCGTTAGAGGTAGAAGAATGCAACTGAGTATCAGATCTTTTGGGAACTTTAGTAGCGGGACTTGGATTGGAAAGCTAGTTATTATAATTTTTTTAAAAAAAATTAAGTGGGTGCATTGTTTTAAAAAATTCATTATAAGCTTTCTATACTGTATGACATGGCTTTACAGAAACAGGGGCATAATTATTTTCATTGCCCTGACATGTCGGTTCAGGACATGTTTTTAATGAACAAGTAAAAATTGCTGCCTCAGTCCATACATCACTCTGATTCTTGTAGTGTTACTCTGAAACTGGGAGACTCACTTTAATGATTTGCCTACCTTAGGAGCTGCTGAAGCGTGAAGTCAACAAAAGTCACGGTGGAGTTTCTATAGTGTTGGTTATCTTAATTGGTTTGCTCGGCATAATTATGGGGTATCTCATGAAGAAGACCTAAGCGTTTCTGGTGTTCAATCTTTCACCACTCATTTGCATCTCAGTTCGGTATTGTTCCTGACTGGCCAAAACGATGACAGAAGGGAAATAGATTAACCCAGCAAGTGATGTCTTTACTCTCTGTCCCCCCCCCCTCCCTTTCTCTTTATTCCTCCATGGATAACATTTTGGAATAGAAAACTTGAGGTAAAAGTTATGAATCTGTAGTTGCGCAAAGTTTTACTGTGAACCGACTCATACTTCACGTAACATGCATTCTTTTAGTAACTTGAGAAGGGAAGTTTGTTTGTTGTCTTTCATGCATGGTTAGTAACTTAAAACATGCATCTTCGGAGTGGAATTACCTTTTGGACCAGAATGTTAACAATGGCATACAGTTGCTGGACTAATTTAACCTTCTTTTGTCTAATTTGTCTTTTTTTTTTTTTTTAATGAGGAGGAAAGCTCTAATTTGTCATTTCTGTCCTTAGGACTACATTTTTCATTTTAATGCTGTTGGGTTGTAGCAAACGTATCAACTTATACAATGTGTGACTTTGGGCTCGAGAAGGGGGGAAAAAAAGACAGCTTGTGGACATCTGCTACAGCCTGAAGATCTCGAGGATACGTCAAAGGGAAACATGCTCGAATATTAATGAGCAAAGTCGCCAATTTTTTAGAAATTAATGGGCAACATACCTTTTAACTATTTCATGAATAGTATCTCAGATTTTAAATTCCATGTGTAAAATTTTTTTTCAATTTTTAAATTTTGATGATCTAAAATTTATCATTAAATAATAGAAAATGAATGTTACTTTTCAAGTTGTGGTGCCCACTCATCCACTAATGTAGCACTTATTCCTCCTGATCGTGGTTGATGTGTGAATGGGCTCCACAGCTTGAAAAGTATCCGCTGTTTTTTATCACTTAACAGTAAAATTTTAGGGGTTATAAATTTAAAAATTGATAAAAAAATTTTCACATTTTATAAATTTAAAATTTAAAATGCTATTCATGTAATAATTTGGATATATTGTTCATTGACCCATTTTTAAAATCTTCTCTTGTTTTTCTTTAATCTTGTAATTCGGACTAACATTTTCATATCAAGCTGCTGCTACTCAAAGACCTCCATGAATAATTATCTTTTTTTAGGCCTTGAAGCTGAATTTTTCAATTTTGACCAAATCTCAAGAGCCAAATTCGGAAGCACAATTTAAAAAAAAATATCATAGTTTAATGTTGTTTTTTTTAAAAAAATAATTTAATTCAACATCATAATATTTAATATTATAATTTAACTCTAAAATTTAACATAAATTAAATTAAGGTTTTACATCATTTAGAAAATAAATAAAAAATTTAAAAGTCTAAATATGTTAGTTGAAACCATCATAATTTACAACAAAGTTTCAAAACCAAAATAAATAAAGCATATTGATATAATTCTCACAGAATAAGATGAAAAATAAAAAAGCATATTAATATAATCCTCACAAAATAAAATGAGAGATCAAAATTTTTAAATCAAATTAAGATATTAAAAGCGAGCATTAAATTGAAATCTCGAACATTCATAGCTTAAAAAAAGGTGTATGTTGAAAGAGGAATTACTTGAAAGTAAAAAAGGCAAAAGGTCACAGTAATAAAAAATTGAGAGGGAGACATTAAGTCAAAAGACAAGAGGGAGAGGTGAGTCGAGAGATGGAAAGAGTCAAAGGCGAGCAGAGCAACAAGAGGGAGAGGCAAGACAACTATAGGAAAGAAGGGCATGAAGGAGAGGTTAAGTTGAGAGACGAAGAGAGCTAGAGAACTTAAAATGATCGAATGCTTATAGTTTTATCTCATTTGTCAAACGATGCTTTGTAAGATAAAAGAAACAAAAAAAGAATAAGGCTTAAAGGTCATCCGACTGAAGCCCTTTTTTAAAGGCTTATTAGAGCCAAGCTCAGATGCTCAATTACACTTAAAATTCTATATTTTTTCAAACTCAAACATTTATCTAAATAGGCCCTCTAAACCTAATCCTTATTCTAAGCTCCACTTAGAATGCGCTTGATTGATTTGCATAATGAATTAATTTATGGATTCAACATTAGATATTTTAAGTAACAGTTCCTTGTAAATTAATACTCCCTTTGATTCTATTCATAGGGCAGAGAGAGAAGTTTTTTTAGTCTTATTTGTAAGTCACTTCATTAAATTTTTATTGCAAATTTTTTCATTTGACCTCCATTAAATGTTGAAGAGTAAAAAAGCATTATTAAAATATGTATATTTAATAGGAATAAAGTTAAAAAAATTATTAAATTTCTAGATAAAGTTAATGAATTCTAAAATTTTCTTTGATTGTGATGAAATATGTTAAAAATACCTTATAAATAGGATCAGGGTAGTATTCTTTCATTACTACTTGCACGTTGCACGAAATAGGTTTACTTTTAATTTTAATTTAAAAGATTTTGATAGTAACTTAGTGCACAACTACTGAGGCCTCGTTTGTTATGACGGAAGAGTTTTTAGTGGAATCAGAATCAGAATTGGAATTGAAATCGGAATCAGAATCGGAATAAAATTGAGTTTTAAAAGAGTGTTTAGTATGTAGATGAAATTTTAATATAATATTAATTTATATATGTACTTAAAATAAGAAAAGACTAAATTACCCTTTTTTAAATTAAAAAGACCTATCTTGTTATAAATGGACAAAAAAGATGAGGATAATGGGGTTCACAAATTGAATTTAAGGGAATTGAAGCAATTCCATGATCAATATGATGGAATTAGATTATAACATTTTTGGTGGAGTTAGAATTCTTAGAAATTGCAACTTTTACATTCCAATCATGCTTAAATTAGGATTTTATCTTTGATTTTATTTTCACCTTGCCAATTCAATGCTATCAAACATGCCTGAAAGATTTAATTTGGAACCCCAAACTTAATGCACAACATTCCTGCACACAAGATTGTCTGAGCTATGTACTTGCATTGAGAGAATAAAAATGAAACCTTTGGTCCCGTTTGGCAGTTAGAACAGAGGAAAATAGAATATATGAAAAAGTTAAAACAAAATTAAATTACCGTCCTCCTCGTGATAAGAAAAAACTCAATACTATATATATCATAAATTTGAGCATTATTATATCCTTTTAAAATTTCATCAATCATAATTTTTAATTTCTTAAACTAAATTATGATTCTTCCTCATAAAAATGTTTCACTTATCTCTTCTTACACTTTCATTATCTTATTTTTTTTATTTTTTAATTCATTTAATTTCATTTATTTCTAACAATCAAATGGAACTTAAATTTAAATATTAAAAATTATTTTTTTAATTACAGAGTGACATCATGCAATTTATATAATCTATACTATTTAGTGAGATAAAATTTTTTATTGTTGTTTGTTATTGTATCAAAAACTACTATTTAATTTTTATATCAAATGCAAACATGTTTAGTTTGAAACTAAAAACTTCAAATTTTCCACAGCCTCGATGGTCGTCGCTTCATAGATGAGAAAATTTCACTTCACAGAGTCAAGCTTTTAACATTGTAGATGCATTCGGAATTTTCCTCTCACGTCCAGGGGCCATCTCTCAGTAGGGGTGAGCATCGAACGGTTCTATTTGATTCGATCTCAAAATATATAGAATTTATCAATCAAATAACATTGAAAATCAAAACAAATCGAACCGAACAAATCAATCAAACTAAATAAGGACCGAATTGAAATTTGATAATTCAATTCGGTCGGTTAATTTAATTTTTTGATTTCATATTGGGCTATTGAAATTAGGCCCATTTTTTAAATATTAAAACAAACAACATTACAAACTTAGGCCTATTTTCTATTCATTTTTTTTAATATGAGCCCATTCTAATTACACCCATATGACATAAAAGCCTAAATATTATAAAGGTATGGATAATCAAATAAACAACTACAAGTAAACACCGATGATCAAATAATGGCCCTATAATCCAGTCACAACACCTATTAATGAGAGTGACTAACCGAAATAGGGTTTCAAATGATGTTATTATTTTTTATTCTTTATTAAAATAAAAAATAAAATAAAATAAAATAATTTATAAATTAAATATAATTTATAAATTCATAAATTATATGTAATTCGATCGGTTTGGTCTATTCAATTTTAAATTTTACTAACCGAATCCAACCGATCAACCGAAACATTTAAAATAAAAAAATCGAATCGAACCGAAAAATCAAATAGACCGAATTAAATAAACACAATTCAATTCATTTCGGTTTAATTTTCAATTTCGGTTTAGTTTTGCTCACCCCTATCTCCCAATTCTATGTAGGGACCCATCTGAGCAACTATAAAATATGCTTGGTATGGAAAAATTTATTTAAAAATATTGAAAAAATGGAATTAAACATTGTGACTTAGTATTTACGAAAAAAAATAATTAGATAAAACGAGAATATTATTGTCTTTTCATATAGTGGCTCATCTCGAAATAAATACTTTAAAGTTCGATACTGAATTTTTAAATGTAAAGTAAATATAATTAAAAGGGGCATATTATTTAGACTCAATACTTTAAGAAAATTAATTAATAATTAACACACGTTTCTGGAATTTGGATTTTGTCTTCAAAATTGTCCATCCAATTTTATACAAGAGGCAGTGAGTGAGAATGTGTGCACTTCACTCTCTTCCTGTATATGTAATGTAAGTCGCCTTCTTAAAAAAAAAAAAATAATTTTTTATAAGTTATTTTACATGAAAATAAATTATTAATAATTTTTTAGTGATGAGTGGGGAGTAAAAAATCAAAAAAAATATTTTTAAAAATTTAAAAATTCCTTTTTGATTAATTTTTTAATTTTAATAAGTTATTTAAAAATGATATATTTAATAAGAATATATTCTTAAATAATTAATTTAAAGTGATTTTTTATTAAAAAAATATATATTAATAAGAATAAATTATTATATGAGATTAAAATTTCTAATGATTCCATTCGCGCTGTGGATTCATCCACAGAGTTCTAGAGTCAGCATCTATCGTCTCTCGAACTTTCTCGAGACCGATCCATCCGGCTCGCTTCCCCTTGGTGGCAAATCTTCTCTTGTATAAAACCTGAGGGCCTCCTTTATTTCCACAACTCCGATCGTTTAGTCTTGCTTCTTCAGATCATATCAGCTAGCTCTGATATTTTAGTCTCCAGTTTCAATGGCTCTCAGAAGGGTAACCGGCGCAGCTCCTGCTTTTTTCTCCGGGCTTCTCAATGGCCGTCTATCCGTTGTCCGCTGCACGCCCTTAGCTTTGCGCTGCTTCAATACCAATGCACAGCTCTCCAACTATAATGAGGATGATCGAAGCGTTGACATTGACCGCCGTTCTGATTCCACTGCCGCTCGCCGCCGTGATTCTGCTCCCAGCTTTTTCTCAGGTACTGTTATCACTGTCCTTCGCTCGACTCCTAAGTGAAGACTGGCTCTGTATTTTCTTAATTCAACAATTTTATCCTTGGGAGAGATGGAGTTCTATTTAGTTCATGGATAGTCTTAACTTTTTTTCAATTTTAATTAGCAGAAGCGCTCGATCCATTTGCTCCACCTAGGAGCTTGTCGCAGATGCTGAACCTTATGGATCAATTCATGGACAATCCATTTCTGGCGGCGTCTCGCGGCGTTGGAGCAGGACCAAGGAGAGGGTGGGATGTGAAGGAGGATGAGAATGCTCTGTTCTTACGAATGGATATGCCTGGGCTTGGCAAAGAAGACGTCAAGATTTCGGTGGAGCAGAACACGCTGGTTGTGAAAGGTGAGGGAGCGAAAGAATGGGACGATGAGGAGGACGGAGCTAGGAGGTACTCCAGCCGACTTGATATTCCGCCCAAGTTATACAAGATGGACTCTATCAAAGCTGAAATGAATAATGGAGTGCTCAAGATCAAGATTCCGAAGGTTAAGGAAGAAGAACGAGAGGACGTTTTCCAGGTTAAGATAGAGTAACCCTCTCGCAACGCACAATTCACCAAATCTTGAGTCATAGTTTTGGAGACAGTCTTTTCTATTTGATGTTCTTGTGTCTCGAGTTTTGTGTTTTACCTGTCTTAGGCGTGCTATCGCCGTGTAAGCCATCGACGCTAGGTTCCTTTGAGTGAACAAGTATGTCAAAACTGCACTATTTAAAGTAGACGACGTTGTAAATGGGGTTTGCATTGATGCTCTCTTCTGAAATGATCATGAAACAAATGCAGACATGGAGAAAAAATTATAATTAATTACACTCTCACTGGCTTTTGCCCATTTTAAAATAAATTATTTTTTATATTTAAAAAGTCAAATATATTTCCTTTTTATTTTTAATTTTTAATAACGACAGTTACATTAAATATTTTTTTCTTAATCACATAAGATTATTAAAAGTAATTTAAATATTATAAAATGTCTTGTATTTTGAGTTAAAAATTATTTTTAAAAAGTATTAATTCGTAATACTCTGGTAAAAATAAAATGTTTTATATTTTAAGTTAAAAATTATTTTAAGAAAGTATTAATTTGTATTACTCTGGTAAAATCTTTAAATCGAGTACCCAGCGTCTCGGCCCTAATCTGTCACGAGCTCCTCCATCTACGGTGATTTGCATGTTTAGTGCTGTCCCAGGAATTTTCTTTGCAAATGCATGGCCTGCTCTGTGGACATTCTCATTCTCATTACCTGATTAATCTAATAGGACAATTTTTATTTAGATTATGTTTGGATGGGAGAAATGAGAAGGAAAAGGAGGGGAAGGAAGGTGAGGGAATAGAAGGGGAGGGAGGCCTCCTTTGAGTTTGGTAAGGTGGAAGGGAGGAAAAATTTCCTCCAGCCAAACCAACCCTTGGAAGGAACGCAAATTATTTGAATAAATTACAAATTGGTGGCTACTAAAGGAAGATAAAGCATGATACGTAATGCTGGACCGCAGCTTGTATTATGGTGATATTTAGTCCTGATCGAAACTTCACCAAGTTTTGTACTGATTTTTATTCATTTGAATTTAGCTACTAAGAGTTATTTTAGCTGACCATTCGAGCTAGTCTTGGTTGGTTTAACCTTTTCAAGCTTTGAAGGAATGGACGGCGTAGATCACTTTCCATGAGATGATGGGAGTGGAGGGATCAAGATCTACGTTGAGTTTCATGTCATTTCGAGGTCATGGTGTGATCTAACCGAATAGAAAGAATCCAAGCTATCCGGTTCTTTTCGAACATTGTAAGAAACCTGTTCTGTTTGAACAGATGAGTCCATTCATTTATATAAAGGAATCACCAAGTTATTCGTTTCTTTCCAGAAAATAACACATTGGTTCTTCTGAACAATTATACTTTGATGAATCGGTATAATCAGGGGGTGAGTCGTGTACTGGTTATTCCGCCGGGGAGAAAAAGAATAGATAGTACTCATTTTGACAGGCTAACAGCTGTTTCACTTCGTCGGCTTCTCTATATGCTGTTCAAGTTCTATCAAGGCCTGTTAAGAAAAAGACAAGTAGACAAAAACAAAACAAAACAAATGGTCATTTCACATTGATGGGGTCTGAAGACAAATTTCATATCGTTAAGCTCACCATCCTGGCGTCTTCAATTGCGACTTCCAGTGTCTTCATTTTCTGCCGATTGGAATGCAAAAAATAAAATTTTGTTAATCTTCTGGGTCGATTTATCTTCAAGAGGTATCATCAAAAGCATAACTCACATCAGTGACACCTCCAAGAACAGCTTCTAGTCCATTAATTTTCCTTAATGCATCGTTACAAGCGTTGTCTTCTTCATTTTGGAATCCATTGTAAACCTGCATTTCATCAAGTTCGACCCATTTAGTAGTGAGTAACAAAGAATTCATGACATTCAAAGATGAATCACTCCATGCCTTATATGGCAACGATTCTTCTGAAGCAAGACTATCATTGATCTCTCCTCTCATGGAAAATGCCTACAAGATTAAACGATTCGCGCTCAATTAAAATCTTCCTGAGAAGAAGAAAAATCGTGAAACTGTAGTTGCTCTCAGAAGTTACAAGGATCATGGGAACGAAAACAATAACCTGGATCATTTCTAACGTTTCTATATCATTCCAGGGTCCTTTGTCACTCATCAGGCAACCTCCAGAGTCAGGACAAGAGCACTGCCCACCCAGAAAATCTGGCAAATTACTGCAAAAGCAGACGACCAAATGTCGAAGTCAAGAGCCTTATCATGTGCGAAACCCTATAGTAACGTCCACTAGCAACTTTATAAACAAGCTGTATCATGTCAACAAATAACAAATCTTGTCTAGATATAAAATAAGCTAAGGGAATTTTTTGTTACCTTGGCTCGATAGCCTCAAGCAGGACATGCAGATAGTTAGCACCCAATACCTGAAACAGTAATATCGCACGCTAATAACAAACAGGCTGCACAGTGATGCAAAAAGATGAATAAAGAGTTGAGGATGAAGTTTGACGGCTAGGGATGATCCGTGCCTGAATTTTTGCTAGGGTGCGTACATCTAGAAAGGCTTTCACTGCTTTCCACAGCATCCTAAACCCAGATCCGGCGTTGATAATATACAGCTGATTGAGTGTCTGCAACACAACCTCACCAACATGTGTTAATGAACTCAACTCACGATCAAATGTTCATAAACCAGCAGGTATTCAGCTTTAGTCTACATTGGTTCACTTCGCTTCAAGCATTTCATCGATCCTCACACTAAAAATTTAAGTCTGATACAGATTACCTCAGGATAGTAATTGCTATCAATCTTCTGAATTTCTGCAAAGAGATATCTAGCGGGCTTGGAGAAATTAGACATTCCCTGACAACAATCAAAAAAAGTCAACCGAATATGGACCATTAAGATTCAAAAGCAGTTAGATAAGAACTGTGACTGGCAAAATACTACGTTCAGAGACGCATAATTGGTGCGCTTACCACTCCGTTTACGTCTAAGATAGTTGTGGTGGATGCTATATGCCTTTTGGCTGCCAGTGAACATGCAGGATATCTTACATTTAGTGTTTTCTCTTGCTCTGACACATGATGTTTCACATATCTTTCAATTGTGGTCACTTCCAGCAGTCTTTTAAGGTCTATCATCCCAATTCTCTCGATATACAGTGGTCTTCCATGTCTGTCAACTCCATGGTATCCGTTAGGATAGCATTTCTTCACTTCGGTGTACTCCGTGAATTTGAATTCCTGGTTATATGCAAGAGAGAATCAAATCCAAAGCCTTAAGTGATAATTTAAATAATTTAAACCATGTCATAAGAAACTAAACCACTGATAAGCGGATTGTATTAATTAAAACATTAAGGTCTTTCTTTTTTTATCTGGCTGGCATAAGTGATAAGTGTTTCTCAATCAGGATGGTTTTCTCTGTCGTTCGGGAATTTTAACACAACTTTTGTCGTTCTACGAGAAAATGAATAAATCATCTAACGAGAAGATGTATAGATTCATATATTCACCTTAGGAAGCATATCTACTCGAAAATCCTCCCGCCATTGCAGAAAATTCAGAAACATTTCTTTGGCTTGCAAGATATTGTAATCCCTCATGCGCAAAAACCTTAAATTAAAGGTGGTTAATATTAAATATGTGCACTAACAAATTAGAAAAGCGACTCTGCCTTATTAAAAGCATAATTAGTTAGGTGACATACCGTAAAAGCGTATGATAATCGTTGTGCTTTGGAGGTAAGAGACCATCGACAAAAAGCATTTCGCGGAAATGGTCAACAATTTGTTCATCTTTGACATCACGAGGTCCTTCTAAAATCAGTTCCATGCTTTTACTCCTTCGAATTTTCTTCAGGGACTCCCGAAGCTTCAGAGGGTAAGCCAGCACTGACTTGACGGATGAGGAAGAGGAAGCCTTCTTCTCTTTCTTTGAGGGTAGCTCCCAAGATGTTTCTATGGGTGGATGAAGAATTTTAGTCCTGCGATCGCTAAATCCGTCGAGCCCATATTTCCGTACACCAGGAGATTCTTCTCCAGCGCCTCTTGCTATGACTATATCCTTGTCTTTCACCTTCATCAGTGACCAGACAGCGTTCCTTAACCTCGAGAATACTGAAAATATACATTTCATGCACAGTTACCGAATCGTAAAATCAGTGGCAGAAATCAGATCAAGGACGCAAGAGAACAAAATTTATCTCACTACTACTAGGCAACATTGATTGCAACTATAGAACTCAAATCCAAGGTTAATGTATATTTTCAAAGAAAGATAAGCCCTTCGCAAGTGATGAAAATTCCAAAGCGGAAGAACGAGAAATTAAATCTGAATTGAACGTACAGGCGGAGCAGAAATAAAGTGCTAAGAAAACAAATGGAAGGACAAATGAAAGAGGACAGTTACTGAATGGCGTGCGAAGGGAGAGGTGGGCGTGTTGTGAAAAAGAAAAAGAGGTGGGCATGAAGTGATCGCTGGTTGGGGAGGATCCAATTCCATGCTTTGCTTGTATTTCTCTAACGCTTGCCCTCCTGTTCGAAAGAAACCGCGAAAACACGAAAGGAAGTTTTGTATTTTGAAAATACAGACACGTAGATTCCCTTCCCAGAGCGCGGGGTCGACGCATTATATTGTCTGGGCCACTCATAATTGGGCTCAAGTGCGTTTACGGCCCATTTCACAATTAAAAACTAGCCCATGTCAAAGCTCTGTATTTCAGCCTAGTTTATGGTTTACCTGTGACGCTAGAGGTGTTATCGTGCTGGCATCCATTGCCAACAAGAGCCATCGAAGGCTTCCATTCCTTCTGGAAATCTCTCATAAATGTGTTGATGTCGATAAGTGTAAGAGTTTAGTAAGTATATTGGGTGAAATTTGTGTAAAATCCCGATGGTGTTGCATTGCGTACGGGGAACGAAGAGAGCATGATTCAAAGGCTGCTCGTCAAAGGGCAAAACTTAACAATGCGTTGATATTTTATAGAGATTTAAATCTAGGGAGCAACTCAACTCGAGTAATTGTTTTGTTCGAGTCAGCTGGAGGCACTGACTCACATGGTAACGTCGCTGCTCCACAATCACTGCCTCACTCGCTGGTGATCGCTTCTGAACAAGAAAAAATCACTGCTGTGAGCCGTGAGCTGCGCTACCCAACTTTGTCCAATCTGAATTTCCTCGGAGAATTTGAATCCAATGAATTGCTTAAATCTACCAGCTCAATAAATGTCTAGATGACACTTCAAAATTATCTACATGCACTGCGGTCAAAACATCTTCATGTACATTATATTCTTTAAAAATTTAAGATTCCATACTTTTTTGGACATTATAGGACAAAAGTTTTAACAACAATTCAATCAAATTAAATTATTATTTTCATGTCACATAAAATGTTCGTAGAGTGAATGGACTTGCATTGTTCATTGAATCAAGTTCAGTCAAAGAAGGGCTTCCTTTCAATTGGTAACATAATGTTGCAAATCAAATGTTCTATCGAGTCATATCCATCATGATTCACTATGATTAAGAAAATAAAATTAAAACTATTCATTAATTTTTTAATTTTGTCCACATTAAACTTAATAATCTGCTTTCCCTCACTAACAATTAATGAGAAATCAAAGGAGAATGATAATAAAAATTTAATAACATGACTTATAAATATGAAAAAAATTATAAATCCATGCTTTAATTTAGTGGGAGGAAGCAAACATTGTGATGTAGGTATACATTCCCTCTTTATACTTACTACATGTTGCCTTTCAGAAGAGTTTTTTTTTTTATTCTTAATATTAGGCACTTGATAGGATATTAATTATTTTTCTTATATTACTCTTATTTTATTTCATTGATTATAAGAGATAATGTAATGTAAGTTTAAAAAATTTTCATTCAAAGAGGGGTAAAATTAGGATTTATTATATTTTTAGACAAGGGGTTAATAACTTAATCACTTTTCATTAATTTCGTCGAGGTAATTGAATATACCTTATGATATAGACTAGAATGAGTATATTCCCTCCATCTTTGTATATAAGATTATTTTTAAACGGTTATTTCGTCTTTAAATATACGGGTTGTCATAATATTTTTAAATAATAAAATAATTTTACTCCTGTATTGAAAATAGGATGAGATATTAATTGCATGTCTTAACCCCACCACCATGAGTGCGACATTATTAATTGCAGAATTAAAAAAGTACTGTGATGTTACACAATTTCAACTTAAATAATAAATCTTTATTAGTATGCGAAGTTCATTTAAAAACATCTTATATATAAAGGAGGTAGGGTAAGAGAAAATAATTAACCCACACAATTTAAGAAAGTTAATTGAGTATATTAATCTTGTTTGAAATTAAAAATTTTGGACTAAATTATTTTCGTAATTAATGAAATAAAATTTTCTAGTGAAAATAAATATTGTTTTTATCGAAAAAATTTGAAAAAAATGTAATAAATGCTTTTTAAAAATTATAAATTTATTTATACAAAATAAAAAAAATATAAGGGTTTCTCTTATATTTGAAATATGACTTTTATATATATATATATATTCCATCTTCCATTCAAAAAGAAAAAACAGCAATAAGAGAGAGAGGCATGGGTAAGGTAAAAATATATCAAGAGACCTGGAGAATATAATATTTATTAGAAAAGATCTTCAAAATAGCAATTACTTTATCCTTTAAAAAGATATAAAATATTTTTAATTAAATTATACATTCAATGAAGTAATTAGTTGTCTCTCAATTAATATCATCTTTTTATTTTTATCATAATTTAATAAAATATTTTACTTTAAAATAAATAAAAAATTACCCATTTATTATGGACGTTTTGGGTAAAAGCACACACTAATTATACCCTGAAACCCCAATGGTGTGTTTGGTGAGGAGTTATGGAGGGGAGGGGAGGCCCTTCCCCCATTTAATTAAGAAATTTTGGAGAGGAGAGAAGCTCAAATAACCTCTCTCCTTCTCTCATATTGCTCCCCTTTAAATTAGAGTTTTTTGGAGGGAGCTATTTTTTTAAACTATTTTGCCTTTAATTATATTTTAATATTCTAAGCATGCTCATAGTTAAAAAAAATTTCCTTCATATTAGATTGTGCCTCACTCCCAAACCGTGACTGACATCATTGAATTTTTTTAAAAAAAAGTTATATTTTATCATATTTTATTATATATTTGGTTATTTATTTTTATAAAAAACTGTTATAATTATAATTATTAATTTAATTTTTTGTTCATGTATTGACAATATAATAAGACAAGACAAGAGTAAACTTTTAAAGGATTATGTAATTTAATTTGAGGTGTAAAACTATTTTTTATAAGAAAAAATTGAAACAAATAAATTGATGTGCAGGAATGTAATAGTAAATTAATTATTACCCCTCATTTTCTCTCCCTTTAAGCCAAACACAAGATCGTTAAAAATCCCTCCCTTCCAACAATACCGAACAAGATAACATAATCATCTCTTCCTCTTAAACCAAGCATACTTTAAAAATGTTTTACATTTGTTAAAGACCTAAACTTTCAAAAAATACTTTATATTTTTAAACAAAGGGAGTATTTAAAAGGACCAAATACCAAAATATGAATTTTAAAATACTAAATTGACCATAATTAAGTATTATATTCTTTAACCACAACTCAAGCGTTGTGCTTCTTTCGTTTAAAAATAGAAGGTATTTTTAATTGAATCTCAACCCCAATAAAGTAGTTACCTACTTTCAAACAAATCCTACTTTTTTATATTTACCTCTATTAAATATTATATAATAAATATAAAGTTATTATCAATAAGGGCACTTTTGAAAAAAAATAATGATCATATCTCAAAAGATTAAAAATACTTTATATTTTTTAACATTTAATTTTTTAAAAAATAATTTAAATTTTCAGACGAGAGAAGTATATAATAGTTGTTAACAAAAACTCATTATTTGAGAGAAAATTACTTCTTTCTCATGTGCATATATATAACATAATAAGGAGATGAAAAATAATAAATTAAAACAAAGTGAAACTAAGGGCGAGAAACTCGCAATAAGTTAGTAATTTTATCTCCCTTGAAAATTTATAGGTGTAGAGATTGAAATAAGATGTTATTGAAAAATGCAATAATTCTTCAAAAATATATTAAAAGTAAATATACTTTTTTAAATCATATTGATTTAATTTTTTTAAAAATTAAGTATTTTAAAACTGTATTGCTTCAATCATTTAAAAGTAAATATTTTTTAAATTTATATTAATCCAACTGAATTTAATATTAATTTTTAATTTTTGTGTTTGGAATTGAAAATTACACAATCTTATTAAAGAGTGTTCTTATAACTTATACAACATCCCATATCAATTTTAAGGAATTATTGACAGACTTTACACTAGAATTATAACATTCAATTACACTTACCTTAGTTCTTTATCTTAATTTTAATATTTATAATATTTATGGTCGTTTATGATAAAATTTAATAGTATTGTATCCATTTCTTTAATTTCCCCTAATATTAGTTTATAGGCAACAAACATTTCCCCAATATCATTATTATTGGGAGACGGCACACGTGCGTGTGGAGAGAGTGAGGTGTTGCGGAGGGAGAATGGAGAAGCGTCTAGAGAGAGAATCAGACGCATGGGAACAAGTGAGCTAGCTGTATCCAGGCTTTTGAGCAGTGCCTCCTGCTTCCCACTCGTTCCGTCTTCAATTCAACGCTCCCTCCCCGTGACGTCATCTTCTCCTTCCTCAAGCGCACCGGGCTCCTCCCCCCCGTCCTTCTTCCACGTCATCACCTTAAAGTTGTCTCACTTGATTCCAGAGTCTCGTGTACGCTTATTTTTGCCCTCAAAAGCTGTGAAGTCGATTTAATTCAAATAAGTGGTACTGTTTAAAACGCAAGACTTTTTAACTGAATTTCTTCTCTAATAAAATAATTATTTATTTTTAAATTAATCATATTTTTTATATTTATTTTTACTTAATAAAATATTTCATCCTAAAATAAATATAAAATAATTTATTCAGTAAAAATATTTTTTAAAAATAATAATTATATCATAAAAATTAAAAAATATTTTATATTTATTAACATTCAATTTTTTTAAAAAATATATTTTTTAACTGAAAGAGTATGATAATAGTATTACCCCCAGCCATTTCATAAATTTTTTTTTTGAGATGACTTAATATTTTATGATATAAAATATTTTTAAAAATAATTATCTATTAATAAAATTTATTCCAAATTTACTTATTATTACTTCACTTTTCAATTTTTTTGGTTTTTTTATTTCTACTCTCCATTTTAATATGAAGAAGGCAATTAAAAACGGGCCGGAATTTTTTTATAAGGGTATTATTAAAAACAAGTCATAGTTATACCACGAAATTTGAAATTGGACAAATATTTAAGCACAAAACAAAAAAAGGAAATCAAGACCAATAAATAGAGATGAATGAAGTACTTATAATTTTGTAAGGAAAAAAAAGGTCCTACAAAATGCAAAGAATGAGTATTTTATCGTCTGTCGTTTTTATTTTATTTCTTAGCATTACTATTATTACTAATATTATACGAGTAACTTGTCTCTGCTATGCTGGCCCCCCCCCCCCCCCAAAAAAAAATATCTGATACTCGCAGACGAATCTTATTCTTATAAATCCCATGAGTTTCTGGCAACTTTTTTTTTTTTTTTTCCATTGTCAGATAGTTGACCCCCCTTTTCAAATGAAGGCCACGTATCCTTCAAAGTTCATTATTTTAACGAGCGCGAGTACGTGTGGGCATTAATTAGGGTGGAGGCAATGTAACGCACAAGTAACGGGACACGGTTAGACTCCAGACTCCAGAGGGAGAAGATTATCTGCGAACGAGGGAACCAAATTAATGCTCAAGTACAGCTGGATACAGTGGTGACAAATGAGTCCAAGGAAAGCTGCTCGTTATTATTAATTTTTTATATACCTAAAAAACTTATCCAATATCTAAAAAATGCCTTTAACATTCTAATTTAAGATTATTTCATATTTTAAAACTCCATATATAATAAGTTAATTCAGTTCTCTTTGACCGGTTGAACGGGAGTGCCCCGTTTATGATTATCGTTATGTTGTTGGTTAATGAAGTACGGTGATTGACATGAGGAGGGGGAGGAGGTGGAAGAGTGTGGTAATGTAGGTAATGCTGTGATTGCTGTCCGTGAATTTCCCCACACCTTTTCTGCGTGCCTCTCTCTCTCTCTCTTTTTTCCCCACACAATCTGACAAAAACTATCCCCGAAAGCATCCACACCCACTTGGGCAACTTGGTCTTTCAAATCTCGACGTACACTAGCCTCACATAAGTAGTTCTTTACCCCTTTCACCATTTTCTTTACCCAATGCTTCCTCCCGTGATCATCCTTTTTGTTCCTTTGCATGCTAAATTTTGTTGGGAAAATCCTCACCCATTTGTCCATTTCCCAGGTCCTTAAGTGTGCTTTCTTAATCCCACATGTCAACGGTTATTTTATTTGTATTTCAGCGATAGTTCCACCTTCTTAATTCATTTATTGACCGATGGGGCACGCTACATCTGGTTCGGATCCTCAAAATCACCTAAACTGAGATTAACGTGACATCAGGAATTCAGGAATATGTCCACAATTGTCGTAGTTCCCGCATGGTCCCTACGTTGTAGACCTATCGCCACTCCCAGACCTTTCCTTTGCTTGCTATTGTTTATCTGCTACGATTCTCTCCCGCCATAACTTTCTTGTCAATTTCTAATTCCGTTTATCGCAGACACTCCTTCCCATGACGAATCAAGACGCACCTCTTGTGTTTCAAATTAACGTAGCTTATCATTCACTATTTCACTCAATTATTTACGCCGACTTACAATACAATAGTTCTAATGAAACAACACGACTTTTGAACTATGCACACGTCACTTTTTGCCTCCTGCATCTATTGTTCCATAAAGAGTGCCCTATTAATTTGCGTATTTACAGGAAAAGAATACCGGAAGCAAGACATGAGGTTTAAACCCGTCTTAAGTGCAATCCTTAAGCCCACCTTGCCAATTAAGTTTGGCCCATTTTCATATGACCCCAGGGAGCCGGAATTCCATGTCTGCCGCGCACGCTAGCTAGTTGGAGTTGAGCTTGTCCCAGAGCGACGCGCATTGCCTTCTAGCGAAACCAACGCGCTGATTTTCTAGATCATACACGACTTCAAAGCCTTGCTGTTGGTAATTCCCCAGCGTGGCCGCTGGTCCGCCGCCTGATTCCGCCTCATCTCCACCGTTCATCAGCATCAAGCATCCCACCCTCCTTTTCTCCCTCACTCCAGCGCCACCGTCCAAAAACTCGTAGAAGTAGTTCTTCCTAGGCAGCACCACACTGGAATTGTTCCCCACAAAATGCATCGTCACGCTCGGGACTTCCAGTGTCTTCTTCTCCAAGTAATAGCACGGCGCGAGCCCTGTTTTGTCCTCGACCTCACCCGCACGCTCGTGAACTCGACCGACTCGGCGGTCGAACTCGGCCACCACTGAGTTGTATAAACTCGCCGGCAACATTGTGAACGTCGTGCCTGAATCAACCACCATACCGCCATTTCCCTCGTCATCCACCCTGCTCAGCATTTTCGATGCAGGGATTGTTCTCTTCGCCACGGAGATTCCCAAGAGTCCGACGCAGTAAAAATACGGATGCTTGGGATTTTCAAGCATCGATGTGTACACAAATTCACCGGCCTCACTATCTATTTTCTCTTTCTCGTCGGAACGGCCGATGATGAGCGGGCTCGGACGGCGAACGCGTTGTTGATCAAATGAATGAGAGACCAAGCAGTAAGAAAACTGGTTGCCCAGCTGAGGAGAGAATCGGGCTAGCTGTGCTGGCAAAGAAAGCAAGCCACGGCCGAAGCCGGCGACCCCTGTGGGTTCGCCAAGCGTGATGTGAGCGCACCCAAATGTAAAGTTTTTCAGAAACAGAGAACCAGAGGACGGTGAGACGGCTAAAGTATCGCGATAGAGGTGAGCGATCAAGCTTCCATCGGCATAAGCGTAGTAAAATGGTGGGCATGAATAAGAAGAACAATCGGAGGTCTCGATATTCTCTAACGGGCATCGAGCCATTGCGCAGAGATCAGAGGAGGATGCAGAGGTATGAGCAGCCGAGCATGCAGGTGATTTGCATGAAACGGCGACGCTTCGGGAGACGTTGGGTGGTCTGATGTGGAGTGAAGGATTGGGTTTCCCTTCACAGAGTATGCACTCAAACGGAGCACAAGGGAACCAGACAAGGTCGCTTCCGGTGTCCATGTAAAGAGTGATGGGCTGAGGAGGGTGAGATCCCAGGTTAAAGGAAAGAGTATAATCACTGCCGGGAGACAAGGGAAGAGAGACTTGGCGGTGGTGGCGTTGGTGATGAAAGCGAGAGGCGGAGCGGGTGGAGGTGGACTTGAGGAGGTGGTGAGTACTGTTAAATTGAGTTGGGGAAATGGAGTGTTTAAGAGGCAGTAGAAGCATTTCTGATGCAGAAAACGGTGAACACGAAATACAGAGCATGAACAAGAGAAACAGAGCAGAGGAATCCATGGGCCTAAAACAGAGAAATGAGCTGGAATCAGAGGGTAGATAGAGACAACAAGTTTTCAAATTTGAGAGATGGGTGTGAGAGAAAGGAAATGAGGTTTTTAAGGAGCGGGGAGGGAGGTGGTGGGCGCAATGGAGGACAAAGTTTTCGTCGTGAAGCAGAGGTAAGAAAGGTGATAATCATTACGAATTTAATTCAAAATGGCTTTGTTAATGAATGAAGTCTGAGGAAAGTGTAATGAAGGTGGGTGGCAGTACATTTTTTATTTGCCTGCTTAAGCAAAGAACACCATCATGCTTCATACCACTCTCATGACCCATCACTGCGTCTTCAGCCACTTTCTCTCCTTCATTCACTCGTCTTATATATCCTCCTTGCAATTTTTTTTTTAATTTAACCAAAAATAAGTGTTTCACCATGTTTTTTTTTAAAGCTATTTATCTTTCTTAATTAGTAAATTGATTTTTTTTTTCTTAATGATTATCACTTATTGTAATGATACCAACTACTCATCTTTTCCACTTTAAATGAACGATGGACACAATTTAAAACATGTACTCTGTCTCTGTTACTCTTTTCACAATATTATAAGTCATTTTTTAATATATTTTATTAAAATTAAAAAAATATTTAATTTGCAAGTCTGTTTAAAAATTTAATAATTTTTTTAACTTTATCCTTATTAAATATATATTCTTTAACATTATATTTTTTATTTTCAACATTTAATAGGAAGAAAATGAAAAATTTATGATAAAAATTTAATAAAATAATTTATAAATAAAATCAAAAGATTTCTTTCTTTATTCTATAAATAAGATCAAAGAGAATATAATTTATGAGGCATATCTAATCATCTTATCAAAATTAATAAATGTGATTAAGTTATTAATTTCATTGGAAAAAAATAAATTTTTAATTTTATCTATATTTGAATGAAAAAAAATTAATTTTACATTACATTCTCTTTTATAATTAATGAGTTAAAATAAGAGTAAGACTAAAAAATGTAATTAATATCTTAAATGTCTAGTATTAAATATAATCAATCTCTCCTAGTGTGTGGCTTGTAGAAATAACCAAAGGGAGTATCAATTATACTTAAATTGGGTAGTTTTTTGCTTAGGATTAAGATAAACAAAATTTGATATTCTTATAAAGCAGAGAAAGTATTTATTTTGAAATGATTATTGTGCTAATCTTTACTCTTTTATTTATATTAAATATTGAAAATATTATTAAATATTAAAATATTATATTTTCAAAATATACATATTTAATAAAGGTAAAGCTGAGAATTTATTAATTTTTTAAATATAATTAATAAGGTTTAAAAAATTTTATTCGGTAAAAATGTTAAAAAATGACTTATAAATTAAATAATGGAATATATTTGAGGTAGGATGGATTATTAATCTTGTGGGTTGGTGAGGCGATCTACACAGTCTTTTTGAATTTGTGATGCATAATACGCTTAATACTTGAGGAAGGAATCTTTATCCTTTTTTATTGTGAAGTTTGAGCACAGTTAATATATTATACTTCTATAAAATATATACTACTCCCAGAGAACATTCGAGGGACAGAAGAGAGTAGGCACGGGACTAGCTTGGGTACAGAGAACCAACCCTTGTCATGAAATCGGATGGCCTCTAGTATTACCACGGATTGATGATTTTTCCCCCCTTTCCCCAAACCCATTTCTTGGATTCTGTATGACGAAACCTCGTGTAAAAATATGGGTAAGTTCACTGGTTTCGGGTTGGTCGGCCCCATTACTGTTCTCATTACATATTTTAAACACGCGTTGCCATCGATTAATCATTAAAATATGTGAAATAACCATCTACATCTCAGGCCTTAAAGAAAGAAAGAAAGAAAGAAAGAAAGAAAAAAAGCCATCCCGTCTACATCAAAGTCCAGGCCAGGTCAATGTGTGATTAAATTAGCCAGCCAGATTAGGATCAATTATTTCGGTGTGTCAGCCAAACAAAGAACACTTACCAGTCAAAAGGATTGTCTTCTGAGATGACTACTATGTGGAGTCTAAGATTGACCCGATGTTACCATTTTGACAATGACTAGGACCGATTATTGCAATTTGTACATAAAATAGCCTTACCTATCCCTAGCACTTGGCATATGGGTTGCGGGCTAGCTCACGGGTTAACCCGCACGGGCTGGCTCTAGCCTACAAATTTAAACGGGTTGAAAAACTCAACCCAACCCATTTTATTACGGGCTAGTCTATATAAATATGCTCAATTTTTTTTACATGAATATTAAATTCAAACTAACAATCATCTAAAATTACAATCATCCTCACTCATTTAAATTGTTTAACAATTATTAATCAACACTTCTTAAGTGTAAAGAAAGTCCACTCAAATGAAACAACTAATTAACAATCCACTCAGGACAATGCTTAAATTAAAACAACTCATATTAAATTAATGATGGCATTAAAAGCTTGTTCTGCTGCATGATTATCCTCATCAGATATAATCAATTCAACTTCACCCTCATTGTCATCATCATTCTCTTCATAAGAAGCTTCACCTGTCACACATATTGATCAACAACATATATTATAAATTAAGTATGTTAAACAAATTAACAATAATAAAACATATTATTTTGAAACAAATTACCATCATAATTCCATCCAAGCAACCAATTTCTTGTACAAATAAGAGCTTGAACATTCTCTGGAAGGAGTGAAGATCGATACTTTGTAAGAACGCGTGAGCCAATGCTGAAGGCTGATTCACTAGCTACTGTAGTAATCGGAATGCTCAAGATATCACATGCAATTTTTGAAATGATTGGAAACTTATGTTGATTATTCTTTCAATAATCCAAAACATTCATTTTCAAAAATGCATTAAGATCAAGAGTTGGTTCTTCCAAATAATAATCCAATTCAAACTTTGTAATGGCAGAAGCATCACGAATCTTCACTTTAAGAAAATTCTGTTGAATTCAAACAAGTATTAATAAATTGTCGTTCAAAATAAAGTGCTAAGAAAAAATAGATAAAATTAAAAAACTTACACCATAAGCCTGAGATAATGCCTTTTTTTCATCCTTTCTTTTCTCCACAGTGTTATGTGGACCCATAGATGATTGATGAGTTGATGTTGATGACCCCGGACCCAGAGATGATTAAGTAGTTGGAGATGATTGTAGTGCACCACTCATTTCTTTGTATTGATCAAATATATAAATCAACTTCTGCTTGATAGTTTCAATCTTTGCATGGCTATGGAGAGGATCAATCAAAGGATAATAATGTTCAATCACTTCAAATTTCATTCGAGGATCAAGAACAGTATCAAGTGCAAGAATCATACTATAATCACTCTAATACTTGTGAAATTTATCTTTCATTTTGCTTGCCATTTCTTGAAGTGTAGGGTCATCACTCATCATGTGTTCATTCAACAAGATTTCAATTCTTGCTATTTGCATGAAATAGATGTTTGAGGTTGGATAAGAGGTCCCTGAAATTAAGTTGGTAATCACATCAAAGGGCTCTAATAAAGTGCATATCTCCTCCGCTCTCTTCCATTCTTCAGTGGAAGGGCTAAACTTATAATTTTTGTCAATTATAGAAAAGCTACTAAAAGCATGACGATATTTAATTGCACTTTTAAGCATTGCATATGTTGAATTCCACCTAGTGGGACGATCTGTTTTTAAGCCAATTGATGTGTCAACACCCCCAACTTGCTCAATGCACCTCTTAAAAGTGATCATTCTCATCTCTGATTGTTTAACATATTTAATGCTCTCCTTGATCTTTTGCAATGCAGAACTTGCCACCTTCAAACCCTCATAAACTATTAAATTTAAGATGTAGGCACAACATCTCACATGAAAAAATTCTCCATTACATACCAACCTATTTTGCCAACTCAGTCTCTCTCACAATATTTCTTGCATGTTGTCATTTGCTGAAGCATTATCTAATGTAATAAAAAACACTTTTTTTATCAATTTCCCATTTTATTAAGCATTCATGCACTTTTCTTGCCAATTCAACCCCAGAGTGTGGCGGCTCCATCTTACAAAAAGAAAGTATTTTACTATTCAACCTTCACTTATCATCAATAAAATGAGCAGTTAAACATATGTATCCTTGTAAAGTTATTGCAGTCCAACAATCAGATGTTAAACATATTCTATCAGGACTCTTTAACATTGTTTGCTTCAAAATTCTTTTTTGACTAACATACAACTTCCTAACATCTGACGAAGCAGTTTTTCTAGAAAAAAAAGTGGCATCGGGATTTAAATATTGCTGTATTTTCCTTACCCATTTGTATTCAACATAAGAATAAGGAAGGTCATGCTCAATAATAGCCATAGCAAGCTTCTCTCTCAAAACCCCAAGATCAATTTTTCCAGAAACAAGCTTTCCTTCTTGATTCAACATTATTACACCAACATCATGATATTTTATGAGGGGCTGACAAGTTTGAACATGGCGGCGAAGAGTAGAAGCCTCATATGATCTACTATCTATCTTGTATAGCATTCCACAGCCATGACATTTAGCTTTTGGTATCCCATTAACAATTACCTTGGTAAAAGACTTCCAAACAGCAGATCTTTCTTTTTTTATCTTTCTTTTTTTTATTTTTCTCATTAGTCCCACCACATTCCTCTCTTTCTCCATCATCAGTATTAAAGGGTCCAGCATTAGCAACACTAGCATTTTCTAACTCTAACTCATCATTAGTTTCAGACCCTTCAAAATCTAACTCATCATCTATAGAATCAATTCTTTGAGATGCAGCAAACATTTTATCTAACAAAAATATAATTATATCAATCAGAAATCACTCTCAAGGCAAACATTTTATTCAATAAAATAAAATTGTCTAAATCAAAAGTATTATCCAGTGCCAGTCATTACAATGGTTCACTAATAAAAAAAAACAATGAAACCTATGAACAAAATCAGAAGCACGGGAGGTATAGAGGAAGTCAAAGTACCTATGTGCAAGAAAGGGAGGAAGAGGAGACGGATACTGAGAAGAGTTAGTGAGTGCCTGAGTGGGCTCTTGGAGACTTAGACAGAGTCACAGATACTGCAAGAATAAGCTGAGACTGAGATCGAGAAGGAGAAGAACCACACCGTGACACCGAGATCAAGAAGCTGAGACCAAGAAGAACTTAGCCGAGACCAGAGACGGCAAGCTGAGTTGAACGAGATTCCATTAAGTTGAGTGAGAGAAGAGGTTAAAAAGCAATGAGGGAAAGACAGATTCACAGAACAGAGCAAATCAATGAACTGAGCAAGACTAGATTCTGAGCAAAACTAGATCGAAGGTCTACCTGATAAAGGTCTGCCAAAGGTTGACGAGCTGAGTCTGTGTCTGAACTTTGAGTTATTGAGCTGAGCATCTAGGGTTCATGACTTCGTGTGCTTTGCAGTGTTACTGTTGCCTTTTCTTCTTCATGGATTCATGTAGTTCGTGCGTCTGTGGTCTGTCAATTTCCCTTGCCCAGTTCTAGACTTCCACGGTGAGAGTGTTTTCCTTTCTTCTTTGTGGATTCGTGCGCCTACGCCTGCTACGGTCTGCCAATTTCCTTGCCCTTCTTTCTTCGTGTGGTGGTCTGGTGACTGGTGGATTCGTGTTTCAATTTGCTTGTCTTGTCTAGTCTTAGACTGGACTTGCTGACTTGGATCTTGGAGTATTGGAGAGTGGACTTTGGATTGGACTTTAGACCGTGTGTGTGTGTGTGTGACTGTGGGTTGGGCATGGAGTATGGACTGTGCACTGGTGTGGAGTGTGGACCGCGTGTGTGTGTGCACTGTGCAGTCGGTCATTGCTCAACCCTCCTAAGCTAAAAAAAAAATTGCGGGCTAGCTCGCAAAGCCCGTTTAACCCATATAATTTTATGGTTTGGGCCAACCCAACCCGATTTTTTAAATGGGCTCATTTTGCCAACCCAAACCACAAAAAATTATGGGTTAACAGGCTAGCCCATTGGTTGAACCCGTTTGTCCGGCTCTACCTATCCCTTGCGGCCCTCATTTACAAATTTTAATTTTTTATGTTTCAAGTACTGACGTGCCCTCTTCCCCTTCTTCATTATTTCATATCAAGGACTGTAATAAACTGATATTTATACAGCTATTCTCAGGATTAAACAAATTGAGCAAAATCACTCGGACTTAAAATAGTAGCCAAACTAATCAAACTGCTTCATTTTAAAATCAACGAGAATCAAGGATAATTTATAACAACTAACAGGCCTGCTTATTGCTTGTTTTATTTAAAAAGCCAGCAACAAATATGCTTGAAAAAGTAGTGTAGCAGTACAGAATAGAACCATATATAAATGGAAGAGAGGGGCATAGATTACAAATAAATAAGCCGTAGAATCCGGACTGGTTTGGCAATGGCAGGGGATAGCCAATTCAGTGGCTCATAAAAAGGTCACCAATTATTGCCTCTCAACATACAAAAGAAAAATACCATTTTTATTTCTTTCTGAAATTCCTTATCCTTATGCCTGCTGGCTTCACTGATGGCCAACTTAATATAGTACCTTTAGCATACAAAACTAGCGTATAGAAGCACTTATAATTATTCCTATTCCTATTCATTGCAAAGAATTTGGTGAACAAAGTATTAACAAAACAGAGCATTGGTGTCTTCTGCCAAAGAAAGATAAAGCCATCATCTAATGAGTGACGAGTAATGAGTCCTTACCTAATGGATGGTACACCAATCCTATAAATTAAATTAGCGTGAATAGCCTGCTTCTGTCTGCTGGCATTAATTCGAATGGGAGGGATATGAGGATCTTCTGCTACAAATATTGGTATGAGTATAATGCTTCCAAAGTATGTGGTAGGCCATTCCCAAAAAGAAGATGAAAAGAAAAGATACTCGGCTACGCCTACGCGTAGACAATTTAGAAAGCTCCAATCATGCAATTATTGAGTGGCCCATTTCTGGAAAATCCAATCCATCTTCTCCATTGCAGGTTCTTTTGATCATACCCACATTTAAATTGTGGACCAAATCCTACTGCGCTTCCGTTTCTATTATAAGAGATGACTGGACGTCTTCCAAAGAAATTTAAAACTCATTTATGAATGGAAAAAAATTATACTCGTTAGATTTTCGTCACGATTTGAGAGAAGCAATTCACTTTATACGAAGTGAATAAGGACATAATCATCGTCTTATCGATGATACCATTTGAAAGATCAGATCTCCTTTTACACAATTAGCAAGTTTCCATCTATCATACTATTAAAAAAAAAAAAAACACCTAATCAATGCACAGATTGGCTAGCATATCAAGTAGACAACTATAATTTTAATGTCAGAATTTTTAATTTTTAAATTTCTTGACAATGAACAATTAAACGCAACTCCCACACTCACATGTCAAAGCAAAATTCAAACCCAAACTTTAAGTCTACAGAGAGGTGTGGCATTGTTATCAAGGCAACAAGCCTATGGACATATCAAAATTTTAAATGAAGATAGGACTTGTTTCACTTGGATACATCATGATTATTTGCGGGGATACAGCTTTGACCATAACCTTATCTATTACAAAAGCCAATTCATGAACAGTGCGGGTCTTTTTTTTTTTTTATAATTTTTATATCATATTGATGATAATAACCCATTATAGGATGCTGCACTTGTTGGTCATAATGTAAGATGTTGTATTAAGCGATATCAAACAACGAATGCCCTTTGTCGTTGATCCTGAATTCAATTAAACCATCGATTGAAAATTTGGGACGCCAAAATCCAAAGCTTCGGGACTTCCATCTGTAAATATCAAAGCCCTGCTGGAAACACGGATCATAAAATGACTGTTGACGTCGACGTTGTCGTGAATTTGAAAGCGATAGTACTCTCTCTCGCGTAATCTTTTGCTGGGATACTCACGCTCATTGCAAAAAAAAAAAAAAAAAAAAACTACGCGGCATAACATTCAAATGGGAACTCCAATTTAACCGCAAGCAATAACATCCTTGAGTTTTGACAACCCAACAGCACAAAAAAAAAAAAGAGGCTGTAAATTCTCTTTACCTGCTCGCATGAAAAATTTTCCCGGTTCTGACCTAATGGTTTACTTTTCAAAATCCCAGTTACATGCTGTAAATTACATGCATGAATATTGACATAAAACTCACTCATTGACTGGGCTGACCAAATAAACTAGCATTAATTGTAAGTGTAATAGTGGAGGCAGCCACTACAAATATTCCCATGAAAGTTTTGTAAAGTGCAGTAATCTGCACTGCCTGCATACGGCTGTCATGTAGCCACCATGTCAAGGTCAACTACCACCTAACCCACTCTTTTCTTTTCTTCCTTGTTTCTTTCAATCGTGTCGACGGCTAATTTTCAATCAAACTTTCCCTTGCCATGTCCCTCTCTAAATGTTTTCAACTATGCAATAATTTAGAGCTCAATCATTGTGGTCGAGAGCAATCCATTATAATGTACTTCTTCATTCTTGTATATTAATCACTTTCTAAAAATATAATCTAATTTTTTTTATAAATCACTAATTGATAAAATTATTTTATTTCAAATCAAAATTTTTAAATTATCTTTAAAAAATAAAATAAAAAAATAAAAAAAATAATATCATATTATTTATTTACTTTTTATTTTTTACTTAAAGATTATATTTAAAATTTCACTTACTTTCATTTGCTATACTTTTATTGAATTAGTATTAATAAAGTTGATAGAAAAAATTTATAAATAACCAATAACTTGCATATGGTTCCCGCAAGCCAAAATCTCTGACACTTCTGGAAACTCCACAGTCTCGATTTCTGTAACCCTGAATTATATATCAAGAAAAAGTTCAAGTGACAAGGCAAGGAGAAACAGCAAAATGTCGAAGAGCTAAGCTCTAAAGTACAGAGCAAGCCTTGGTCCTATTTTCTCAGTTCCTTCAATATAAGTAGAAAACTGCTGGTCAGATTGCCGGCATAATATGATGGTACTTAACACATAATTGCAGATCTCTAGTTCAGGCAACTATAATGCGTAGAATTATACAATAGCAAACAGGTAGGTTGCTATAGACTGGCTTATGGCAGCAAAATAGGCTAACTAGCACCACCAAAGTATGCTTAATTTTTCAATTTCGGGCAGTAATGTCAAGCTGAATACTTTAATAATACATCAGTAACTTTTCTGTTTCTACAGGCCAGGGCATTCCATGTACACGATATATGACAAACAAGTATCTTATTATCGATTCTGCTCCGCACGGAGGATGAATATTATACGGTACCATTATCTACAGAATCTTCAGTATAACTTCAACCACATAAATTATTCGTCAGCTATGTCTGAATGAAGTATCAAGCATCTTTGTAAAACGATGGAAAGCCAGGTTTAACCAGTAATTGCAAGACAGCTACACGTTTCAGGGAACAGTGACCACAGGCCTTATCTTCTCCAGCAGCTTGTCTGCTTCAATAAAACCAAGCGATCCCAATGACAAGTATTTCATGCACCTCCATCTGTTTTCAGTTATGGAGTGGTAAGAATCCATGCAACAAATTGAAGCATACAATAAACCAGAACGATAAAGATAGTTTACCTGGGAGTATAGGGTAGCGCCAAACAATGGAGATGTAGGTGGTTAACAGAGTTCAGTGGAGGCTGATGAAAGCCAAATCTGTCAGACAGAACCTCATAGTAATATTTAGCCTAAGTAATGCACAGATCCAATAAACATAGATTACCCCTCAACCCTTTATGAAATTGCCACCTTTTCTTTAACTGATAATTGAACATGATATAGCCGAATTTATTTTCCCTGTTTTATACATAAAAAACAACAAGCAACCCTACAATTGTAACATAGTGGAGAGTATCCACTATCCAACCCATGCTCTGGAGCAGACTTGGCAGAAAAATTGGACACCATCAAATGCTGTTAAACAAAGTTAACGTAAAGGATAAAAATATAGAAGATTGCTTCAGAATATATTGTCAATACCTCCAATGAACAGCTGAATTATGCAGCGGAGAATAACATCTTCGATCAGCCTATTAATGCAAACATGAAAAGATAAAGATACAAGCATAGTTTGTTTAAAAGGAGAGGTACCTGTGCTGCTTGGCCTGAGGTGCATCTCTAAGTAATAACATCTTCCCCACATCTAACATATGACTCACTGGATGGAGGAGATAATCGTAATATTAGACTAGGAAAGTGTCCATGCAACGCAATTTAAACACTATAGCTGCCACAGCTATCAGTTTTTTTTACCAATAGAGTAATCTTCAACTTTTCTATGGAGATCTTTAACAGTAGGAATGTGCTCCACAGGAATAACCAAGTAATGCCTACAAAGTTGACCAATTCAAGTTAGTCACCTCAGTAAAGTTTAGACTATGCAAAAGTATAACAACCATTGGCAAGTGTAAAACAAAACAAGAATTGAATTATTTATGAAATCTGTCAAATAGAACTAGCATACAACAATTATAAGCACAAATGCTGAACATTCACCAAGTTTTCCATTTCACTAGTTCGTCTAAGGATATAAACATCTTTATTTGGTATAGATATTTAAATATAAAGTCATCCTTTTGCAATTGATGGAAATGTAAATATCCTCTTGCCCATCAGGATTAATTGGAATGTCCGTTGTGTGTTGAGCAATTTCTTAGTAAACCAAGGATAAATGTCATCACTCATCAGGCAATAATATGGCATCATCAAGATTAGTAATAGATACGGCAACTTAGTAACTCATACATGTGGAGACAGACCACAAAATGAGGAGTTTTTCTAGTCCTAGCATTGTGTAAGACACAGAATTCACACATGACACAACCATAGCTATAGCATACAGCCTAAGTCTCTTACTGTTCGTAATCACACATGTGAATTGCTCTCAAGGTCTCTTCCTCTCTGGGACAATCAATTAAGAAAGTTTTTTTTTTTTAAAAAAAAAAAACAGAGAATGGTCATCTCTCTTTTATCACTCTCATCCCCTTACTTGAAACCTATTTTAGATCTTCTGTACAGATGAATCAATTTGTTTAACCATTACATACTCTGATTACTCAGCTAAACCAACGCTGTTATGGTTAACTGATCAGCCGATGAAAAAAGGGTACTTGTCAAGCGCCCAGTTTAAAATAATTATATTGGTTCGTTAATTAATAAACGTAGAAAAATAAAAAAATCGATCAAGACGGAACAATTTCAGCCCCGGAATTCATTATGAATCAAGTTAAACAGAAAAGGAGATAAATCCCAGAACCTGAAAGCTGATGGACTGATGTCCTGAAATGCAACAACCTTGTCATCCTGAATTTACAGAACTCAATCAGAAGGAAAAGCAATCGAAATCCCCAACTGGGTTGATCAAGAGGATATAATAAGGCAAAAAAAAAAAAAACTCAGTTTTCAAGGGGGTCTTTTCACGTCATCAAACAATCAGAGAAGAACAAAAGAAAAATTGTGAAAACGATGAGAGGAGAGATAGAGACAGACGGCGTGGAGAAGAGTAGTGGACGTTGATTTGCGCGCAATGTCGCAAAAAATGCAGGATGCTGCTACTGCCCCTGCTCCGGCCCCCGCCATTTTTTTGCCCTAATGCTGCAGCATCAAGCTTTCCCTCCTTTCTTGCTGGTGGGCTGCTTCTCGTATTGTAAGTTGTAACCATCCAAACTGGAATCTCGATACTTATGTTCCCAACTCATTTTAATGGGACGCTTTGTTGATTTTTCTTTTAAGAAAAACCGCATCCAATACAAAAATCTAACTAACAAATGACCACGTTAAGCTGCAAATAACAAATAAATATATAAAGATATTGTTTGGTAAAATTTATCTGTTTATTCATTACTAATATGTATTTTTAATATGTTTTATCATACTAAAAAAATTTAAAATTTATTAATTTTATTTAAAAATTTAATAATTTTTTAATTCTATTTTTATTAAATATACATACATTAACAATATATTTTTTCTTCTTTTACCTTATAAATAATATAAGAGGTAGTATCATTCCTTTAAGTTATTTTTTGTTATGAAATTGATTATTTTTATTTGTCTAGTTAGAACCAGTTGTCCCCCTTGAATGTGTATTGGGCAGAGAACGAAAGTACTCTTAAGTTTTATATGCATGCAATTATGCATGTTAGCATGTACTCCCACCCGATAAAAAATATAAAATATTTTAATTAAATCATACTTTTTAATAAAATAATAATTAATTGTTTTAAACTTATATCATATTTTTATATTTACTTTTATTTAATAAAATATTTATTTTAAAATAAATATAAGATAATTTTTTATTAGGAACACTTTAAAAAAGTACATTAATTATACTTTTAAATATTTTACATTTTTAAGCTTTCAAATTCTTAAAATATATAAATGGATGGCTTGTAATTTTTTTAAATTAACATTTAAACAATACAAATAGAATGGTATTAATGAACAAAAAGATAAATTTAAACATTTATTTAGCGCATTAAAAATCAGTAACCAAACTCTTAATTTTGAGAATTTTAAAAAATTATCATGCATTTAAATATTGTTTAAAGTGATTGATATTCAAAATAAACTGATTCGATTTCGTAGGACTGAGTTTAGTAATTTGAAACCATATATTTTTTCCCACTAAAGAAAAGGCTAATTCATTATTTTAGAGAGTCTTAAATTAGGAATCTTGATTTATTGCAACACATGACTGGCATAAAAAGTCAGGGCCAAAATAAAATAAAAAAAATGATATTCTTTTTATTAAAAAATATAAAATATTTTTTAAAGGGTTGAATGTTTAAAATTATAAGACATTTTTACTGTTTCAAAATGTAATCATTGTTTTTTTTAAAAGTACCCCATTGATAGTAACTTTATATTTATTATAAAGTGTTTAACAGTGACAAATATGAAAAGATAGAATTAATTTAAAAATAAATAATTATTTTATTGGAGGGTGAGATTCAATTAAAAATACCTTACATTTTTGAACGGAGGAAATAATAAAATTATTTTGAAATATATAAATAAAAATTTCATCCCTCAAAATATCATAATTCTTTTAAAATTTTTAAAAACTTTTCTATCATTAATAAATTTATATAAATTATTAAATTATTTTTATTAAAAATAAATTATTTACAATTTTTTTTTTTTACATTGTTGTCAATGTAATAAAAAATTATGAATCATTTATTTTTAATAAAAATAATTTAATAATTTATATAAATTTATTAATAATAATTTTAAAAAAAATTTAAAAAATTATAATATTTTAAGAAATTTTTTAAATAAAATCGTCCGAAGCAATAATTTCCTTTTCCTCCTCCTCAAAGTAGGAATACGGTTCAGGTTGAGCAACCGGGAATTGTTTGGAGGGGACGCCGTCAGTTGGACCCTGACCATGTCTGTTCTTCTTCTTCCATGGCGGCTCTGTCCCGCAAAACCCTATTTCTTGGTCGGTCCCTTTCGCTCCTGTCCCATCTAGCTCGAGTTGATCATTCACTACCTGCTATTCGAACCATGAGCTCCGGGTCTCCTCAGCGCGTCTTCCAGCTCAAGTTAGATCCACTGACCGGTAACTCAGAATGGGTCGTGATTGAAGAAGACGAGGAAGAAAGCTTTGCATACAAGTTTCAGCAACCTCTTCTGGCCATGACCTCCTATTTAGATATGCTCAATGATTCTAGGAGGAATAGAGCTTTCCGGGAAGCCATTGAAAAAACCATTACCAAGCCCTGCCACGTCCTCGACATCGGGTATTCTGACTGTAAACATAAATGCTGCATAGTATTATCTCTATTTCATTAGCCATTGGATTTTAGATACCGCAAGATTCAACCAATATTGATGAAAAGTGTAGTTTGTGAGAAATAATGTACACAATAACTGTGCAGTGCTGGCACTGGACTTCTATCGATGATGGCTGCGCGAGCTATGGGCTCTGGTGACTCTATCGCGCCTGGAAGCGGGAAAGGGATGGTAACAGCATGCGAGTCTTACCTTCCAATGGTAAAGTTGATGAAAAAAGTTATCCGCTTGAATCAATTGGAAGGTAATATCAAAGTCATCAACAAGCGCTCTGATGAACTCAAAGTTGGCGTTGATATTCCGTCGCGTGCAGATGTACTTGTAAGTTGCAATACATTGAAGTCAAGATAGATTTTTTTTTTGGTTATTTTTCTTCATATTTAACAATCGTTGTTAATTTTTTGCACGTAAGATGATGTTGGGAACGTTGTGTCTTAGGATTCAAAGGATCGAATCGTATTACAACCCATCTGTTAGTTGCTCCGTTATAACTAATTATCGAACGTTAATAAGTAGTAGAACTAATTGCTGGTTTCTCATTAGTTGTTGCAAAATCAAGCGAAGCCTAGGACGTTCTCTTCGTTGAAAAAATAAACCACGGTAATATTTATTGCAGGTAAGCGAGATACTTGACTCAGAACTGCTGGGCGAGGGACTTATACCGACGTTGCAAAATGCACATGACATGTTATTGGTGGAAAATCCTTTAACTGTGCCGTATCGAGCAACTACTTATGGACAGGTACTTTAGGGAGTCTTAAACTATTCTGCCTTCTCATGAATTCTTCTTTTGGTTTCAAGCCAATGATTAAATGATATTTTATATGATCTTATAAAGTTAAGTTATTCTTGGTTAAATTCTCTCTTTCTTTTGTTTCCGAGTCTCACAGAGTTTGAGCCTTTTCCCCCCTTATCCCTCTTTCAGCTGGTTGAAAGCAGATTCTTGTCACAGCTGCATGGTTTGCGTAACAATGAAGCAAGTTTATCTGATGGCATTCGTCTCATCCCTCCAGGACAGGATAGTGTTTTGAGCATCAAACACCAGCAGTATGCCATGCATTGCAATCCAATAAGAGAAGAAATAAAACTGGTAACTTTATTTGTAATTCTTTAACTGGCTTCATAAAAAAAATTTGCTTCTACTCAAAATTAAGATCCATCCAGCTTTCAGAACCCTTCAAAGTTTTTGAATTTGAATTTTGGAAACGGCCAGAGAGTCATGGAGAAACTGATCTGCAGATAAAGGCAACTAATGATGGTAGAGTTCATGCTGTGATCTCATGGTATTGATCTATGTGTTGTAATTTGAGGTGTTAATCCTATCTCAGTATCTCCACTTGGCTAATAGCAGTTATTGTTATCAGGTGGGTACTTCAACTTGATCAAGAAGGGACAATCTATTATTCCACTGCTCCTCGGTGGATAGACTTACCAGCAGTTACAAGTGAGATTTTTATTTTTCCCCCTTTCAAATAATTAAATTAGTTGTTCTGGGTGCCTAGACTTAGCTTGCCGATTACTACTATTGCTGTGTTGCCTTCTGAAAATTATATTACAGAGCTAAGGCGGATATCATATAGGAAATTAAACTATCACATTATATAAACCATTACGGTCAATAATGTCCTGAAGTCTTCATTAACATGTCATGGGCCGATGCTATTCCAGGTTCTATTGATTGGTGTGACCATTGGAAACAGTGCGTTTGGTTTGTTCCTGGTGATGGTATTACCACATTCAAGGGGGACGAAATTTGTTTGCGTGCTATACATACTGATACCAGGATCTTGTACAATCTAGAGACCCAAATACCAAGAACTGAAGTTTTACAGCATAGGTTGAGTGATGCAGATTTACCAATCGTACTGTCACCAGAAAGGATCGCAATCTATGGAGACAGGGAATGGAGGCTTTCAATATTGAAAACAGTGGAAAATGTTGTAAGTTATTCATCCTACTCTTCCCTTGATGTATGGCTTATGCCTTTTCACTAGATATGGAGCAGATTTACTTGTAGAAACTCCTTGTTCGAACTTGCTTCATTGACCATATGTTGTTTATTTACTTGAAGTATAATGTATACAGCTGCAGGGAAAAGTTTGCTTGTTATGCTTGGCTGCAGATGATAGTGTATTTTTACCTCTTCTTGTGGCACATCTTTCAGAGAGATCACATGTAATTTCTTTATTTCCTGGGCTGGGGAGGAAGGGCCTCCAATATTTGCAAGCTGTTTGTCATGCGAATGGTTTATCAAGTGATCGCATAGAAGTTATAGAAAAAGGGGCGAAACATTTGACCATGCATGATACACATCAGAAAAAGGTTGGATTTCCTTGTTTCACTATATTTCACTATATGTTGTGTGAATAATTTGAATGCATTTGTACAAGGTATTTTAGAAACTCAGAGATGGGAGATCACTTTATGTTTGCCTGTAGATTTAGGCTAGGAAATCATGAGATTAAACAGAATTATATAGACTATACTTATATTAACATGAGGATGATGACTAATTAATTTAGAAATTTATGCGTGCCTGTTCATCTGTAGGCTGACCTGTTGATAGCAGAACCATTTTATTATGGACATGATGGCATGCTTCCTTGGGAGAACCTGCGGTTTTGGTATGCTTCTTAACCAATATTCTTTTGATGACCAAGTTGTTTTGCTGCATTGACTCCGTTGTGGTTGATGAATTATCTATGCATGTGCAAGTGTTCTTTGTTGCATGACCTGATATTTATTATGAAAACCTGTGAGTGATAGATTGTGTTGAAATTTAACCCTAAATCACATCATCTTTTCTAATATCTCTTGGGACATTTAACACAACCACATGAAAAATTTGGTGAGACCAACCAAACAGTCTTGGCTCAATAGTGGTAGAACTTACACTAAGCCTGAAGGATTTGAATTCAGATACCAATTGGAGCCAAATACCGAAGTGAGACCATTTGTATTTTAGACCCTGAAGGCACTGTAAATTAGTGAATAATGTATTTATGGCATGTAACATGGTCTTAATACTAAGTTTAAAAGAAAGAGTCTCTACTGAATTTTGAGATGTGATCTGTTTATATGACATCTGTATTCTGGTATTTCTGCATGCTTATTTGGAATGTGAAAAATGGTTGGCCCAATCATTAAATATGTTACTGCTGATTTTTGGGAGTCTGTATTTCACTAACTGAGCTACTTCGTGTATAATATTGTTTTAAAGGAAAGACCGGACAACTCTTGATTCCATCCTCTCTGAAGATGCTGTGATTGTTCCTCGTAAAGGAATATTGAAGGCTTGTGCCATGTCTCTTCCTGTAAGTTAGCTGCTTTTCACCCTCTTAAACTTTGATTTGCCAAAACGCACTTAAAGACACGGTGATTTTTGTTGCTTAAAAAACCAACTGTTCTTGCAAAGTTAACTTGTCAAGGGGACAGGACCTTTTATATTTTGCTTGCTGGCATGGCTGTATGATTAATGAGATGGATTTTTCCAGGATCTTTGGAAAAGTCGCTGCTGCTTGAGGAAGATAGAAGGTTTTGAGCATTCAGTGGTAAATACCACATTAGGGGCTTGTGGCCATCTACCTGAATCAGAAGAGGCTCCTTGTCTTCCCTTTTTTGTCTGGCAATGTGGGGAATTTGAGGTAAAATCTACTAAAAAGCCTCTTTTGCATGAGATAGTTGAACGTGAAGAAGAAAAGAGATTTCCATTGTGGAATAAGTGAATAACAATCTTTCACTAGTATCAATACAGCCTTGTTAACAATTTTTCAGGAACTTAGTGAGACATTTGCAGTTATGGAGTTTGATTGCTCAAAACAAATAGATCTATGTCAAGGGAAATCCCAGGTAAAATGAATATGACAATGCTTTCGAAGTTTTAGATGCATTTGTATGTCGCATGATCAGTGGTATATTGCCTATCATAGTCCGGGTATTTGTTAGACACATAATTCCTTAGCATAAGAATTTGGTGGTGACCTTTATGACCTAACATCGGTTACTCGTGAACTTGCTAATTAAATCGCTTTATTAGATCCCACAGGGCAGCATCAGGTGGGTTAAAATTACCCTTGCCACTAAATATTTGTGACTAGAAAGATTAGGGAGTAATATCCTACCTTAGAAGAGATAGTTTGATATTTATCTACAATAAGTGTCCGGAACTCAATCTAACACATGTTCTCAAAATAAAAACTCGTATGCTGCAGGTAAAGTTTATTAAGAACGGGGTGTGCCATGGATTTGTACTGTGGATTGACTGGGTGATGGATTTGCAGAATGCCATTGTTTTGTCTACTGGTCCAGGTATGGCTCTTCTCCCCTTCCTTTAAAAAGGCAGCCTGTATAGTGCCCTCAACTAGCAAAATGACAGATATAAAACTAATCAAAAGATGAACGATATATAACTACAAGGAGCTTTTGCTTGTGTGCACTTTGCTCACACCATGTTATATATGATTTCAGACAAGAGATATTGGAAGCAGGGAGTGAAGCTTCTGGCAACACCAAGGGCAGTAGGACCCCAAGGCTCAAGAAATGTGGGAGAATCGTGTTCTGCAGTTGTTGAAGCATCCTTTGATCCATCAAATGGGGGACTCAAAATAGTGTTTGATTTCTTGTGATGCCCATATTACAATGTTGCAACTGGAAAGAGCGCGAAAATCAGTGGTAGACAAGGTGGGCAGCTGACATTGTGTTGATGAATTGATCTTGACAAGTTCGAGAATTTGTGGGGTTCAGCTCTTGCTTTCCTTGTCACTTTTCTAAAGCTGATGCACCTATGCTGCCTCTGCTTAGATCTGATGGAGCAACTTCACAGAACCTGAAGCAGTATGTCACAACTGATAAGGTAGATGAAACCCAATGCTATCCGCTATTACGTTTTCTTTGGAAGAGAATTGTGGTGCCTTGAGGGATTTTTTCTTTAAGATAATATATTCAGGTTATTCCGTTAAATCTTGTTCCTCTTTCCTAATCTCTCCGTTTTCATACTTCTATATGCAGCATCCAAGCTGGGCAGGATTGCCATTTTTCTGCACTGTCTGAAACGTTTTGATTACCATACAACAAAATTCTCAATTCATGTAATCGAATCATCGAATATATATATATATTTATATTACTCATCAAGTACACGTTATTTTTTTTTTTTAGGTAATTTTAGAAACTCATTTGATGAGAGATTAATACAAGTCAAGGGGGTGAAAATATAACGGCCCGTTTCAATTGTCAAGTAATTCATATAAATAATTAGGTTAGGTGTATTTTTTGCCAATGAAATATTTTACGATAAACACTCAATACTTTAAATTATTAGTTATAGTAATATTATCTTTATAGTATTAAAATGTAGCAATTTAGCCTTTAATGTTAAATACGTGAACATTAATTGTTGGTTGAAAAAGAGAGAGAGAGAGAGAGAATCTGACTAGAACTTAAAAAATATAATAGTTTAGATGGTAATTTTCAACTTTTCATTACTCCCTCATCATCCGCAACCTTGACGCAGACCCAGTTCCGAGTCTACCTAAACGATGACGTAGAACCCACTCGCCGGCTTTGGTCCCAAGTCCTACTAAGCATCTGCGAGATCCCACAGGACTTGGATTTTGATTTTGAGGTCGTGGATTTGGATCGTTTTGTTGCCTTTGCTCTTACCTAGTTGCCGAGGATTGGTGACTGATTATGGCTGGACGCTTGTTTTTTTATTTTTTTATTTTTTTAGTTACCGGATGAATTCGATTTTGAAGGTGTATATGCCACTATGATTTTTCTTGACTTCGCCTGAGATTTTCTGGTCTTTGATGAAAGGGGTTGATGGGTAGATAGCCATCAGTTTCTTAATTTCCTCAGACGATTCCAGAATTTGCCAAATTTTCTTGGAGTTTCCGAGCATCTTTCTTCATCTTCCATCGGCGTTGCACCATTGGCTTAACTCCATTAACGGTACTTGGCGTGGTAGTAGCGGGAACATCGTTCGTGGTCTCATCGTGTGCCCTGGCATCGTGCTCCAGAGCGCGCTTCCCGAGAGAGAGAGAGGGTTAAAAAAAATAAATTTTCATTTTTGCCCTTCTTCTAGTCAACCACTCAACTTGGATATGCTTGGCACTGACAGGTGGAAAGTTAACGATCAAACTTGAGAATTTATTGGCAGGTGGAGAATGCTCTAATTAAATTGTTACAGGGGTCAAAATGTTCAAAAAATATTTTAAGTCCCGTTTGACTGTTGAAAAAAAAAAATAAAATGAATTAAAAAAATTAAAATAAAAATAAATTAAATTATTTTTTTATCAAAGTAAGTATGATAAAACTATTAATATATATTATAAATATAAAAATTATTATATTTTTTTAAAAATTTTATGAATTATAATTTTTATATTTATGAATTAGTTACTCCATTTTTTTATGCAAGTAGTTCACCTATTTTTTTCACTTGTCTTATTTTTATTTTTATTTTTTTAATTTATTTTATTTTAATTCTTTTTTAATAATCTAACAGAACTTAGGTCATGTTTAATATACTGATGAAGTAGGAGTGACATTAGGATTGGCTAATATCAATTTTTTATGTTTGGTACGAAATAATGAAAGATTTAATTTTAATCTCATTCCCACTTATATGAGGTCCCAATACCACCCGCTCGTGGTCTTGGGAAAGCAATCCTGGGATTACATAATTTCATACCAAATTGCCCTCTTGTCCATCAGCTATCCTCATGTCCATTCTTATCGCCGTCCGAGTGAAGCGTGAATGGCGTCTACTCTCTACTCCATGTCCGTTCTCACCGCCGACGTCCTGAAAGATCAGATCTGGTTATGCAAGTTCAGATCCGGTGAGCTCGACGACAACCCCTCTCCCTTCTTGGTCCCGATTTGCTCGACGACAACCCTCTACCTCCTTGGTCCAGATATAGCGAGCTCGACAGCGGTGAAGGTAGTGGCTGAGGAGGACAAATATGAGTAGCTATGGAACTTGGGTTCATCAAAATGATTCCCACTTTTGAGAAGAATGATGAAGAAGACGAATCTGGGTTCATTGAAAGCATCCCCACTTTCAGGTAGAATAATGATGATGCTGATGAACCCGAGGGGATGAAGAAGAAAAAGATTAGGGCAATATTGTCTTTTTACTAGTTTTGGGGGTAAAATAAACCCGTGTCCCCTTTTTTTATTTTTGTTTTAATCCTTGGCTCTACCAAATACAATTTTAAAATTTATTCTCAGTTCTCAATCCCATTTTTAATCCCTTAAAAATCAAGGCCCCGTACTAAACAGGTCATTTGGGTATTGAATATTCTTAAGAGTCCTCAAAGAAAATTTCAAAAATAAAAATACATCTTTATCTTAAATTTAATAGCAACAGCAATGCCAACGCATGGGATGGCATATTTTGAGCCTCCTTAGATACTCATTGGAAATTAATTTTGGGACGAAAATCATGATTTTATAAAATTTTATTCAAACACTCTTATTTTATAAAATTTTTTTTGGTGTGTGAAATTTCATTTTAAAAAAAATAAAATTTTTTTCATTTATAAAACTCTATTTAACTTCTTTTTTTTGTATTATTTACCTATACATTTGAAATTAATGTTTAAGAAATCATCCAAATATCATCATATTTTAATGATTAATTTTTTTTATAACCAATTTTTTTAATTGAAATCCGAACACACCCTTAAATACCATTTAGAATCAATTGTGAGGTCCAAAATCATAATTTTAAAAAAAGACATGTAAACTCCCATAACTTTCCTAAATTTTATTTTACAAAAGCTAACCAAACATTCATCATTTTTCCAAACTTTATTTGGTGCCGGAAACCCTATTTTCTAAATTTTCGTCCGTTTGTTAAATTAATTTTAAAAAATCTTATCCAAACATAATCATATTTTGTTAAATAATTTTTTTTCATTTAAAATCCAAACGCCTTTTATTTGTCTGCAGAGAATTGCCGTGTCATCACGTCCCAAACGTAGATTAGATGGTGCTAGTGCAGCAGTGCAAGGCTTGTCCGCGCGTTCTTATCTGCAACTATAATCTTTTTTAATCAAATGCTATTTATAAACGTGCACAAGATCCAATTTATGCAACAGTGGGATGAGGCCACGCAGCTGGGGGCGACTTTTATTATTATTTTTTATGAGTGAAAAACAGCCACTAAACTGAAAAGAGTCCATACATATAATAATTAAGAAAAAAGAAAAGGATAGAAAACAAATAAAACAAATTTGCACAAGCTGAAAATAGACGGTCCTAAACAAACGAAGGAAAGCACCAGCTTTGGACTGTATTTGTTTTCAGGCCGATGGTCTGGTATATACACACCACTTATTAACGTAATTCATGTTGTCAGCAACCCGTCATAATATGTCAGACAGGGTGGCAGATTTCATTACTAATTGTGATTAATGGAATAGAGCAAGGTTGGAGATTTGGCTCCCGCAAAATATTGTTAACAAGATCACTAGCATTCAGATCCCGAGAGAGAGGAGGGGTGAGGATAAATTTATCTGGAAGCCATTCAATGATGGCTCCTTCAATATAAAATCTGTCTACTCTTTCATTGCTGCAAGTGCAAGCGATCAACAAGACCCACTCTAGAGAACAATATGGAGAACTCAATGCGGAGAGAAAATGAAGACCTTTCTATGGCTGTTAGCAAAGAACAGGCTTCATACCGGAGAACTAAGAGCTCGACAAGGAATGGATGAGTTTGAAGAATGCCCGTTCGAATGTGGCGAACCGGAAACTTCTTTGCATGTGGTTATGGATCGTCAAATAGCACGCTTAATCTGAAATGAATTGGTCGAAACTAGTCATTGGCAACTCTTCACGACTATTAATAATACATATTGGATCAAATGGAATGCCAAACGGAATGTAAGAAAGGATTCTACAAAAAAAGGTACCTTGGTTCTTTCTTTTTATTTATGTCTGCTGGGAATTGTGGAAGCTTATACGTAAAAGGCTGTTTGATTTAGAAGAGGATATTCCTGCCTTGGATGCTACAAACTATATATCGAGAGCCCTTACAGATAGGCAACTACTTGGTAAAATTAATAGCAAAAGAGCTTTATTGCATCGTCAACATAGCTGGCACCCGCCTAGACCTGGTTTTGTTAGAATAGATACAGATGGCACGGTGATTGCTAATGGAGATGCTACTTGCGCTGGTATAATCAGAGACACTCTGGGTAATTGGGTCTCGGGCTTTTGTTGGAGACGTTCCATTGACGATCGCTGAGCTAATTGGGATCAAGATGGGACTTGAGTTTTGCTGGTTTCATGGTTTGTATAATGTGGAGTTATTCTTGGACTACGCTACAGCTATCAATCCAGTTGCTAGAGATCAGACTTCCACCCATCCTTATCAGGAAGTCATCGATGATACAAAGAACTTGCTCCACAGAGATTGGTCTATCTTGATTAATTTCATGGATAGAGAAGCTAATTGTTTAGTTGACTGCTGAGTTAAGAATTGTCATACTTTTCTTAACGACTTGTACATCTTTGATCAAAAACCTCTTTTCTTGTTAGGGTGGTAGTGGATCAAAGATTTGGTGTTTTTGTTTTTTTGCTTTGTACTGCTACTGTTGTTGGAGGATTTCGTTTCATTAAAAACACTAACTAACAAGTGGAGAATGACATATTAAAACATGGAGCAAACTTTTGTTGGTAGAGATCTTCTGGCTAAAATTCTTCAGAAGCTCACAAGGACCAATTTTGCTCTTAAAATGAAGGAGTTTCCTAGTTTTCATGATTGAGGCAAGTAGTTTCCCTTGAGTTAAGCGATAGGTGCCCTGAAAATTAAACAAAAGAAATTTTTTAAACAGCATAAAATAGTGTATGATAATTCTATTAGAACCTTTTACTTGGAAAATTCTATGAAGGATATTGCCAATCACAACTCGCCAGATTTTCAAGATAAGCAAGTCTTGCAGGCCATTGGGAGCGACTTTGTCCCACCAAGTCTCCATGTCTACTAGTGATAGTAATTTTCAAGAAACTAGAAATTTGTTGTCGTGGTATCTTTTTAGGATTTAAATAATTTAAAATTAAGATGGGAGGATTCCTGTGATTTTTTATGAAAAATGAAAAAAAAATATTTTATAAAAAATAATAAAATAAGTGAAAATGGTGAAAAAAAAAACTTCAAATAAATTCATTAATCCCAATTTTAAAGAATTTGAATTCATCTTTTTAATATATTGATATGCTCCCTCCTGTCTTATTTGTTTGGGTAGAGGAAGAAATTTTTTTATCCTATTTATAAGTTATATCAAAAACTTATTATGACAAATTTAAATATTAATAAAAAATATATATTATTAATATATATGTATATATATTTAATAGGAATAAAATTGAGAATATATTAAGTTTTTAAATAAAATTAATAAAATTTAAATTTTTTTAATTTTAATAATATATATTAAAAATTATTTATATTTATAAATATCATTAGAGGGGTCCACGTTCCAATTTTTTTTTTAAGGGTTTTTTTTTTTTAAGGGATAGTCTTACAATTGGCCAATTGGGTGGGCTGGGTGTTATCCGAAGCACGCACCACGTCGAAAAGGAAAGAGGCTCGTCAGCACTTATTACACTATTTTTTCTGTCGTCTTATTCTTATCGTCGAGGAAACACGCCTGCGCTGCACCGAATCGTCTGGATCAACCTGATGGGGTTCCACATAGTGGCTCTAGTGAATCTCCATCTGAAACTCGGCTGCCACAGTCTCCGCCCATCATTGGCTTGGCTGGCATGGCCTCTCTCGCTCAAGCTCTTTCTTAGTCAGAGAATCGTGCGCGAAGCTTTCTCCGATGCCGCCTGCTCATTCAGGCTTTTCTTGTTTCAATTAGGTCAGATTGCCTTCCACGGTGAATCGCTTCCCTCCGCCACCAGATTCCAACGAGCTCTTCGCTTAATCGGTCGAAGGGTCATCGGTTCCAGACCGGCACATACCACGGAGCTTGATCCGTTGCCGGAGAGCTTTCACACCCTTTCCCTTATCTCTCTTTAATCCTCTTCTTTCTCTCCTGTTCTGTGTGCCTCGTTTATAGATCACTTGGTTTGGTTATATGTAACTGTTTTGCGTCTTCGATCTTATGAAAAAAAAAAATTCCTAATTGTCGGGAAGCAGATATCGATCCTTCCGTGTCTGCTCAAAGTGGATCTTTCTTTTTCACCGGCGAGGAACCTTTTCAACAAATTTGGATGCGAGTGAGTGGTTTTTCGTTATGCTGAGATTCGGCGTTACCGTGAGGGACAGCTATCACGCTGTCTCTGGGTCCCCGTGTTGGAGAAGGTTTCTTCCGAGGCAGGTTCATACGAGTGTTGCTTCTGATTTGTTTTTTTTCATATGAAGATAATATTATATTTGATGGGGATGGCCTTTATATATACATTATTACATTATCTTGTAGTATAATATAAGAATATAACATATTTGTGTTATTAATTTAATATATCAATTCGATATTGATGATGTGTACCTAGGTCGTGGTCACGAATGCCCTACATTCCACGTTTGTCAATTTTTTTAATGCCCAGTGCTTTCAAAATCTTATTTTAAATCCAAATTTTTTATACTTTTATTGGCCTTTTTATTTATTATTTTGTGTCAATTGTACCGTTTTATTCGTTATAATTGTTCTTGTCTCCATCGAAGGAAATACACTTCAGGAGGTTTATTCATCCTGCATAGCCTACGTAGATTTGTAATTGCCAGAGGAAGCTCCCAGCACCTGGTCATAGCAAACAATCCTCATGCCCCTTTTGGTGGCTGCTAGGCTAAGCTGCCAACACCATTTTCATCCATATGACCATATCAGATTTGCAATCTGGTCACAATAATAAATCTATAATTGCTTTCTATTATCATTGAAAAAGGGTCTAGAATACCCTGAATATGTGTCGATTAAATTATCCTTTCACCGGCACTTCAATCAAATCGCAGTTAATGCGAATATTTCTCTCTACAATAATTTTACTCCCATTTAATTCGTGTTTATGAATCAGAAACAAGTTTGCCAGACATAAATTTACCTGCAAGAATCTCACTCCCGGCAATGTCATGACCAGAAACACCCTAATCCAAGATGCAGTCCTCTCTTTGGTCTTAAATATACGGGCTTGCTGAAGAGTTTAATTTAGTTTTAATTGTAAGATCTCAATTTACATTATTTCTCATATTTATTATTTTTCGCTCAAACTAGTGAAACTGCTCTTACTGTGTTGCTTAGAAAAATTAAATTTATGCATCGCTTATAAAAGGATGGGTCTTTTAGAAAAGCCAAGATGCATTTTCTTAATAAATAATAACAAATTTAATCAATTTCCTTAACATATACTCCCTCAACTAAAAAATGAGAGGCACTTTTGAGGGTTTGGATATTAAAAAATATAAAATATTTTTAATGTTTTAAAGTGTAACATGTTTTTTTTAAAGTGCCCATAATAAATAAATAAATTATTTTATATTTATTTTAAAGTAAAATATTCTATTAAATAGAAGTAAATATAGAAAAATAGTGTTAATTTAAAGATAATTGACTAATTTCTTTGCAGATGTGATTCAATTAAAAACGTTTCACATTTTTGAAGGGAAGGACTAAAAAATTAGTTATTTGGCTATTATATTGACGATGAAGGGAGTAATTGGTTTGCAATCCGATTCTCGCCACATGAATCCTTCAACTCTATTCTCGACTACTACTTTTCATGCAGGAACAACCACCACACAACATTCAGGACCACAAGGACAATCAATTAGTTTGAAAGAAACATAAATCCCTCACCCTTAGAAGCCAAGGAAATCAAAATTTTCTCACCAAAAAGAGAAACGTTACTCATTAAGAACTTTTTGAGTTTTTTTAATTTACATGAACCTTTCTATTAGAGATAATTTTGAGTTTTCTAACACTGCCGAGTATTAAGTGTGAGTACTTTTTTTAAAAAAAATCAAACTTTAATTAGTTATATTGTGAGAAACTAAAACCTTATATTAAAAATAATCCGTTGTTAATTTTTGAGTTGGACAGGTCCTTTACTTTCAAGTCAAAGATGTATATGAAACACTCAAGGTTTTATAGGGACAGAGACAAAGGGCCAATTACGCTTGAAAAGTTGGATCTCCAAGTGCGGCCCATGATTGAATATGCCTTCTGTTTCCGGACCAAAAAAAATCTCGTTTTGTACTCCAAAAAAAAATCTCGTTTCGCTCCTCTGCAGTTCTGCTCTTGCTCTTGCGCCCCGTCTCATCCCTCTCTTCTCACCATCCCCGCACTATCCTCGTCCTGATTTTGTCTGCCAGGTGAGTACGGCCAAGCAAACTCGGCAGAAAAACTGAAGGTCGAACTCCGCTGCCGTATTTTGTTCGCAAAAGGTGAGAACCATGGCGTCCTGATTCTATCAACTGGTGCTTATTTTGTTTCGGGGTATGGTTTCTTTCTTTCTCAACTAAAAAAAAATTTCTGCCCGATATTTGTTCCGAGATTTCGATAATTATGGTGTTTTCAGCCTTCGATTTTGTTTTGCGTGATACGTGTGGGTAGAACTCAATCTTATTTTGGTTACTGTCCGTTTGATTATCTTCTCCTGTGTATTCAGGAGGACTAGTCAGAAGTAATGACGACCGCAGCCCGACCCACATGGGCACCTGCTAAGGGTGGCAACGAACAAGGTGGCACTCGAATTTTCGGTCCATCACAAAAATACTCATCAAGGGACCTTGCCGCACATACCACTCTCAAGCCAAGGTAGGGTTTTTGTTGCCTTTGTTCAGTAAGGTTTTCGATCATGTTTACCTTAAGTGTTGTGATATTATGGTTGCTTTTTCTTCTATGTCTCGGTTTCTTGTTGAAAGTGCCCTCCAAAAAAAAAAAACATTGGAGAAAAGCATAGAGTGAAGTGGGTTGCGGCGTTTTTCATGACCGGTATCGAGGATGTCTCACTTTATGTTTTGATTTTCGGACTGACTAGTTTTCCTAGTAAATAGATTTCCTCTCAGCATTGTGGTTTTAAATGTCCAACTTCTACTGGTGGCTACTAAGCAGTTACCAAGTTCTCTTTTCTCCCTCACTCATATGTAGTCCTCAATTATTGTGTTTCTTCGTGTAAAAATTAAAATTATTGTTAGTTGCACGAGTTTTTATCCTTGTGTGATGTTTATTAACATTACAGATTTTTCTTCATGGCTGCTTGGCCTGTAGTTGGTATCTGGTTTACCAGGTTAGGTGTTAGGTATCATTACCATGGATTTCAATTTAAATGGTTTCAATTTCAACCCATCAGTAGTTGATAGTCAAGGCTGTGTAATTAATACTTGGGCTGATATTATTAAATGAGCTAACCTTGGCATGGAAGTTATGATTGAACGTAATGCTCATAACTTCCCTCTAGACCTAGCTGCAGTATAAATGGATAAATTTTGGTCTTAATGTATGATTTTTTGAACGTAAAGGGGCAATAATTAATTTCTTGTTCTATAGAGCGTTGATATTGCTCCTTTACTTTTTTGTAGTCTTTTTCTCCATACATCAATTTTGCATTTGCTTCGACATTCTTTACCATTATTTTAAGATAAGAAAAAAATATTGGAGTTTCATACTTTTTGTTTCTCTTTTATAATTTATTTTATAAGCTTTTCTCATCAATCTTTCTTTATCTTTTGAAGTGTAAAATAGAAAAAATGAGAAATTAATGTCTAGAATTTATAATGATATAGTGGTTATATACCAATTTGGAAGTTACAAATATGTTATACTGATTTTTCCTTGCCTGAATGCGATACTGATTTGTAGACGTAGTCAAGGTGTTTGGACATTTCTTTCATTTCCTTGTAATTTGTTGCGTTGTTACTCATTTTGATCAAGCATTGTGATTAAGCTTTTGAGGCAAGTCAAGATATGATATTGCATAATGTGGTTGCAGATCTTGTCACTTTCTTTGCATTTCTAGACATGATATTACATAATGTGGTGAGAGCTTTGAAATAATTGAAGTGGGATTTTTCCTTTCAACTGAAATTTCTTGATTTAATATCTCTTCTTATGGTTTAATCATTGAAAATCACTCTTAGGTATGGACGTATGATTGGTCCTAAAAATTTAGAAAGAAATGACTTTGATGTGCCATTTGGTTGGATTCCATGTATGAGGATTACCTGTAATCCTGATGCATTCTATTATTCTGGCTGTCTGGTTGGTCCCATGTGATGTAAAGGGGGTTACATTTGATAAAGAAGGTTCCCTCACATGCTGTATTAGGGATTACATCAATAAACCTATGTAATCCCCATTACAACATCCTTTATCCAAAAATACCCCTCCCATCTCGTGCTTCTCCTCCTCACTGTTCACCTCCTCGCACCACCGTTGCATGCATCTGTTGACTTTCTTCAATCAAAACTTTAAACACCATAGCTTCAATCAATCAAGCAGACATTCAACCCAGATCTCACCCAAAAAATCAAACCAAAATAAGAAAGGAGAACGCAAATGGAGAATGACAGAGCACAAACCAAACAAACTCAATGTAATCTACATTACATTACATTCCATTACAGTCATTTCCATGAACCAAACAGGCCATGAGAGATTAAACTTATGGGTGAACTTGTGTTTATCATCAGTACATGTTGGCAATGATCGCTTGAACATGCTAGTGTAGGTTCTACCTATGCGGCTGCTTTGTTGATACATATCAGATCATTGACTTGTCTTGATTTTGTTAAATTGATGGGTGTATGATTTAGGTTACTCTAAACCCAGTTTTAATTTTAGATTTGTCTCTACTCCCCAAATATTAATATTAGTCATGATAAAATCTCCACGCTATCCAAGGATAGGAGTTATTTGTGGAACTGATGCTATTGATGAGTGATGCACAGTCATATGGGGCACCCACCTCAAATTCAGCTGTGAAGTTATTGTTATAGTTTTTTTTATAGCTAAAAAAAAAAAAAAATCTGAACATAGTGTTGGATCCAAAATGGTTTATTTCTTTCCCCGCAGGAGAGAGAAGAGATTGCATTTCCATATGAAGTTCATCACCTTTGTGATTGATGCTGCACTTGCTCCTTTTCCTGCAGTCACGTATTTGACTTGAGTTATTTCTTTCCTGACGAATGTAAATCTACCTTGCCAGGAAGGAAGGGCAGGATACTCAGGAGGAATTGCAGAGAAGGAACCTACGTGAAGAGCTTGAAGAGCGTGAAAGGAGGCATTTCTCGTTAAAAAATAAATCATATAACGGTAAAACATCAGTCATAAGAGGTTTTGTACATTTCATCATTCCTTTAAGATTTAAGTGTGTTCTATTAGGCAAGTTTTCACTGTTTCATTTGCATTATATATTGACAGATGAGAGGGATCGTGGAAAGGGAAGCCATCTCTTGTTGGAAGGTATTTTATTTGACTCTAAAATTATGCATGAATTTAAATGTCTTTGATATGTTGATATTGGACTCCAAAATAGTAAAAGAATACATAATGATTAAAAATCTTTTTTAGTGTTCTAATTTTTGTGGATCTCTAATCACCCAGGGACAAAGAGGGAAACAGAAGATCGCATTGTTCCACGTAGTGTAGATGCAGATGATTCTGATGCTGAAGCCAAAAGTGATGATGAGAGGTCATTAACGTTGCAAGCACTCTTCATTACAATCTAGCGTTTGTTACTTGTATTATTTTTGTATCTTCCAAAAAAATAGTATTATTTTTGTAATCGTTTTACATCAATACGTGGTATCAGACCTGTCACAATGCCTTCGTTCATATACAGCAGTATGTATTAAAGTGCCTCTGTTGTGTCAGTGATGATGATGAAGATGATGATGACACTGAAGCTTTGTTGGCTGAGCTTGAACACATAAAGAAGGAAAGAGCAGAGGAGAAGCTCCGTAAGGTGAATGAAGCTTGTTCTTTCTGATCATTTCCTTAGGTTGTTTCGACACACCAGTGAAACTCTCGGGATATGATTGAGCCCAGTTACTGATATATATATATATATATATATATAATCCTTATGCAGGAACGGCAACAGCGAGAGGAAGAGCTGAAAGTAAAGGAGGCTGAGCTTCTACGAGGAAACCCACTGCTAAATAATCCAACATCTTTCAATGTGAAAAGGAGGTATTGAAACTTTAGAATGAAGCAGCTGTCCGTTGTTAAATGAAATAGCCCGTGTAATTTGTTCTGGGTTTGCTGAGATGACTTGGTTTTAAACTTTGTTTGGTGTAGGTGGGATGATGATGTGGTGTTTAAGAACCAATCCCGAGGTGAAAGCAAGACGCCCAAGCGATTCATAAATGACACCATCAGGAATGACTTCCACAGGAAATTTCTGCAAAAATACATGAAGTAAACGTGTCTCTGGAATCAAGGAAACTTTGTAATTTGCCGTGGTTCATTGTATATCTAAATGTATGATTCACTGTTAATGGATGTTGATGTTCTCGGGACTGCCATCTGACAAGCAACTCATAATTTTGATGTAAACTCACGTTTGGGGTCCGTTTCGCTCCGCGCCAAATCAAAGAATACAAGAGATCCGTACGTATCTGGATCGCTTCGTTTCAATAATGGGATCAATCCCAGTCCTATCAAGAAATACGAGGGCATGCTCAATCCCGCAATCCACGTTTGTTTGTCCTGGTGGGTCAGCACTCGACAGTAGTCTGAGTTCACCTGTGCCCAATATTATCTTCTGATAGGCCCTCCACAGAGGCCCACGTTGTTACCTAATCCTTGTGTAAGTTTGTGTTGCATGGATTATACATACACGTGAGGATTGATTACGGATACACGCTATATATATATATATATATATATATTCATATCGTTGAACGGTAAATTAAGTAGTATGATGCTAATCATGAGAACGATCAGAGATTTGAATTGTTCCGTCAAATAAATAAATAAAGAAATATAAAAGCACCGACCAGTGACTCCCTCGCAAGATTTCTGTGTGGAGTAATTAAATAGAGAAGATACAATTGGACGGCCGCTTTTGGAAACGACATTATTATCTGTTGGTGGACCATCCTTGGATTGCTCCTCTTTCGCCCCTGAAATTTATATTTGTTATCATTATTTTTTGGTAGCTATAATAAGCATTCGTGCTTTGTACGCGTTGGGGAAATTTTGTAGTTGTGTTGTTTTCAAAATTTATGATAGCTATAAGGCTTTTGACATAATCAAATATTAGTTTTTTTTATGATTTTTTATGGCCTTGTATTTTTTTTTTTAAAGAAGTATGGAATTGCAGATTGCCACTTACAATGAACAGTGTCTTATGATTATACATAAAGCGAAATACGTTGGAAGTATTTGAATGTTGACTTTTAAAGTGATCGACGACTGCGCATCGATTTCAATTATTTATTTCAAATGATGCTTCGTATTCAACCGGTACTCCACCGTTTATAGAAGTTAGCATCAGATTGAAACTCGGATCATTAAAATATCTCAATCATTAGAAAGATGCCATACGTGATTAAAAAAAATCAAATTATTAAAACTTTGATGATCAATTCTAATTTTGTGTGTGTGTGTGTGTGTGTGTGTGTGTGTGTGTGTGTGTGGATATAAAACCAAGGCCCCCGATTAAAATTTAGCAGACAGCAAGTTCTTTTTCCTGATTTGGACAGGCATTTTAGAAATTCTCTTGGAAATTGATTAGTTGAAACGGTGGCTTGGGGACAGTTAGGTAAGGAAGATATAGCTAACTGTCAGCGTGGCACATTTACCTTGTGTTCTTTTTATATTGTGTTTGTTATAAGTTTAAAGGAATACCTCAACCTAAAGGATTGAGGTTGTGTTGGAAAATTTTTTGAACATACTCATCACAGTACACCATCATTCAAGAGCCGATATCTTACACTAACACTTTACTTAGTCTTTTGTTAGTCATAACTTTTTGCAAGTAACTTCCACCAATGTGACAAGCATGAATTCAAAATAAGAGTTCATTTTAGAAAATTATATTATTGGGTGAGAAAGCTCAATTTATATGTCTCCTTTTTTTGAATGAAACCTTTTCATGTGGGTCTCATGACAACGTGTGTATGGACACTTATGTTTGTATTGTGTTATAAGGTTTCATAGGATTGTATGACATCCGCATCAACATTGTTTCAAAATGCAAAATGCTTAAGGCCGGCTTTGGTCAATGCTATTTACCTTAAACTAGCGTCCCAATCATTCCTCCCCTAATGTAAAATCAATAATCATAAAACATAGAACACTCAACTTTGGTCCACGAGTAGGATCTCTCTCTTTAATGCTGGACCTTAATGTTTTTTGGGTATTATTATTATACATAACAGTTGACTTGCATTTGAATAAGATTATTTATTTGCAAATGGGATGAACTAAAAAAATTTAAAAATTATCTAACACGTAAAAACACCTTCATGAGAAGTAAGCCACGTTTGGTTGAAAGGAAAAGAGGGGAGGGGAAGTGAAAAATGGAATTTTCTGGCCAGTATGGCCCTTACAATTACAAAAACATCTGATGCACTCCAACAACCCCATCAAACAAATTTTCTTTTGAAAATAATTTTAAAATAAAATTTACAAAAGGAAAAATCAATCTAAGATCACTTAACATTTATTGCTCTCTAGGATTAAATAATTCTTATATTATACTCTCTCCGTTCAAAAATATAAGATATTTTTTGAAGTGTTGGATATTAAAAAATGTAAAGTATTTTTAGTCTTTCGAAATATAATCATTACTTTTTTTTCAAAAGTGTCCCTATTAATAATAATTTTATATTTATTATAGGGTGTTTAATAAGGGTGGATATGAAAAAATAGGGTTAGTTGAAAAGTAGGTAACTATTTTATTGAGGGTGAGATTTAATTTTAAAAATGACTTATATTTTTGAATGGAGGGAGTACAACAAGACCAATGAACTTAAATATAATTAAAATTTATTGTTAAAGGATAAAACTACCCCTCATACACACACATCCTTTTAATCACAAGTTCCCATTTAGGAAAAATAAGTCCTATTTTTATTTTAATAACAATCAATTTTTTATTAATAACTTCAAAATATTAACTCAATGATAGAGAGAAAATATTGTGATTTAGTAAATAAATTATCATTTTAAAAACAAGTCTTCCATCACAACAAATATATGCATATAGAGATGGGTTTGTCTTTTCACAATAAATTTAATTGTATTTAGGTCTTTCTATCCTGCAGAGCAAAATCAAAATTATTTGATCTTGCAAAGCAAAAAATTGTTATTAAGTGGTCATTGGTGTGATTTTTCCTTTACAAAATAAATTTTAAAAATGAAAAATGGAAACAAAACCAAACAAGCTTCTATTTTCTCTTTACTACTTTAGTTGGGGTTTTAGTTGCTCCTCCTTCTCTTATTTGATTAGTATTGAATAAAAAAAACAGGGAGGGAGGAGAGCCCTTTTTTTTTTTTTACCAATGAGCCCCTTATTTAGTTAAAAAATTAAAAGAAAATGGAAAATTATAACTAAATTTTTTATTTATTATTTTAAAAATTTTAAACTATGTTTGATATTAAATAATTATGCATTATCTTTCCCCCTCTCTCTTATAATTAAATAAATTTTATCAGTTTACAACAATTAATATATAATTTTTATTGTCTAAAATTTTAATACTTTTCATTAGATACATTGATAAAATATAATACTAATGATTTATTTTTAAAAAAAAATGTCATTAAATATAAGTTTATGTCTTTAAAACAATAAAATCACCAAAATATAATATAAATATTTTTTATAATAAATCAAAATCAAAATAAAAACTAATTTAAAAGTGATAAGAATGAAATTATTAATTTATTATTGATTTCTCTACCCTCCTAAATCAGACAAAAATTCATTAAAATCCCTCCTATTTCCCTCCCCTCCTCGCGGGACCATTAAAATTCCTCTCTTTCCCTCCCATTCCCTTTGAAGTTTGAACTAAACACAACCTTTGTAGTTTGCAGTCTTCTCTCAACTCACCCCAACAACTTGTCCTTTTTTTAATTTTACGCTTTAATATGTATTTCTGGGAAGTTGCCGTAACATTGTTGCGTTCCTGTGCATGGCCAATGCACGCCAGTATGCCACGGGAGGAGGGTATCTCTATTTTTTATTTTTCTTCACTTTTTTCATCTTAAACATTTATTAATTTTATAATTTTAAAAAATTATTTAATAAAATAATATGAGTGGTTGAGTGAAAAAAATGGAGGGAAACAAGGAAGTGGAGACACTCCGCTCCCGCCCGTACGCCACAATGCCCAATTCCATTCTCTCGCCTTATCTCCTGCTGCCAGTTCAATTATTTTCATTAAATTCAATAAAATAATGAGTACTCACTTTTTCAAGCATGACCCTCCGTGACTGTCTCTGAGAAGCTTGCCTTGCACTATTGACGATAAATATCAAGCATCAAACGGTCAAGCCATCAACCACTCTCTCTTTCTTCTTTGCTTAAAAAACCCACTTTTTATTTTCTTTCCTTTTCAATCCTTGCTGCAAAGCTTATCATAAGATAATGAGATCCCCAGTTGCAACTTGCAAAGAATATTCCCCGGAACCATGCGAGATCCTCCTCTCCTCCCTTCCCCAACCCCTCCTGTTTATGTACTCTGTCATCTCAAGTCGCATCTACTCCCTTTTGAGTGAACGTATTGTAGGTTGGGCTTCATTTTCTTATAGTTTTTTTCATATCATAAATGCTTTAACATCATTGTAAGTTTGTAATTTTCCCCCCCGGGGGGGGGGGTGGGATGATTTAAACTTTCAATTTTATTCAGCAATCAAGCAGGGTGGGTTTCTCTTCTTTATTTTTTCTCTCCACTATCTTTCCACTGTAAATCTAAATTATTTAAATTAAATTTATATTTTTAAAAGTTATCAAATTTAAATTTTTAAATTTAATTTAATAGTTTAGTTCTATACCAATTTCTCCTTTCTCCTCTTTTGCAAGGGAGAAAATCCAGGTCCCAATCAAGTCCTTCCACTCAACCCAATGCAACTCATTTTATTTCCTCCCTTTTTCACCTTTCTTTCCATTTCTCAATTATCATTATTAATTTTATTTTATTAAATAAATTTATTTTAATTATAAATTTAATGAACGGTCATGATTGGTGGAGAGATCGCTCTCCCATATTTCACAGTCACACGACGCACAATTGGTTGACAAAAGAACCATTTAATTTATGGAATATAACGATGCTTTAAAATGAAAAGTAAGAATGTTCTCGAGGAATAATTGGTGATCCTTCAATTTTCTGCACTGGTCTCATTTGCTAATCTATTGCTGACACGATTAAGAGTGAACAACTTTCGTAATGCGCAGCGCTTCGTATCAGAGAAATGATAACCGCGACGACTCTTCTGGTTACTTTTGTTTTGTATTATATTACATGATTATTTGTTGAACTGTTAATGAATTGACATCTGAGTCTGAGAGTGATTTTGATCGAAACCAGGATTGAATGATTAAAAAATCATATTGATTTGCTGTATATAGAAATATAAATATTAAAAATGATAGACTGCGGAGCCTGCCCTCTTGTAGAGAAGCGCTGGAAGTATTTGCAAAGAAGACGAGCTTATTAATTTTATTTGCATAAAATAATGATAAACTCAGTCATCATATAATGGGATCTGAAAAGTTGGAGGAACAGGCAAGTCAACGCTCTTTGAGCTGTGAAAGGGCGTGAGAGTTGAGACGAGCACAAATCTGAGAAAGCCATCTCTCGTAAATTAAAAACTAAGAAAATTCAACTCTTTCTGTTTGGAGAGAGAGAAAATTCAATTAACTTGGGGATTAACTATTAAGTCTCTTCCATTTTGGCAGTAAGATGTCATCATGTACAGATGGACCATTGTGAGTGGCGTCGAGCAATTGATGATGAGGCCTATTTCGTCGATCACGAATAACTGCAGCCGATCCACCAATAATCGGTGGATTCCAACGTGCCATGCATTGACCAACGCGCCCCCTATCTTCAATATCGGAGGAGAAAAGTTACAACGTGTTTCAAACATTTTCACGCCAACAACTACAAGTCATCAATATGTGGACTTACAAAACCTAAGGAATACTTATTTAAAAAAAATAGAAATAGAAAGAAAAGCTAGAAACGGAAGCTGTTCCCCAAAAAAGTAGATATTTCTTTGTACTTATTCCCCTTTATCTTTTTTTTAAGTAAAATATTTTCTTTTATTTTTATTATATGACATTTTTAATTATTGCGTATATTTTAAAAAAATTAAATTTTTATATAATAAAAAAGTGAGGCATACTTTTATTTTTATTATAAATTTTAAATAATAATATAACTACATTAAATACCTCTGCTTTAATCAAAAAATGATAAAATTAAAAAAATTAGTTTAATTATTACAAGATATTTTATATTTTGAATAAAAAACTACTCCTAAAAGGCATATTATAGAGAAGACTAGAGGGAGTACTAATCAAGCTAAGACACAGACGTACTTTTTTATGGGTGAAACAGACACACACACTTTGGTGTAAACATATACTTCCTCCATTAACAGGTTAAATATTTAAAAATATAATGTATTTGTGATCTTTTAAGTGTAATCATTTTCTTTTTTTTTCAACAATACTCCTATTAAATAAATAATTTATATTTATTTTAGAGTGAAACACCTTATTAAATAAAAATAAACGTGGAAAGATAATGGTAGTTTGAAGACAAGTAACTACTTTATTGGGATGAGATTCAGTTAAAAATGTCTTATATTTTTTAATAAATGGAGCATATAATTTGGTGTGAACATATATATAAGCCAAAAATCTCTCTCACACACACACTTTGGTGTAAACACAGACACACACACACACACATAATTTTAGGGGGAGAATGACAATTAAGAGCCTGTTTGAATTTCAGTTGGATATAATTTATTATTATGATTAATTATAATTATAATTGAGTATGTTATAATACAATTTGTTTGGATACTATTTTTTTAAAATTAATTTTAATATAATTAAAAATATTTTGATAATTTAGTCATAATTAATTTTAGCTATATAAATTACCATAAAAAAATTTCTTTTTAAAATTAAATTATTGATAAATTTGTATCTAATATTATTAAATTTGTTAAATTTTATTTAAGAAGTAAAATATATTATTTAAATTATATATTTGATTACTTATAAATATTTAAATTATATGAGTATTAACATTTAATTTACATAAATAAATAATTCACTATATCTTAGTTCAAATAAATTTAATAAAAGAGAAAGATTTAATTTTTAAATACTAAACATCAATTTTACAATAACTAATGAAAATGATAATATACAAATTAATTTTTAATAAAATCATGGATATGAGCTATATATGATGAAGATATTATGGACGATGTTAACAATGAATATTCATCAATGTTTGATCTTCTTAATCCTCATGCTTCATTTGATCTTTCCTTTCACGATGCATAAAATCGGAATCAAAATTAGATTATTTTCTAATAAAATTATGTATCGTCATTGATGCAACAATGATATGAACTTGCATATCATAATCATAGTTAGGCATATTGCATAAAATTGCAAATATGTTATTCCAAACTCCAAATGTTCTTTCTATCGTGCGCCGTAAACTTGAATGAAAATAATTAAAAATTTCATTATTATTTGTAAATCTAATTGTTCTTTTAAAATTAGAAAGATGGAAGCTTTCTTGTTTATACAGACTAAGATATTCATTTGGCGTTGGATAGCCGACATTCACTAAATAATATTTACCTTATGAAAAAGACACTATTATAATTGTTTGTAAGTTGAAAAGTTCAACATAAACAAATTAAACCAATAAATATACCCAAAGGTGAATGAGGAAATTTAAACACGACATTTGAGTTATTAGAGCACGTTTAAAAATGCAAGTATCATGTGTACTACCCTCTTATCTAACCAAGATAAAAGTGAAACACATGTCTCAATCACACACAACCATTATATTTTGAATTGGGATTCATTTTCTTTCAATATATTTTGATTTTTCATTAGCTGGAATTGCACACGAAATATGTACTATCAATTGCTCCAAATGCATTTTTGAAAAATGTCATATATTGCTTATCATTTTGTATTTTATTTGATAGGTTACGAAACGACCTGTCTTGTGGTTTGATATATTCCATTGCAAGTTTAGAGCAAGCCATTAAAACTTTATGGAAATGTCTATGAACAGTCTCTTCTGAGTGTTGAAATCTTTCTTATGCCAACTTATTTCCCAACTCATGTCCAATTGTATTTAAAAATATTGCAATCATTTCTTGTACTCTCATTCACCTAGTATCCTTTAGTCTATGCTATGTCAATTCATTGTATAATTGATGAAACACACGTGATTCCATTCTAAACATTTCATAGCATCAAATTAGGTATCCTTCTAAGATTTCATTTACCCATAGATGACCTATATATTCCCTGTTTCTTCATGGTTCTTTATACAAATGTTTTGCTGCATACAACCTAATCAAAGCACTAACCTTTTGGGCTCTCTTTAATTTTTTTTTATCTAACTCTTCCATAATCCTTACTAGTTACTATCTGTAGCCAAACACAAAAATAACATGTGCACTTAATTTTAATTATAAATATATCTAAATAATTTAACTATACAAATATCAATAACTCTTCCACAATATTAAAATACTTCAATAGTATGAATAAAAAGCACATAAATAGTTCAAAGAGTTGCATGAGTCAAATTTAACAATATAATACAAATACATCATACTAATCTTTAAGTAGGATAATATGTTTATAAAAAGTTTTCAAACCCCTCATAATCAACCATTTTCATAACACTCATATCTCAACCACTACAACGCCATCTCTCTGTCATCCTTTATGGTCAAAAACATTACTCTTGCCTCTCGGGACATGAAGAGTGACATGCATCGTGAAAGCCAATGTTTGTCAACTGTAACTTCCTCCATTTATTTGACTATAAACATGACTTGAGGATTTAATTTTTTTTCCTTGGCCTCTTAAGATTTTTCTTTTGTTGTTTGAGCTATCACACTCATTGCATTTGTCATTTAACTTGTACTAGTTGCCTTATTCATTTTCCTACTATTATTGTTTTCACCACTCTCCCTCTTACCACTGCCTCTGTAACAGCCTTTCGCTCACCTTGCCTCCTCGAGGTCTTTTGCGGTGCTGGACACTCTCCCCTCAGGCCCGGCAACAGGGCGACCCCACCCCTTTCGGTGAGCATCAGGAGACAAAGGCTTCCCCGCAGTAGTGTGCAGGATTATTCCCCTTGCGGAGAGCCTCCTCAGATTCGATCCTCCAACCTCTCCTACATAACAAAGTTGAGGCTGAACCTGATACCATTGAGTCAAGCGCCGCAAAAGACCTTGGGGAGGCAGGATGAACGGAGGGCTGTTACAGTGACTGAGACGAGTAAGTTGGCCAAAAGCCTCACCTCAAACACTATACTTTGATTTTTGACATATATACCTTTAATGACCATTATACATTGAAAAATTACTTTTATTAAAATATTGACTAAAATAGAATAGAAAATAATTATTTTTTTAACAAATCATTTTACCAAGTGCAACTAAAATAGCCACTTTAAAAAAAAAAGTCATTTTCTAATTCATTTATAAATGACATGTGTAGAAAAAAAAATCATTTTTTATTTCATTTCAGTCAATATTCTAATCAAAGCAATAACCTCCCAACGCATAATAATCACTAAAAACAAATATATCATTTTGTCATAAATCAAAATATGAGACAAGGTTATAAAAAATAAATAATAATTATTACATTTTAATGTATTTACTTGTTATTTATATTTTTGTATGAGTATTTTTTATCATTCTCCCAATTTAAAAAAATTAATTTAATTAATTTCTAACGGGGCGCATGATGAGGATAAAATGTGAAGATTCCTCCTTTGGTGTAAGCGTGAACCGGCCCATCTACCATTTAAAAGCTTTCGCTTCGGCCATATCTTTATCCAGTTCTTACTGGCTTGGATACGACCCGACAATGAAAAAGTTTCCCCCTCTCTCTCCCCCTGTCTTCTTCTTCTCGCATTGATCTTTTCCTCTCAGAACCCCAAAAGAGACTCCACCTTTGTTTGTTGAAAAACAGAAGCTGCTCCTTTCTTTTAACGCGCTAATCGCTGACAAGAGTTCCACTGAAGGAGGAAAGTGGAAGCAGTATTTGTACTATTACCCACTAGCTCCCTGTCCACCTCCTCTCTCGTAGAAAATCCCAACCCCTTTCTGCTAGACTCTGCCCACAAGGTATGGCGTGGCCGACGCGAAACCAGCTGCATCGCAATGCGGCGTCGTTTTGTAGATACTCTCTCCTCGTCTTTGCCTTGTGCTTCGCCTTCTCCGCGCCTCTCTGCAGAGCCACGCCTCAGCACAAGAATGCTTATGCCACCATGATGTACATGGGCACCGCCAGAGACTACGAGTTCTACGTCGCCATACGCGTCCTCTTCAAATCCCTCGCCGCCCTCAACGCCCAAGCCGATCTCGTCGTCATTGCCTCCGTCGACGTCCCTCTCCGATGGGTCCGAGCTCTGTACGTCCGCTCCCTCCTTGCTTTTTGTCTTGCTTTTAAATTTTTAATTGTATTTCAGTTTTCGGTATCACGGATTTGCTTGCTTGTTGCTTTCGACCTCATAAGCGACTGCTAAATTTGTAGTTTCTTGCTTGTTCCGTCGGGTTCCTGTTCTTGGTAGAAGGGAAGCGTTTGAATTAGGGAAGAAGACAAAAGAAGGCAACATCGTGGTTAATGGATAGAAAATCGGATTGGGATTAAGATCATAGGGAGTTAGGGATATCTGGTTGGCTTGGTTACACAGTCACGGCGCTCCATGTTAGGGAAGTAAATAAAATCCTTTACAAGGGGGAAATAACCGTAGGGGCCCACACTGATTAGGCACATTAATTAGCCCACTAATCGTGCTTCTAATTTGACTAGGTTTGCCATTTGCTGGTGACTCAGTAACTCTTTAGGAATTGGCTTTACGCGTGAATTCCAAGCAGTCGTAGACGACCCTTTCAACTATCCTTGGCCGTACACCATTTTCTCTGTTTCCCACTTCTTTCTAAATTAACATTTCTTTAATTTTTCCCAAGATAAGTTTAAATTTGCTTACGGCTTGTGCTAAAACAAGGAATCTTCCTCCCTATAACTCGTTAAGTCGGGGCATCTGCTTGGCATATCAATACATGACAGTACAATTTGATTTCAGTCATATCCTTGTATTCTTTAGTTTATTTTTTTGTGGAGTCTCTTCTTTAATATATATATATATATATATATTTAATCTGATCTTTCATAACGCTATATTCTTCATTTAGTCCTTCGCACAGTTATCTTCAATTCAGTAGATAAAATAAGTGGATGCTGTGACATGTCATATGCTTCCTTCCCATTTGTATAAGATATTTTCTAGAAGTTTATTTTGGCCTTAAATATAAAGGATGTCATGAGAGTTTTGAATAGGGGAAAAACTTGTATACTTCTCCTTACATACTTAATGTACTTGTTTTCAATTAAATCAAGACATGTGCATCTATTATAGATTATTTATTCTATAATAAATTCTTGTTATTAATATTATTAACATATTAAAGTTTACATGTCTTGATTTAATTGGATGAAAGTATATTAAGTATGTAAGGCTAAGTATATAAGCCTTACCTTTTGAATAATTAGACAATTTTGCTTTTGTCTTGAAAAATGGATGAGACATTAATTGTGTGTTGTTCACACCACAACTATGATATTAATTGTGATAGGCAAAATTGGAAAAACATTGTGATTTTATATAATTTCAATTAAATAATAAACTTTTATTAATATGCGGATTCATCTTATATAAATGGATGGAGGGAATATTTCATTAGCAAGTCATAAACAGTATTATTCTGTCAATTTATTATATGAATTCATTTTAAAACTATATATATATATATATATATATATATATTGATAAAAAGATGAAATACCCGAAATTATTTCTTATGGGGATGAAAGTAATTAATGAGGGGGTGAACTTGCTTTCGGTACATCGTGCCTTTGGAGTAATTAGGCCATTGATTGTGTATAGATTCAAAATCAAATAAATATAACATGATTAACACAATCAAATTTAATTTTTTTTCTATTGCCAAGACTAAAATAGTAATGGTGATTACGTGATCACGCCGTGAAACATGTTTGCTTCTTGGGAGTAAATTCTTTAAAGTTGAAATTCATGAATTTATTTATAGTTTTCATTTTTTTTAATATTTTTCCTTATTTGATTACTTTTTATAAAACACAAAATCTTCTCTTTCTTTCTTTCTTTTCTTTTTTTAAAAGGTAAACTTTATGAAATTTATGAATTTTCAACTTTAGAGGATCCATTTCCTTGCTTGTTATAATTATTTTTTTTATTGATTGAAATGTGGGCATATGAGATTTGAATCTTGATTCGCTGTTGCTTGTTATTTATCTTATCATGTCCGGGTTTAAACACTGGAGTCTGAGTAATAATCCACAAAAATGAAGTTTGAGTCTGTCAGCCCCAAAATTGAAGAGTATGAGCACTTTTAGCAAATCTAACCGGTCAGCTTTTCCGTTAACTTTCCCAACCTTTTAGAAAATGTGGTTGGGCTAACGTCTCACCAACCCATTTTTTTGACCTTTAGTTCTCGTCACGCGCCACAGACACGTGGAGACCCGACTTCCCAAATCCTTACGCGTGGACTCGTCATGTTTTCACAGCAAATTTTCACTGAAAGTGACTTCGTATTCTTCCATTTTAACAATATTCATCACTCCCGACCCCGAAAGTTTCGTTCACAAGCACACGCACTGATACACAACTCCTATTTCGTATGAAAGTAAAATTGTACGTTTTCGTAGCTTTAAGTTTGTTCGACTAAATTTTTTCTTTTATTTTCTGAAAAGCCTCCCCTTTTCTTTTTCTTTTCAAAAGAGGTTCCACCAACGAGAGCTATTAAACTGGGGAAAAAGAAAGAAAGAAAGAAAGATACTTTAATTCATGTGACTGGGTTTAAGGGTACTTGTATGGTGGAATGTTAAAGAATGATTTGGAAAACACTAGTGTATGGATTTGTTGAAATGATTGGGCTTGGATGGGAAACTACTCAGTTGGATATGGCACCAATGGATAGAGGTAAAAGAAGAAAGAATTGCGTGTGGGGCAAGATAGAGCATGATCAAATAGTTGGAGAACTCAGGGTGTATTAATAATATTAATTAGGTATGTTTTTTCTGGGGATATTAATACTATTATGCAGGGAACAAGAAGATGGAGCGAGAGTGGTGAGAGTGGAAAACATGGACAATCCCTACAAGCACCAAGAAAATTTCGACAAGAGATTCAAGTTGACGTTAAATAAACTGTACGCGTGGAGCCTGGTTGATTACGACAGGGTGGTCATGTTGGATGCTGACAACCTCTTCCTTCATAACACCGATGAGTTGTTTCAATGTGGACAATTCTGCGCTGTCTTTATCAACCCCTGCATCTTCCACACCGGCCTCTTTGTCTTGCAGGTCAGTCATTTATTCACCCTTCTTCCTTCTATTATTATAACATCATCATCATCATCATCATCTATCTTAGCCAAACCCTTATTTAACTCCAGATTCCATGTCCATACCTGTACTCTTAAATCCTTTCTTTACACGTTTCTTCCATATCTTCCCACGTATGTTTGAAGCAATCAACTTAGCAGAACCTGAGTAAGGACAACGAGTACTACTGCAATCATCGCAATAATGACAATGAAATTTTAGTCTCCGTTGTTTGCCATCTAATAATTTAATATTTGCAGCCATCAATGGCGGTGTTTAAGGATATGGTTCATGAATTAGAGATTGGAAGAGAAAATCCGGATGGTGCAGACCAGGGTTTTATATCTAGTTACTTCCCGGAATTGCTCGACCGGCCACTGTTTCATCCGCCGTCGAATGGCACCAAGCTTGAGGGAACTTACAGGCTTCCTTTAGGATATCAGATGGATGCTTCGTACTACTGTAAGTAAAACTAATTAATCGAAGTGAAACGAAATAGCTGAACTCAGATGATTTTTGAAGGAACGTGTGGATGGGTGGATGCAATCTAACTTGATGCCACCATCGATGATATGTTGCTTCAGATCTTAAGCTGCGATGGAGCATACCGTGTGGACCAAATAGCGTGATCACATTCCCAGGGGCTCCCTGGTTAAAGCCATGGTACTGGTGGTCGTGGCCTGTTCTGCCACTAGGCCTCCAGTGGCATGAACAACGTCGTCGAACTTTAGGGTCAGTTCAACAGTTCCATTCCTATGTCAATAATTGCATCTCGAATTTTAAGACACTTGCAATGTTGATAAAATGTTGATGTGTATTATCTGTGATGTGTACAGGTATAGTGCAGAGATGGCAGTGGTGCTGATCCAATGTGCGATATACATTGGAATAATAGCAATGACTCGTCTAGCGAGGCCGAGTCTGTCAAAGCTGTGCTATAGGCGTTCGGACAAGAGCATTAACTTAGTGCAAAACAGCCTCAAATTGGTAGCATTTTGGTGCATACTTGCTGCCTACGTAACTCCATTCTTCACCATTCCTCACACGGTTCACCCTCTTCTGGGGTGGTCCCTGTATTTGCTGGGTTCTTTCGCCCTGTGTTCGATCGCCATGAACGCGTTGCTGCTTCCAATTTTACCAGTTTTGGTCCCATGGTTTGGTATTGTTGGGGCGCTCTTGGTTATGGCGTTTCCCTGGTATCCAGATGGGGTTGTCAGAGCCTTGACCGTCTTCGTTTATGCCTTCTGTTGTGCTCCATTTCTGAGTGTAGCTGTGTCCAAGATAATGGCGGCTCTTCAGTTAACTCTTGAAAGGGAGGCTTTCTTGCCCAGATTGGGGGAATCTTCGCCTCCTTCTGCGTTCAACAAGCTTTACTGAATTGAGCCGTACCCATTTGAGCATAATAGAGTTACTGCCACAGACGATGATTTTTTCCGCTGAGATCAGAGTGACTTGGCATGGGATCTTCACCGTGGGGACTTAGGGGCGTGGCATCATTAGCATTCTTTTGGATTAAGGATTAAGCATCTGTAGCCGACCAGCCTTGCTCTTACAGATTTCTGTTTACCACTTTGATTGGCTCCACTCTTGCGTAGTTGTAAAATTAAATTATTGAGCAGTTTTGGGAAGGGCAGGGATTTGAGCGTCATTACTCATGAGTCCTTGTATAAACACTGTATTGGTATTTATATTATAGTATATATATAAATATATATTCTTCCAATCATTCGATGGTCTCGCCCAATGCAGGTAGTAGAATATCTGATATACATCGTGAAGTATTGTACGTGCATCCTATAGAGCACAACTATTGGTGCCGTCTCAGCTGCTGTAGAAAGTATTTTATTGCTAAATTATGCCGATCAGTTTTGCAATAATGAAGGCTAGGTAGCATGTGAGCCCAAGATATAGATTTGGGCCTTTAACAACTGGCACATGCAAACTCAAAGGGGACCCCCAACAAAAAGGAAATAACAAATGAGAATGAAAGGGCGACATACATAGATTAGCTTTTACTAGCTACTATCTCAACTTTAAGACTGGTCCGTGTAGGGACCGGACGACAGAACCTGATTAGCCCAGTCGTGGCATAGTGTTGTTACCCCAAGCAATTTGCTTCATTGCATTGGGACCCGAAAACCCCAGCCCACTGCATGATTATCTCAATCATTAATCTTTCCTTTGTTGTTTTTAACCATGTTAATGGACATTATTGAATTCAACTTAGGTCAATCAGTTTATGAGAATGGATTCTCTCTCTGTTCTTGTGTTCTTTTTCTTTTCTTTTCTTTTCTTCATCAGGAGATTTGTTAATTTTGTCCGGTGCAATGGTCACAACAGAAAGGGGCTCAGGTCCCAACGTTCGAAAAATTTGTGGGCTTTCTATAAATATATCGGAGGGGGCCCACATGTCTGGGGACCAGAAAGATGAAAAGGTAATTCAGCATAATACAAAATACTGTTCACCCATGCTGGGGCCATAATTTGTCATGCACCCCATTTCCACCATATGACCGTTTGAGCCGAAACAAAGATGCCATGCAATCATCATGTGACCAAATTAAATTATGGAGCCTCAAAAAGTGCAACAATATAAATTAAGTCAATTAATCAGAGAAAAATTAGATTTAAGTTTCATAAATGTACTTAATATAGACATTAATTACCGATACTCTCTAAATCGTTAAAATTTAGATTAGCATTTCAGATAAATTTACTTATCTATAAATATCAAGTGAAGTATAAATTTATGATTATTAATCTAAATGTTAACGCCTTTAATAATACAGACACTCAATATTTATATTAAATACAATCATTTAAATTTAAATTTAAAAAAATTATGTTGTAAGACCCCACTTTTCTGCTCTATATTTTTACGCCTTTAATGATAGTAATACGTTCAGGCGGTGATCCTGACTTTGACTCCCTTAAATTGCGATGTCCGCCAAAAAAAAAGATAATTTCTTTTAATAAAAAACCACGATTGAGTGGAGCAAGTAGAACCCGAAATGTCTTGTTTCATGATGAGATCAAGGTACGGAAAACGAATATTAAACAGTGACGTTGTGGACATTGGCCTACAAGAGCCAATAAGAGAATATATATATATATGTGTATAGTCATGGCCTCACGGGTTTGGTTTTTGGAGTTCAGAGACGTATGAGTACCAAGGATCAAGGTGGGGTGTCTCACCTCGAGAATGCAAATCCAATTCTGCCTCAAAGCTTTATGACCCATATCTTTTGTAGATTTATGTGCAATGCCAGCCAATTGATCTTTTCTCAAAAGTTCTTAAAATTTGAAGTTGTGATACGCACTTCAATTTTGTTTATAAGAATAAGGGTATAGTCTGCTCAAAGCATATATAATATCTCAATAAGATATGAGAGTGTTATGTAGACATCTCCTAATTAAATTAATACATACACAAAAGTTAATATTCAAACCTTCAACCATTTATTTAAAAATTGACAGCTTCCAACACACTACTACCAATTTCAATTGATGAATTTTTTTATAATAATTAATTTCAAAATGACACTATCATCTATTGCTATACTCTCTCTTTTAATACTATTTATAAGTAATTTTTAATGGGATAAAAGAAATAACTTTTACAATTAAACCAAAAATCATTCCGAGTGACTAATCTTATGGCTACTGATTATATATATACTTTGAGAAACAAAAAATAAAAATAAAAAAATCATTTTCTTTGTTTTATAAGTTTAAGGGGAGCAAGTTATTTTTATCTAGTCCCAAAAAAAAATAGAAAAAATGACAATAAAGTCGCAAAAGGTTGAATTAATAAGAATTAGGTCCCTAATAAAAGTTTTTATAAAATAAATTATAAATATTAATTTAAATAGTTATAAACAAAAATATAAATTGTAAACTAATTGTTATATTTAGAATTTAAGTATTGTATTTGTAATTGAAACTTTTAAATTTGTATCTATTTTAATCAATATTTACAATTGATTTTTTTTAAAAACAATTATTGATACTTGTCATTAATTTTCTCTTATAAACTTAATCATTGGCAACTGAATCAATATTTAATTATCAACTGAATCAATATTTAACTATCATTCTCAAAAAAAAAAAAAAAAAGCCGCATGAGCTAACTTGCCCCCTAAAGAGGGTGCCCGGCAAAAGTGACCGTTGGAGCCGTCAATCAAGCCACGGTGTAAATAAAATTAATTAATTAGAAAGAGTTAATAAATCCTAAGGTGGTGGTGTCCAATTAATCCGACGCTATAAATTGCGTCTCTTTCTTCCCTATGGACTTTAGTTTGACGACGTTGCATATTCCTCCGGAAGTTTCCATTCTGCTCCCGCCCAGCAAATCCCACATTTCTGACACTCTCTAATCTTGACACTCTTTATTATGTTCTTCCATGCCTATAGTAATGGCTTCTTTGTTCTTGTCGTTGATTTTCTTTTCTGTTTTGTTATTGTTTCATGCAGAAACAGTGAAATGTACATCCCACGACGATAACATCCCGAGATCATCAGCGTCTTCCACAAACTCATCATCATTCAAGCACCATCACAGGTGGGTGGGGCCAATCGGTCTCCGTGTAATCACCGTTGACGCCAACGGCACCGGGCCATTCAGATCAGTGCAAGCCGCCGTCGATGCTGTCCCGGACAACAATCGAATGAACGTCGTCATTAACATTAGCGCTGGATACTACATGTATAACTCTAGCCCTTGGCAGGAATATGTAACTAAACAATTAATGATCGATAATTAATGCTGATGGGTTTTTTCGTCCTCCATTTCTTTCACTGATCTGCTTTGGTTACGTTGATGATAATGAAAAATGCAGAGAGAAGGTGGTGGTGCCGGCGACGAAACCATACATAACGTTTCAGGGAGCTGGGAGGGACGTGACGGTGATAGAATGGCATGACAGGGCGAGCGACCCTGGTCCCAATGGACAGCAGCTACGTACTTACAGAACAGCTTCTGTCACAGTCTTCGCCAACTATTTCTCCGCCAGGAATATCAGCTTTAAGGTAAGATTCAAAGAGACAAGAAAATCAGTAAATTAAGCTCAACATAAGGTTAATGATGAGATGAGTTGAATGATATACGGAGTTTACGTGAATAATGCAGAACACGGCACCTGCGCCGATGCCGGGAATGCAGGGATGGCAAGCTGCGGCGTTTCGTATATCAGGGGACAAGGCGTATTTCTCAGGCTGTGGGTTCTACGGCGCACAAGACACTCTCTGTGACGACGCCGGCCGCCATTATTTCAAGGATTGCTACATCGAGGGTTCCATCGATTTCATCTTCGGGAATGGCCGCTCCATGTACAAGGTCTTTTACTTTCTTCTTACTTTAATTACTTTCTATTCTCTGCTCAATTCTTTTTAATAGCTTTATTTTTTCACACTTCGCACTGCAAAAAGGGTCTTGCATCTTTGGGCAATTACGTACGTGCATTTGAACGAACGAATCACTTGGGGATTAGTGGTCGTGGTAGTGCATGAAACGAAATGCTCAAGTCAAGCTTTGTGCCAATACTGAATGGAGCCAAAATATTACAGATAACACCCAACAGCGACCACACAATGGACCATACGATACTGTTGACGTCCCCCTCTTGGGCTATGAGCCTCCGAGCCTATGAGCTTTTCAAAAACACTTCCCCTCCCACTTTTTCTTTAAAGATTCAAAATCTGTGAAGAATATATATATATATATATATTACAAGACAGTGACACCTCACCAACTGGGCCAAAAATGGATGATGACGTGAGTCTGTGTTTTGTGCAGGATTGTGTGCTGCACTCAATAGCGACGAAATTCGGCTCCATAGCAGCCCAAAAGAGAAAACACGAAGACGAGAAGACAGGCTTCACTTTCGTACGGTGCAGGGTCACTGGTACTGGCCCACTCTATGTAGGCCGGGCCTTGGGCCAGTACTCGAGAATCGTCTACGCTTATACGTATTTCGCTGACATTGTTACAGGCGAAGGCTGGGACGATTGGAACCATGTGGACAACAAAAACAAGTGACCACTCTCTCTTTCTATATACAACAGTCATCTCAGATATCATTTATTCTTGTCCCAAAATTTGAAAGCTTTCTTCATGTGCATCTCTCGAAGTCTTGAAGTCACTAAAAAACAGACTAGCTCACAATAAATTCTGGATTAAATGAGTTGGGTTTAATTGTGTAAACTACTAAATTTTGTTCCACGTGGAGTTCCTCGTTGTGTGATTAATGGTTATATATTTGCGACGCTGTGTGGTCAGGACTGTGTTCTTCGGAGTGTACAAGTGCCACGGCCCAGGAGCGGCGGCGGCTCGTGGGTTGTCTTGGGGTCGTGAGCTTGACTTTGAATCTGCTCATCCTTTCCTCGTTAAGAGCTTCGTCAATGGCAGACACTGGATCGCACCTTCTGATGCTTAATTTTACACGCAGTCACATATTCTTCATATTTTTCATTCTTTGCATTAGCCTTCTGATATACATTATTTCTCATTCGTCTGTATACTGATTATTCTTTGTCATCTTTGATGTATTATTCATTTTCTTGTTTAGACGATGCTCCCGCTCTGTACATCGTTTGGATATTTTTGTATTTAATTGTAAAGAAAGAGAAACGAAGTGAAATAAAGCAAGAGTTGCATTTTGTTATTTTCTATGATTTAGATTTTAATTGAACATTTTTCTGCATGGTTGCGTTCTTGGTCATTCATTCTCTTCAATTCACACACACACACACACGTAAAGGCGAAAACAAAATATTAGATTCAAACCACAGCTCAAGAGAATATAACAACTTCGATACATGAAAGTTAAAATAGAAAATACATTAAAGGACGTAAACATTGTGATATCCTTAATGAATGGGACGCAAGATTTGTGAATTCACCTAACTCATACCCGAGAAGTGACAGTTTCATCAGGACGATGATTTCATCCACTATATTTTTTCTTTCTGATAATTTAATTGCTCAGGTTCTTGAAAACAAGACGGCCATAGATCGATCAAATTATATAATATTCACCCAATCGCAATCTCGATTAAGTTACACAATCAGCCTACAGCTGAAGGAAAGACCTAATCCGAAATGGAATTTAATCACGTGCACCTTTCATCATCGTGTGGCTCGTATAATGTAATGTAATCTCTCAATCATTGGGCGAAGATACCTTTGAGCTTTTCAATCCAAGTTTCTCAACTTAAAGTGAAGTAGCAACAAGTACTCACAGACGGTTCCAACTTAGATTTCTGAAGCATTTGTCAGTACGTGAACTGAATTTCCCATTTCAAAAGAAGATGAGGAATTAATAAAGAAGAGGCTGTAAAACTCAAAATTAATCTTCTCATTCGGTAAAACTCAAAATTAATCTTCTCATTCGGTCATTTTTGCACCGGTTCGGACAAAATAATAAATTAATAACCCAAACGGCATCATGTAATCCAGGGATGATTTACATTTCATTTTGCTTCATGCTTAATTTCTTCAAAGATAATTGGAATATGTAAAGCTCTACATTATAAAACTCAAAGTGTGTTATTAATGCTACCATATTGATTCGATTGGGTATGTTATTGACAAAAGGAGAAAATTTTAAAATGAATGTGTTTTGAGGAAATGCAAAAAAAAAAGTAAACTTTGTTGAGATGATGGAGGTTGGCACTGTCCCGCCCTCCATCTTCGAACATAGATATGTCCATTCCTTGACTGTCTTCCCACTCAATCTTCAAGCTCTTCTTCTCCTTCGTCATACAACTCCACCCATCACCTTCCTCTCCTTGATATATATCTCCCTGTATTTAATTTAATGATTTAAGGGCTATTTTGTGGTTCGATTAGGGAGAGTTATTTTTGCTCATTTTGATGTTTTGTTTAATTATTTCCCTTGGCTGTAAATAGTAAATTTTTTAGGTTTGTTTAGTTGTTTTTAGCATTTGTCTCGTTTATTTTGTTTGTCTTATTGTAGGTGACTTTGAGAAGTATACGAGTAAAGTACAGGAACAAAATTACACGAAGAAAAATGCAGTGCCGAAAGTTGTCACGGCATGTTGGTCAATTTGATCGGCAAATTGCTACGGTAGGATCTTCATACAAATTCTAGAATAGGTACAGTGACAGGTGCCACAGGTAGTTTTGCTGTCAAAATGCAAGACATCGTTTTTAAGCCAGATAAAAGAAGGGAAGTTGGGGTCTGACAGCCAAACTTTGATTGATGTTCCTTGAAAGTTTTGAGGTGATTTTGGAGAGCTTTAATGCCCGGGGACTGATTTAGGAGATTGGAGGACGAAGTTCTATCGATTATTTGTACTTCAACTGAGGTTTTCACTTCTTTTCCTCTCCTTTTTTCCTATGTCATGTAGATTTAGACTTGGCTTCGTTGTACTGAGGATGGTTATAACCATGCATAGTCGAACATTTCTAATCGAAGACTGAAGACTCTTGTTTGAAAATTCAATTCAATTTCATTACCGAAACAGATACAAATGGGACAACACTAGTTTTCCATGATTCATAGACTATACTTTGGTCCCTGGTCTGTCGTGGTCATCTTTTTCCCTCGAGCAACATTTGTTTCCCAATTAAAAAAAAAAAAAAAGAACAAATGGACTGTACTACTGACCTAAGCGGGTGCTCTATCCCTTGCTGTTAAACACCATGTGATCGTTAAGCCTGGGATAGCGGCATGTGTCAACTCCCTTGCCATTTAATAGAAAGCAGGATCCTAATATCAAGTGAGGCAACCGCATTTAATCTTACATGACCAGCTCAGGAGTTGGTAAGCGGTATCTCAGATTTAAGAGTGAAATGAGGGGTAAAAAGACTGTCGTCTTTTGCTTCTTTGTGAACTCCATGTGATGTGTAACACTATTCCGTACTTCCATCAATATCAAACAAAAATTCGATATTTACAGTTCGTTTATCTGCTGCTCAAAGTTCCACCTCGTGGAGACCTCCAAAATTGCCACCGTTCATGGGAGCAGGTGCCTGAGAAGACTCATCAGGCATGAATGCTGATGCTGGCATCCCCAAAGCCTCCCCCAAGGGCACAATATCGCCCGTTTTCGGATGGCTAAATGCATCATTGAAACTCCCACCAGTCCATGAAGCTGTTCGACGCGAATGAGGGGGACGGGAGCCATTGCAGTTTGTGATTGGGGCCTTGCATGAAATGTTATCCATGCTCGGAAACCTTTGCATAGATGGTGATGATGAATTTTTGGGGGATCGGAAGGAATCATTAGTGGAGAAAGTTGAAGGATTTTCTTTAACAGCGTTACATTCATGATTGCATTCTGCTATAGCTTCAACTGTCTGCTCAGCTGGTAACGGTGCAGGAGCAGGAATAAAAAACTTTGCATTTGCAGCAAGAGAGGGTTTAACAGATGGGGCCGAAGGGGACTGAAAAAAGTTTGTAGAGCTCCCACCACCTTGGTTGAAGGTGTCAACATATCTGCCAAAAGACCATAAGCAGTTTCATCAAGTTCATATGCCTTTCAAATGCTTCTGAACATTGAAAGATAAATAAATCATCAATAAGAAAATATTCCTCTTTTCCTAGAAAACTAAGCCGGATGCAATGAAGGGCTCTGCCATACTACCATGGTAGGTAGACTTTTATAGGTGCTACAATATTTACAATCAATAATGAAGATTCTTCAATTAAATGTTGTCTAAATCTAAAAGAGAAGCCAACTGGTGTCAACTCACATCACAATGCTCGACTAGCACTTTGCCTATAATAAATTTGACACCTGCTTCCAATATCAACGTGATCTTAACAAGACTTTAAAGTAAGTTGTTACCTTGACCGAACACCCATGCGCCCACGGGCAGAGAATTGATTTGAGCTCGGTGGTATTGGTGGGATTCCTGAAGTATTTTCAGAAGTACTCATAGTTCTTAACTCAGGACCGTCATTAGAAGGAGATCCTTCTGTCTTCAACGCAGATTTCAAGTTATAATCAGGATTACCATTCTGGAAAGAAGCAGTTATAGGAGGTGGCGGCAATGCAGCTTCTTCAGCTGGAGGTTCAACACCTTCCTCTACCCATCTCTTTAGCTTTTCATCATAATAGAATTTGTTCTTTTCACCTAACTTAGCCTTAAGATTGTGAAATAAGAACGACACAGTAGTCAGAGTCAGACTATTGAGAAGAAAATAGAAAGCACCAAAGAAAAATTACGTACTATGAAACAAGCAACTATACCTGTCGGCCCAGGCGGGGTCTCAAGACCAACCCCACTGTCTTCTGCAAAAGAGATGTTCCAAAGCTAAAACGAGAGAAGCGAGATGTGCCCCCTGAATCTGATGCTTTTCCTTGTGAATCAGGTGAGGTAGTCTCCTGAGGTGTCACATAAATTTAAATTGACTAAAAATACAATTTAAGTCAACCATAAACATTTAGAGTAAACTGAAATGAAAATCTCCAAAGTACACTGAATAAACACACCTGTCTTGGGCTCCTACCAATGGCTGGCTCTGAAACACTCCTATTATGCATTGTCCTTTTATTGCTGTCAGCAGTCCGCTCACAAATGGGTTCCGTTGAAGAAGAGGGCACTAAAGATGACATGGCCATCGTTGATTGGCTATTAGGTACTCTAGGAGCCATAGGTTGGTAGCTTTGCTCATTTCCATGGCCAATTCCTTGTGATGGCAATGGAGCAGGCGGCGGTAGACCACCAACAACACGATGTGCAGTACTATCAAAAAAATTGAGCAACTTGCCCACTAGTTTTGCAGGAGCCAGATTGGTAGCATATCCACCCTGCCAATATATTGTTTATTAATAAGATGACTACCAAGATAATTAAATCATGAAGATTATAACGAGACAAGGAAGTACCTGTTGGTGGGTTCTAATCCTCTCCTCAAGTGATAATACAAATTGTTTCCATGTCTCTACTTCAGGTGCTCGTCCAGTTTTAAGAGACTTCAGTACTGCTTGGCAGTACCTGAAGTCACAACAGTATTAGAAGGCAGATTATGTAAAACAAAATATCATAAATCTCTGACAACTTACTTCAATGAGTCTGACACCTTTCCCACTTCAGCTAGCATATAAGCATATATGAGCTTATATGGCAGAAATGGAAGCAAAATAAATTGAGAGTTTCCAAGCATCTTCGAGTACTCATATAGCTCTGTCCTCTGACCAAGTACCCGTTATTTCAGATAAGGTTTAGCTCCTCAAAAAACACATCAAAATTACTAAATTAAATTAATTATATTATTTGTTTTAGAGAGCAATAAATGCCAAGGTTTACACAAGCAAGTCACACAGAATAAGATAAGCTTAAACACAAGCAACACCATAGTGGATGATAAATCTCACATTCAACATAAACTTATACTTGGATGTGAAAAATATATACAGAAAACACATTTCATCTGTTAAGGCTCTTAACCAAATTAGCCGAGAATAGGGGAAACAATTATGGTTTGCAACTTGGAAAATCCCAGGAAGTTAAGACTGCCCGGGAATCCACCAAAGTGCAGAGCTAGTAGCAGAACAATAGCATTATACATGACATTTTGTTAAAAGAGGACAATAGAACATCAAATTTTGGAAAAGAAGCAACTAATAGTTTAAAGGGATTTGCTCCTACCCTGAGAGAAACAGGGTAAGAGAGAATTTCAAATAACCTGTATAGCTTCTGGACTAGCATAAGTTCGAGGATACTTCAAGTGATCTGCTCCAATTAGACAAAGTCTAGCAGTGTCTGAATATGACTCAAAGTTTGCTTCAGCAACTAAATAGCATATGTGTGCGGCAGTAATCTACAATTTGAGTATCAACTAAGAAATAGAATAGAAACTCTAATTATAAAGACAGAGGAAACGATAGATGAAGAATAATAATACCTCACTTCTTTCCTTCCATAAGCAATCGCCGAGGTGAATAATCACGAGTTCATCACCTTTTGTTCTATTTGCAGTTATTACAGCCAGATTCTCTTCCCAGTCACTAAGCATGCCATTAGATTCAAACTAGAAATAACAATATAACAACAAAAGCTTAAGCTTTCCAAGTCAAATAAAAGTGAACTTTGCAACAATTGAACTCTGAAAGTAAGAAAACTTCTACATCTCACAGGCCATAACCCTTAGATGAATTGTACGTTTATCCTATAAAGTTCACCTGTGCAGGCTGCTGAGGCATATTAACAGAATTAGAAAACCCACTAATTGAGGTGCCAATAGAAAAAACTTCAGCTGGTTGACCTGCAATTAGAAGGCATAATGTTCGCAAAGGTGAACCGGCAACCAGCTGTCTAAGTGCCATTTGCTTCACTGTATCAACATAGAACTGCATTACAAGCTTGCAACATGTGAGGGCTAGTCTAGCTCAAACAGGCAAACCAGTAGAGCATCTAATTCCATACACTTTAAACCACACTGGAACGTTGACAATTGACCTGATCACCAAGTTGTGAAGCAAGAACAAGAGCAGGTCCCCACAATTGACCTTCTTGTGCACATTGTAAAGCCTCTATTTTTTTGCCAGAGACAAGAAGATTTTGTACCTCAGTTGCAGTTGCCTGGGATTAAACCAATGTCGGTTATAAAATATGAATTTAACAATATGAGAGGAGAAGGGAACAATCAATAACAAGAAGTAACTTATACACACTCGCATTTGCCCTTCAGAAGGCAAATTCTGCAAGCAGTGGTGAGGCAAGCCATACTGGGTAAACTCTGTGCCCTTTTTCTTTGTATATGCAAAAAGATTTGCCACTGCTGACTCAGGAGTATCATTTTCCTGAATAAATAATACAAACCAAAAAGGTTGTCTAGTTTAACAATGAACTCTTGGTGGAAGTATATTGTGGCAGCAATTTTATTTCATTTTCTTTTTAATAGAATGTGGAAGAAATATTACTCAGAATTACGAAAGAGGCATAATAAGTCTACAATAACATTTAAAGATCGTCTGAAATAAATCATGAGTTACCGTGGGAAATTAATCATCAATTGGAAACTTTGTAGCCAGCCTTAAGAACTTTTAAGGCATAAATTTGAACCACTAAAAGCCAACAAGTATTTTGTACTAAAGAACACAGAATACCACATACTGACATCTGCTTGCCTGACAATCTAAAGCAAGGTGACAAAGAATGTGATGTCTCACAATTGCTCGAAAGAATGACCTTTCAAATCACCAAAAAAGTAAGGAGCTTAAGAGCCATTTGACATAACAAATATAAACCAACACAAAAGGAGATTATCTAAAATGCAAACTAACATCTTTATTATCATATCAGACTATGCAAACTCCAAATTGTAGTCTGCATTAATTTTATAGACATACCTATTACTAAGGACAACAAAAATAAAAAGAATGGAATGATGCTATATTGCAGACTTACATTGTATGCAATGCAAAAGAAAGAATTTGAAAAACAAAAAGATGGAACTTACTATCAATAAGGTGTCTGTACCAAAAGGAGAACGTAGTTTCCCATAGTGTTGACAAGCTATTTTAAGCAAAGAAAGAAGCAATCTCAACCTTTCACCTTTAATATAATCCATATCAGGTGACTCGCAATGTGCAATCCTCTCATCTATCCATTTGTATAACTCTTTACTTCCAACACTCCCACCAACCAACGGACCTGGGAAAGATTGTTGGCACAAAGCATGAAAATAGTCTCTTGCTCCATTTTCAATGCCAAAAGAATTGATGCTTCCCATCACAACTTCCGTCAAGTTCAGCACGGAGACAGAGCCCTGTACAGTACCCTTACAAGGGAGGGAGTGAGGACAAAAAACACCACTGTCAATCCTTAGATAAGTTCCTTCTAGAAAAAGTTCCATTTGCCATAGATCCCTAACCCTAACCCTAATAGGCAAGATGGGGGCAAAGAAAATACCTTCAAATACAGGTAAATTAAAAGCAACCTCCAAATCTTTCAGAAACCAAAAGAGACACGGAATGAAACTAAAGAGAGGAATATAGAATTAACCTGGCTTCCATATGATGAGTTCAAAAGACTAGAATCTTTCATTATAATGAGTTTCCCACCGAACCCGAATGTAACCAGGGCATGAGGAGGACGTCCAGCAGATGATCGTCCCACATGAGGGGCATAAGAAAGCTGTTGTCCAGCTGGGAATGATTGCTGGGAATGATTAATGGGCTTTCTAATTGTAGGGTCATTATTAGAGAAGTTTTTTGGTTCATCTAAATTCGTATTTGAATAATTAAATGTGCCAGGGATGAAGCTTTGTAATTCAACAGTTTCATTAGCCAAACTATGACCATGGCCAACTTTATTATACAATGGGACTGATCCAAATGAACTAGAAGTCATCTGTTGATTCTTGCTGGCAGATATACTTGATCCGTAAGAATGACCAAATTGCTGGTTTCCACCAGAACTATTATCCACACTTCCATTTACAGTCTCAGCAGTGTACATGTCCAAACCTTGCTGATGGTTACTACCATATGTGCTATTCCAGCTACCATCTAAGGCCTGACTACTAACATCCTGTGACCCATAATTGCTAGCTTGGCCATATTCATTATAGAAACTATCACCATTATTCAGAAAAGTGCTGGAAGCAGCAGTCCCATTTTCAAGCCCCTGAATGGAAGAACTGTAGCCCTCCAACGTGCGCCATTCTTGGGCAATTGTGTCATAATACCAACCAGGATATTGAGGATCAAAAACCATATGCTCTGGGTACCCATTATTTCCATGGGAAACCTGATTCCAGCTAGATACACTTTCAGTTGTGCCAGTTTCAGCCAAAGTTCTAGTTACAGACTGAGTAGTTTGCTGCAAATAAGAAACCTCCGCTTTTCTATTAGCAGCAGTCCAATCCACAGATGAATTAGCTTCATAGTTTTCCTGAGTTGTAACTGTTTCATTGTATCCATCTATTTGATACCATTGTCCAGTGTTGGTGTCAAACTTCCAACCAGGATAAAGATTTTCCCAGTACTGACTGCTATTCAGATCATGCTCACTAGTGCTTGTTTCAATAGATGCATAACCTTGGCTGTCTTGATATTCTCCGTAATTATTTGAATTACTTGAGCTAGCATCATGATTCTCATGACGAGAACTCATCTCACTAATTAAATTATTGTATGTTTCTCTGGGAAAACCCCCAGATTGATCACCCAATCCATTGAAAAAGTCAGAGTATGAACCAAACCCAATACCTCCTTTAGAATCCGCATAAAATGAATTCCAACCCACCTCTTTAACCCCAGAACTTGCAATTTCATTGCTCTTGCTTCCAGCTGAAGCTGGTGTCGCTTCTGATCCCTTCCTATCATTACTGGGTTCCATCCTGCTATCATTCCCAACTGGCATGGAGAACATTGAATTTCCTTCTCCTTCATGTGTACCGAACAATCCCGTGTCCAGCTGCACGCTAGACTTTTCCCCATTAACTTCATTCACACTCTCCCCACCATCTGATTTCTCAATTGACGCATCACCATCGGTGACACCCAAATTGGCAACTGCCTTAGGGCCATCAGAATCATTTCCTTCATCTTGCCCGGGCTTGAGAGGTTCCAAATCATCCTCTACCAGTTTATCAAAGAAATCTTCGTCGGTCTGATCCTCCATGTTAAATGGAGGATTTGAAGCCATCGACCTAAACCCTAATCCTTCACCGCTCCTCCTGATCCCATCAAATATTCAAGCCAATTTGCCATGAAACACTGTCACGAAACCACTAAATTTCACCTCATACAAATCCAACTCGATGCCCGCGGTAAATGACAACCAAACCTCGAGATCGCAAATCAACTACTCAAAGTTACTGCCCTCTTAAATCTAACCCCCGGTGAAAGAAACAATGATAGGAAAAACAAACAAAAATTGCGATTTCGGGAATCTAGCAATCCAAGAGCCAAAAATTGAGCAAACCATACCTGGAAAATGCAGGCTTCCGCCTCAATTTATCGCCACAAGTATAGCGACACAGGAGAAATTCTGAGAAAACAAGATTAACTTACAGATCCGTTGAAATAGACAATCCAAGAGGAGAAGTAAAAAAGGAAAGCCCCCGATTTCTCACCACCCAGCCCCACAACAATGACGTTTTTTCATTGTTTAGATTAAAGTCTTTATTATTTATTGCTCTATTTTTTTTTTTGGTAAAATATTTATTGCTCTAATTTATTCACCTCCTATCCAGCCGGACCACCCCCTATCCTATATACACGCCAATTGTCTTCCCATGGCTGCTCTTGATTCAATCAGACCTGCCATTTATTACTTTCGCTTCGGTTGGTGTCCCGCTGTCGCATAGCAGGAGCAAGTATTAGAGACCTCCTGGAATCCTTGCCCGCGCTTGCTCTGAGGATATCCCAGAAAGAAATCATAGAATGCAGTGAGAATTTCAACGACAATGAGGGTGTAACTTAATTATTAGTGAATCTTTAAAAAAAAAAATTAAAACTTCAATTTTGAGGTGAAAATAATTTTAATTATAAAAAAATTAAAACATCATTCACTTATTAATTTTATCTTATATATAAAATTATTAATTATTAATTTTTTTATTTTATTTATTAATTTATCAAAATGTATTGTAAATTACATTACTTGACCTATCAAAAATCATGCAACACTTGAATTGTAGTTGTTCAATTACAAATAACAACATCATTAATTTACTTACTTTATTTATTAATTTACTGACATTAATTATAAATTATTAATAAATTTTATAATTTATAATAAATGTTATTAAATTAACAAGTAAAATTAATAAATTAATAGTTAACATTATTGTTTGTTTGACAAATTAATATAATTTATAATTCATATTGATAAATTAATAAATAAAGTAATAAATTAATAACTAATAATTTTATGTCATAGACAAAATTAATTAATGAAAAATATCTTAATTTTTTTACTATTGAAGTAATTTTCACTTCAATCTTTTGAGATTGACTGAAATTTTAAATTTTTTTTAAACCCTAACTCACCAATAATTAATAGTTAAGTCATATTTCTAATTTTGGTTGAAATTTTTCCAATAGTGTAACTTGAAACGGGAAAAGATTAATAACATAGCGATCAATTCTTATATTATTTTTTTATTGGTAAAAAGTAAAAGAAGCAGTGCCAAAATATTATAAAAACAATAAGATTCTGAAAAAAGGGCTCATTAGTGTGAATCTCTAACTTTATAAAGATTAGAAATAGGTCAGATTAATTACCCTTTTTGGGCCAGGATTAGATTTATTACTTCAATAAGATAATATGCAATTCAACCATTTTCAACTTTCCAACTACCTAGCATGCCAACGCCCTATAAGGAATTTCTCTCTCTCTCTCTCTCTCTCTCTCTCTCTCTCTCCCCTTCTCGGTGTCCCATGCCTTCAACCTTGCGTGTGTGATGTATCTATACGAGGCATAGTTTTTGTCAGGAATTTCTTAATTGTTGCCGTATATCTCGTGTTTGACCTTGAGATTAAACTAAATAAACTCCTAAGCCCTAACCAGTTGATCGAAGTGTCGATGGTTAAATTTAATTACGTCCAAATCCAATAATTAATAATTGCTTTCAATACTATCTATTTTATATTTGCGCTGCATTTCAAAAATGTGTTCTTGACATTAAAAATTACTCATGGCATCATAAATAAATTTTATATTTTTCATATGATAAAATAATACATTTCGAGCTGTCAAGAGGAACTTGAGAAAATACGTCAAACAAATTTACAACGTAGAAAATCTCATTTGTATTGTACCAGTGAAACTTCCGAAACTGACCCCACAAAAAATGATAATAAGAGTCAACAAAAAGCATATCAAATTTTCTGGGAAAAAGCAAAAATTATGATGAATTGGATACTCATCAGGACCAGAGCACATTTCTAAGCTTAAAAAATATTTATAAATGTATTTACATATCGCCCAATCACAAGATAATTATACCAATAATGAGATTTGAATTTATAATTTTATAAGTAACGGATCAAGTACGCACCAATTGAATTAATATTTGTTGGTAGCTGTGCTGCTGTTCATATCAAATTGGCAATAGCCAACAAGGGATGGAGGAGGGCATCATTGACAGCCCAATAAAACTTGTTTACTTTGGGCCAATGTTGATTGATGGCCCCACCATTGGCACGGTACGCGACGCATGATTCCTTGATATGCTAATTGTTCCCAAAAAAAAAAAGTCATTTTCTTGCTGGGCATGTCCACGATTGTTGCATTTTTTGGTTCTTTGTGGGCATTTTCTACTTCAAAAGCCACACAAATCCACTTCGTTTTCACCAGCCCACTTGCTTTGGGGGGGTTGGGAATCCTAACATGACTTGAATAGTATCTGAACTGTGAAAAACAGACAAACAAACAAACAAACACTCTGGTCTATTGTGGTTGCAAGAAGTAGGGTCTTCTTTTTTTATGTTTTGCGAGCTTGGATTTTATTTGTTTTCCAGTTGCGATTTTTAATGTTTTACCGTCGAGGCTGGTATAAATTAAAAATTAAAAATTAGAGTTTAGGGACAGGTCAATGTCCATGTAAAAAGCTTAAATTTAGTTGCATGCCAAGATAGGGTGGACGAGAAATTATAATAAAGAGGTGGAGAATGAAATTAAATTACTTTATCATACGACAGAAGTAAGAGATGGCGTGTCTCTTTCTCTCAAAGCCGATCCATGTGAACTGGCCAGAGCTTCCACAGCGATAAGTTTAAAAAATATCACCTCGCACTGCATCGAGCTAGTGTTACATGTAAATAATATAACATGTCTTTTTTCTGTTCACCCGGACGATGAGTTGTGGATGCCGAGATCCTATTAATGTAGTATGATAATGCAACTACACAAGAGAAGGCACTTCAATTCTTTCATCCAATTTATCATAATCCACAGCATGAGTATTTCAAAACGGAAACGAAAAAGCTTTAGAAAATTGCCTGGAATTTAGACTCCTTAAACGCAGTTTGAAATAAAATGGCGATGAAAGTCAAAATAGCCACGTCTAGGAGTCAACAATGTTTATGGAACTCAAAAAACACTGTTTGGATTACTTTGATATCATTACAAGTAATTGAGATTCTATCCCCAGTAGGCCAGTATCACACACATTTAACATTAGTGATAAGAAGATAGTTTTGCATTTCAAAAATCAAGATGAAGGATTGTGCAATAACGATTCATCCATTTTAGATTTTACCCTTCTCCTGCGTCCCTTTCTCTGTATTCTTTCAACAATTTTCCTTCACCCTTTTCCTTATAATAGCTCAAAAAAAATCACTGAATTCTCATTCTCAATTTAATTACTTATAGTGTTATTTTTGCTAACACTTTTTAGAATTAAATACCAATTATGAAAATTTGAAGAACTTTATAAAAGCCTTACCCTTTTTAATAATTACACATTTAATACTAATGTTAATTATCGGTATTCAAATAGATTCATTCCTTCAAAATTGTTTTTTTAAAAAAATTACAAATAGAGATTAAAATCAATTAAAAATCTAGATGATTCATAATCGTAATTGTACAACACTAATTCAAAGGGGCGCTTAAGTTGTTGGTAAATAATTTCGGTGATTTTTTTTCATGAAACACATTTTCCCTCTTTCCATGTCATATTCCTTTAGGAGGGCCCACTTGAAGATTCTTCATACTTAAAGATCGTAGCGTATTTCGGAAATGTTAATCAGTCATCTTTATTCTTTATTTTCTTCCAATGACTATAGGGGAGAATCAAGTAGCAACAATCTTTAGGTTATATTCCCCCTCGAATATATCTAGCAATTCACACGCTCTACTCGATCCGAACGACCTAAAACGGCCGGCTAATCCAGCAAGAAGATTAAAAACCAATTTTTTTTTTAAAAAAATCTGAAATCAATATATTGGGCGCCAAAATGTCATGGTGCCTTTCAAGAGAAGCAGCGTATTTGCATCGAAAAGTTTACACAGAAAACTAGCAAAAATCCTAAGATATCGACGACAAGTTTCTAACTGTGTTTTTTGTCGTTTCGTCGTGATCTCCGGTGGTGGCTCAATCACACCCCGAGTCTACACTCTGACATGCACCGGAACCAAGGCTGCTCCCAAGGGTCAAAACAACACACAGAGATAACTCAATCCACTGCTTCACTGCCCAAATCAAAGGAGGCTTTAATATGGTCTATTCACAACCCCAGTTTCAATTAGAATCTTGTAAAGCAAGACACAAAACCATCACGTCATGACTTGTTAATAAAATATTCCACCCTCTGCTTCTTCTTCTTCTTCTTCTTTTTGGGGAGGGGGTTTCACGGTACAGAATCGTTACTATTTAAGAAACAAAAGTCCGCGTTGTAAGACACATGATTTATTAATAATTTTAAACATGGAAGCAAGGCTTTGATTGGCATATATTTGATCATATGAACGACGACTGCATTTTTTTGGCAATCATATAAACGACGACTGCATAAATCTGACCGATTCGTCGATGAGAATAGCTTGAGGGGACCTCCACCATGCTCCTCTTTACCCGAATACTTCGTTCTTTTCAAGGCAGATAAATTCTTCCATAACAGGCCTGTTTGGATACCCATTTAGAATCAATTTTGGGTTCAAAATCATGGTTTTGAAAATTTTTATCCAAACACCCCAATTTTCCCAAACTCCATTTGGTTTCCAAAACTCCATTTGGAATAAGCTAAAATTTGTTCCATTTTGAAAAATCAATATCATAATCAATTTTTGAAAATTTATCCAAACACCATCACATTCTAATAATCAATTTTTTTCTTAATCAATTTTTTCCAATTAAAATCCAAACACACCCAACAAAACAAAATATTACATTCAGAAATTTCATAAAGTTTCTAGATATTCTCCCAGGGGCATACTTTTTATTGTCTTCTTCTTTCATTTACACTGTTACTGAGTACTGACTCCGCCTGTGGAATCGTTCATTACATGTTTCGCTCTCCAACAACAGAAATGATAAAACAAAAAAAGCAACCACGAAGCAGGGGAGAAAAAAAGGCTGGTTTTCAGAAATTTTGTACCAGAAAGTGTTTAAAAAAAAAAAAAAGTTCGAGACCCGGTGGAATAGAAGCAGAGCTTTTTTTTTTGGAAAAAAAAAGAGGAAGGGAGCACTATAGTACTTTTAAAGAGGAAGAGTTGTAGGTCCACAACCAAATCCCAAAAAATACATAACTGAGTTTTCGCAGTGCAAGTATCAAAACTTATAGTCTGCACCGAGAATGATAAAGTCGAGTAGTACAGTTTGGAAAGAAAGAAAAAAGTGAACGGTTAGCCACTGATTCACCCACCTCTAACTCTAAGCAAAGCCAGATAGTTGGTGAAAACATGGATTATAGTCAGCCATGATTGTACCATCAAAAGCATTGATCTAACAATAAAGACAATGAAATGTTCCTCGCCTACAACCCCCCCAAAGGAAAAAAAAATTTAACTTTACCCAATTGCATATTACAACTAAACATAGCAAGATCAGTGACCAAAAATTACGCATCAGAAACCACGCTGAGTTCATCTTCTTCTGCCGGAGCTGGCAAGTTGAGATCTATGGAACATTTAGCAGAGCGGATAGCAGTTGACGACGAAGATGGCAGGAGGTGGGATCTCTTGTGGCCACCGAGTGCTTGTCCCGAGCCGAAAACTTTGTAACAAAATGGGCATTCGAAGATTTTATCATTACCTGCAATTTTGGCCTCTGCTTCCTCAGGAAAGTAGGTACTATTGCGAGTGTCCAATGCTCGAGAAGATCGAGATGTTTTCTTAGTGTTGTCGGATTGGTGCTTCCTCTTCAACTTGATCTCTTCCGGTCCCTTCGATCTTTCCACTTGATCTTGTTCGACGACGCTTCTCATCCACCTGTCCCTCGAAAGCAACATGAGGCACATGGCAACGTCTTCATCCGGTGAAGTATCAGAAACCGAGCTCACCGGTTCAGGCTCCGTCGGCGACTCCGTCAAATTTGACCTGACCTTGGTCACTTCAAATTTCTGGGTTGCCCCGACGGTGGATTTTCGGGCTCGCTTGGATCGCCGGCGAGTCGACTTCTTTGACTCGGTCTCGCTTTCTCTATCTTGGACGACTGAGCCAGCATCAACTGCGAAAGCGAACTCAGGATCTGCGAACCTGAAACTTCTCCTGGGATTCTCCCTCAACCCATAGCTCAAGGCCTTGTCGTCTGATTCTCCGTAAGCAGGTGCTACTTCTACTTCTTCTTCGTCGTCTTCGTCGGAAGAGGAATATGAAAATGAAGTTGTTGAGGGAGTGATCAGAGTTTGGGGCTTGGGAGGAAGAGGGAGAGCAGTTAAGTGAGCTTTCATGTGACCACCCAAGGCTCTGCCATTGGCGAACGTCCGAGAGCAAAGCTTGCATTTGTGCCTCTCCATTGAAGCCAGAGAGAGCTCCAGAGAGAAAGCAACAGGTTGAAAAGCTTCTACTCACGAGTTTAGGGGAATTGGGAACTTAAAAGGAGTAGGTGACAAGCATTCCTCCACTAAAATTAAAAATTTTAAAAAATTATTGTGTTATTTTGTTTTAAAAAAAATACAGTTGTAAATTGTCAAAACAAGAACACATTATAACATTGTCTTTTTTTTTTTTTTTTTGACCTGAAGATCATAACATTGTCAATTCATTGTTCGGCTCCAAAAATTGAGAAAAGCGTGACCCTCCCTCATCAGTCATCGGCCACCCGCACGGCCTTATGCGGTAACATGCAAACCTTGCCGAAATGGAATCGGATCGCTTCTTACTGCTTTCTCACACATTCATGCCGTTATAAACAAAATTCCATTAATATTTTCTCGTGATTTTATTCATGAATTTTTCCTGCTTGCCCCAATTAAAAATAAATTCATCAAATTAACACGTGGCTAGGCAGAATTAATTAAATACTTATCTCGTTAAAAAATATAAGTCTTCCGAAGTATAAGTAGTGAGATTTTTTCAAAAAATATCCTTAATTAAAAGGTATAATTCATAAGATTTTTTAATTAAAATACTCTATTATATAAGGATAAACATAAAAAGAGTCTATAATTTTTAAGATAATTAATTAGCTCATTATAAGTATAATTTAATTAAAAATATTTTATAATATTAAATGGAAGGAGTAGTAATTGTCTACATATTCAAAAAAAAAAAAAAAAATTGGCATGGAAAGTGGATGGATATTTAGCTGTGACCTGAACTCCCTGATCTCGAATCATTGATGGCCATATTAAATTCTGATTGTACAGCGCAACGAGAGATAACTATGATTAGAGATTGGACACAATCTCAAGCTATAAAGAAAAATGGCTGAAAACTATGAAGTTCCTAGTTTCTCATGGCCTCTCGTGACATCTTTTGTAAACGTAATATTAATTTCATTGCAATTTTAGAATAAAAAACAGAATAAAAACTGAACCGCATCGTGCTTACCGATTCCAAACAAATTTCGATGCGTGTACAAGTAAAAATTCGTATAATTGGGAAATAAACCTATCCTGTTTAAGATGGATCCAGGCTAGAGCTTTAGCATTTTGACAGAGAACAAGGTGAAAGCTAAAAATAAAGAAGGGAAATATGGAAAGCATCAAATGATCAAAAATTGGTGTATAAACTACTTGGCGAAAGAGACGTGGGAGAACCAGGCCTTAAAAATTGGAGAGCACGCGTAATTTGGTTAGCCATGATGATCGGTTGGCGGGTGGCTTTTCTTTCTGCGTCTAAACTCTAAATAAATATATACTATATTTAATAAAATGTTGAAAAGTTATGGTATTAAATATTAATTTTGCGATGATAATATATAGCGAGGAAAATGAAAATCACAGATCATCAACTGAGCAACATGGTTGGTCTTAATATTTATTAGAATTAGCTATTATAAAAGTTATAACGCCGCAACCCACATTTATGACAGCGCGGTGCTTGTCCTTTTACTCATTACGAAAAGTAAATTCGCATCCTGCAACTTTGCAAATCATTTTTAAAAATAAAACGACATTTACATAATATAAAAAGTTCACAAGTCATACGTAACAAATTTATTATTTATTTCGCATGAAATTACAATATTTTAGCGATTAAGATTTGGGTAAGAATAATTAATGAGTGGGATTGTTGACTCTTGATGAGATTGAGGAAGGGGCGGGCAGCTTCACAATCTGGCGACTGGTGTCATGTCAGTACAACGTGATCGCTTGCTTCCACCGCTGATCATCTCACACAGTCACACTGCCCTTTTTCCCTCCACGCAATTCCTGCTGTAATTAGTTACATAACTTCCTTTTATCCATTGTTTGCTTCTAAGTCCTAAACCATTATGCTCCTTTTTTATGTTAAAAGGCCAAAAAAAAATAAATTCCACGTGCTCTATTCACGCAATTCGGTGTGAGTTTGTGTGCAATTGTGCGTGGAATATATTTATAATTTTATATTTAACTATCGGCTAGGTTTTACAAATTATATACTTTTTTTATTTAAAAATATACTCTCTCTCTGTATCAAATTATAAAATTTTTTTAGATAAAATCTTATATATCAATAAGTTTCATTAAATATACTCAACAACTTTATCTTTTTAAAATAAAAATATAAACTTTTAAAAATATCCATCATTTAATATATTAAAAAGAAAAGAAATGAAAAATAATTATAAAAAAAGGTAATATTAAAATTGGTGCATTTAATGAAATCTTAATCCACCTATAGTGTCTTATATTTTAGAATCAAAAAACTATTTCAAAAGTATCATATAATTTAGGACAAAATGAGTATTTTATTTTTATTTATAAGCAAATTCACATATCTTAATAAGCATTTACTACAATTTTCTTAAATTATCCTTCATAAACTCATAATTTCCATTCACAAAAAACAATTAATACAACCTTATTTTGATTAAATATAAGGATATTTTAGTCTAGTTTTTTTATTGCTAGATACAATTATTGTCGTTAACAATTTTCTTAAATTTTATTAGGAGTATGACACTGTTATTTTCTCTTATATATAGAAATGAATGGAATGAGGTATTTTTAAAGAAATTGCACCCCTAATAAATTGGTTAAATGTCTTCAAATTAAAATTATTTTTCTCATGCATGTCCTTATTTAATAGGGTATCTCACTTAAATGTGAATGGTTCAAGAGTTTATTTATTAAGGTTATTTTTGAAAAAAAATAACTCATTAATTAAACGTTGAAAAACAAAAAGTGCCTCATAATTTTGACATCCAACTACATAAAAAATACCTTATATTTTTTAATGAAGGGAATATAATTTAAAAATAAATTAAATAATTTTTTCATTTTATATTGAGTGTATGTGTTTGTCAATGTTTTTTTATATTTTTATATTGAATTGATATTTCATATTATAGTAATTTTTAAATTTTAACAAATATATCTCATGAATTGATCTTGTTTTTGTGTGGTTTTTTTTTAAGAAAGTCAAATGAATATATTAGTTAAAAAGTATAAAATGTTAGTCTTACAATTTTAAAAGAAAATAAAGAAGAATAATATCTAAGAAAAAAATCAACGAGCCATTACAACTGTCATTTCTTGATTAAAAACATAATTAAAATACACGAACAAATGAAGAACATTTCAAGCAAAAGAAATCAACTTTTTTCTCCAAAGGCTTGAAGCTTCCTCTATGAGTAATAATTATGATGTGACCCAAACTATAATGGTGATTAAGACTACCCATAAAATTGTAGATTCAGTAAAGAATTGCTTTCAAACATGCAAGTCTAAAGATATGAGAATTCATATTACAAATTTTTTGAATTAAGAACCTACTCAACTCATTCCCATTATACAGGATTTGATCTTCACGAGTAATAAATTTGCCTTATTTAAAATTTTGTGGTCCTAATTCTCCGTTTAGGTGTGATCTGTTAGCCTATGGCGACTTGGCATGCAAAGAATTCAAAGCCCCTTTTGAATTGGATGTAACTAGCGAGGATAATGCAAACTTCTATTGACAGGAATTTTTGATAAAGCTTAATTGCCCTTGAAATTATCGAATAACTTGAAATAGGTAGAGTTTAAAAAGCCCCAGGTAGGGCTCGATTTTTCTGAAACCAAATTAAGTGGAGGATAATGGAGATTCTTTCTAGCTCTTAAACCTTATCATCACGGTATAATGCTTCCAATGTAAAAATGATCTGGTCAACTAGTCCTGTAGCAAAGATAACATGAGAATGGGTAGAACATAAGCCATAACAAATGGATTTGGTGAAAAGGCAATCATAAAAGATGTGATATAGGGATTCATCACAATCACAACAAAAAACATACTGAATAGATACTGGTATATGATGCCTGAGAACTGAGAAGTATATGCTCAATTGGAATAGCTTTGTGAACAAAATTTCAAACAAATAACATAGTCTTGTACGGAAGGTTTAGTTTCCAAAGGAAGGACTAGATGTTGGCTTCATGATAAGAACTAACTACATCAAAGGATGTGGAGAGAATCTTGTATCCGTTTTTGACAATATAAGAATCATTCATCCAAATCAATTTGTCTAGTGAGCTGAAAAAAAAGAAAGGGGTATCTGATGTATTTGATCAAAATCTCAAACCTTATATATTTCATTGAGAAAAGAGAGATTCTGCCTAACTTTTTGTCAAGACTGATGTGAAGAGATAATGAGGTCAAAGACCATACTAGGCCGTTGTCTGTGCATAGAAACCACATTTAAAGGACTCTACCGTTTGCCATTAGTGAGAGGGATCCATTATCAACCTGCCAGTAAGAAAGATGAGAAGTAATAGTGCTAGCTGATTCAAGAATATCCTTCCAAAACCAACTAGCATTATAAGGCCTTCCAAGAGACGATCCATCCTTGAAATTAATTAATGTACTTGATTTTTAGGGTGTTCTTCAAAAGAGAGTGAGCCTCATATTGATAAATTCTCTAGACTTGTTTGGCAATCAATACTAATTTCATTAATCCTCATATTTGATCTTGTTTTTGTGTTGTTGAGTAGGAATATGAAACATGATCGAGCACTATTTTTCTGGAAAAAAGGAGGAGAAATAGGAAACCCAAAAAAAAAAATATCATGGGTGTGATTGGTAAGAATAAGAAAACATACCTCATGTTTTTTCTCAACTTTGGTGTTTTATGTTTACGTGTTCCTAAAAACTTTCACAGTGAAGTGGTTGCAGAGTCAGTAATCATATGGGAAGATAAGAAACAATGCTGGTAACATAATGAAAGCGAGCTGATATTAAAAAAAAAGTTGGGGTAGAAGATAATAAAATGCTTTGATACTGTCGTTGCTTGGCATCCATTAGATTATGTGTTACTTGAATGTTATCTCATACATCATATGCCACCAGCTTAGAGGTCTAATTATCAGATTACACAACACGTGGGATGAATGAAGGCTATAATATGCCAAGAGTATCTTGACACATTTTCAGAATTCTCAGTTACTGTGTTATTAAAAAAAATTCGCAGTTACTGTAAAATAATAAATTAGATGTCACTTGCCATATACTAGTTCTTTCACAAGACTTCTATTAACAACAAAAGGTTGTTTCAACTGGTAAGTACTTTTTCTGATACTTATTATAAGATAGCTTCCGCTATGTCATAGAAATCAATAAAAGGTAGTTAGATTCTTAATTCTGCTTAAAAATAAAATAAACTTTTAATTTTATTTCTATTTAAATAAAAAAATTCCAATTTTACATTACATTATCTTTCATAATCAATGATTTTAAATAGAGATAATATTAAAAAATATAATTAATACCCTACAATACTAAGAAATACTCCAGAAGGTGTTCTATAATAAGTATCACAGGAAGTATCTACTTTATTTACATAGTATTAATGTAACAATATCATTGATGGATAATTTGTATTAGGATCCACTAAGGAAAAAATGTTCAGGGATGATCCTGATTTTTTTTTTTTTAAGTGGAGAAAAAAAGTAGGCATATGGTCTATCAGGTCTTTAATATGAAATAAACTTAGCATGCTTCCCACTTATTTAAAAAATAGTAATTATATTCTTAAAAACATTAAAAATATTCAACTCTCTAATTTTACATTTTTTTATAATTTATAACCATATAAATTGTTGACTGGAAAGTCAAACGATAATAAATAAATAAATTGATCAATTAAAAAACATTAATTACTTTAATTTTATTTTATATCAAGAAACAAAAATTCTAAAGCATGTCTTATATTGATAACTGGAGGGGAGTGATATTGAAGTCACGTCTAACGTTACTTGTCTCTCCTCTAGACAGAGGCAGAGCAAGCTTAAAAGATCCAAACAGACTAATGCTCACTGATATGTAAAAACTTTTTCTTCTTGGAGCAATAATTAATATGTCGCAACCTTTCTGTTTCATCTTTTTTTTTTTTAAATAGTTGGCAAAGAAGAAAGACGGGGAAGAAAATAAAAATCAAACGTAATGTGCGTTTAATTTTATTTTTTTTTCCTTTCTTCGTGGAAAAATAAGTTTATTGAGAGATGATGTTTCGTGGAAGTACGCAATCCTACTTAAATATACTCTTGTTCAGAGATGATTACTTCACCATGTTACAAGTAGTCATGGATTTGTCAAAATATTAAAAGTTTGTGCAAAGGCGACCGTGTTTAATTTAAACAAAAGCGATTGGACAGTCAGATGATGATCATCACAAAAACAACAACAACAATAATAGTTGATACAAAGGGATATGGTTGAGGATTTTTTTGTTATCATGAATTGAAATATGGTGTGAGCCATAGTATTTGATCTATCAAACTAGAATAATGACACGTCGTTGCGTTTCCAATTTGAGTCTCTGTCCACTATCGCGTTGAAATCATATCGAGTTGAATCCCTCTTTCTACGGTACTTGATATACACAATCATGTTATTATATTATAACCCCCAGTTCCTTACCTTGATATTTTGATGGGAAGAAAATCATAGATGAAAAGAATATTTTAAACAAAAACTGTTAATAATAATAATATTTTTTTTTAAAAAAATATAGTATTCCCTCCTTTGTTTTTCGCATTTCTCCCTATTTAAACCAAGCTTTTAGAATAATGCACTAGAAAAAAAAAAAAAAACCATCCCAATCCTCTACATCATACAAGTGACAAGATGTACCTATTGACGGGGTGAGAGAGAGAGAGAGAGAGAGAGATTCAAACCGACGACTTGATTCCTGATTGATATCAGAGAAGAGAAAAATTGGATGGAAAAGCAGACAAGTGGTGGAGGTTGAAGAAGAAAGTAATTGAAGAGGGAGTAGGCATATAGTGTTTTGATTTTGGAGGCGTGGTTTGGGATCCCAGTAAAAGCCAAGTTAGGAGAGGGTTGAAGTCAAAAGTGAAGCATAAGATGAAAGAGGGATGGCGTAGGAGGCAAGAGAGTGAAGATATGGGGAAGAGAGGGGGACCAGTGTTTGGTGAGGAATGAGAATGAGAAACAAACAAGTCGTCAGCATTATATAAACAATGGCCTACACTTGCATTAATCCCTCCCTCTTGTCTCCCCTTCTTTCTATCTTCCTGCTTCTGCCCACTCCCCTCTCCTCCTCATATTTTTTTCCTTCGTCTAGTTGTTCCTGTGATAGTCACCTCCTTCTTTTAAAAGAGATTTTGGGTTTCAATTTAGCACTGACATGTTTATGTTGTGTGTGTGAGACCTCTTTTGGGAGTAGGGTTTAGTAAACTAGAGGTGATTTTTTAAATGTGTTTCTTTTTACTTCTCTTCTTCTTGACTCCATTTCACCATCCATTCCAATCCATGCATGATTGTTTTTTGGGGAATGTGTGTGCGTGTGTGTGTATATATAATACTGAAGAGAAATATAGGTTCAAGAATACAACGTTTTTCTCTCCCTTTAATTATTTCGTTTTAATATGATGACTCGTGTCGACATAATTTGTTTTCCTTTTTTTTTTTTTAAGAAAAAGAAGCAGATTCAAATATATTCGCATGTCCTGTTGAGAAAAATGCGGATAATGCATTTTCTATCATGGCTTGCCAATGCAAGATTTTGCCAATTCCTATGTGTTGGCTGTTGGATAAGTGCCGGCGAATGCCTCCAGTTTCAGAACTATCTACCTCGTGTAGTGCCAACATGCCATTTTCTTTTCTTTAAACGGGCTTTGGTTAATGAGACGGCCTTCAAGCTGTCCCTTGTGAGTGAGACGTGGCATCTCAAATGTTATGCAATTGACATAAAATCAATGGGTCCGCATCGTCGTCTCGTATTTATAATTCTGGGCTAATTGAAACGACTCATTTTGCCAAATTGTAGCTAAGCTCAGCACTTCCCTCCGAAACCTCCGCTTTCCCTGCCACAATTCTTCCAATTTTCAAGTTCAGTGGTCCAAACACACCAAACCAAAAAAATAAAAAAATTGAATTTGAGATTTGACTTTGACACAGAAAATTGAGTCGCAGCGTAAGGTTTGGTTGGCCTTTAATTATACGACTCTTGTGTTGGAAGCTTGGAATCATCGATTGTTCGTGTTGCCTGGGCGCAACCTCGCTCTGACCTTTCAATTTTTTTTTTTTTTTATCGAGACCTTTCAAAATTTATTTACCCAAAAAATAACATCATTCAAAGAGACGATCACGTAAGCTACTTAATTAACTAATTACAAAACCCCATTATTTGGTTCATTCTTGCTGGGAGAATAGCATTTGGTAATTTTCAGATTAAATTACATAGTACTAGTCCACCAAAACATACACAACCATGAAAAGCAACTAACGCACTTTAACGAAACATTAAAAAAAATGTGGTTGGATTTCCCAGAGGGGCAGACTAGCGAGATTTACATTTTTACTGAGATGATAATGATGATAACAATAAAGCAGGGCACATGCAGTGTCCAATTCAAAGAGCGATTCATGATAATGTGTTTTCAAGGCAGCCAAACTTGCATGACTAGTCATGAAACACAGCCTCTCTGTTAAATTAGGTCACTTCACCACAGCGCTGCTTTTAATTTTCAAAAGCCTCATGCAAGGCGTGACGGCCCGTCCTTTTTCTCCACAATAATCTTCCCTTAAACAGCAACAAAAAAAGCTCATTTAAAAAATAAGACAAAACATGTCCTTTCACATTAATAATACCAGTTGCGTGCGTGTTAAGATCTTTTCGTTAGTCATTATATTCAAGAACCACCGAAGAAACTAAAAATGGGTGATACATATATGGGGTTACGTTGCAGAGGAATGGTAGACTACATGAAACCAAATTTGGCCGACACTTGAAAAAAAAAAAAACAACAACAACAAATGAGGACCACCAAATCAGGAAAAAGTTAAGAGTGGTGCATTTGACTTGCATGTCGCAGAATTTTATCTGAGCAAGTGGAAACAAACCTTCATGGAGCATCCTCACAAGCGGGTCCATCCTCCTCCTAATTTCGTGATTTCCGGCTAAGTCCCACACACCCCTCCTTATTCAACTAATAAATTGCCATTTTTATCCAACCAACTCAAGTTAGCATGAATAGTAGGATTTTTGTCACTTGAACAAGTGATTAGGAGTTCAAGTAACTATGAATTTGAATCATAATCCTTGTCTACATAATAACCTAGTTGAAAAGAATTTACCCTTTTACTCTCAGTAGCTTGGAAGAGAAATTTCTATGCTGGCAGGTCTACTACTTTTACTGACAAAAATTGCTAGTCTTATCATTTTTGTCTTTTCTTGGAAATCTTACTCATGATTTTCTCTGAGCGAAATGTGTAGGCCTATCGGGCCCAACAAAGTATAATATAGGCCCACAAAAACCCTTTTTTCAGTAGTTTTCAGATTTTACGTAAGCGTCATACAATCATCCTGGCCCGAAATAAATTCCACTAGGAAAGCTGGGACACCTGTGAGTTAACGTATCAACGAAGTTAAGTCGGGAAGTAAATTCTTCATACTATAATGTGCTCAAAAGTGCTTCAAATATAATAGCTTTTAGTAAGAGAATATCTATAAATTTAAAAAAAAAAAAACAAGTGCAATTTGGATGTGTGATGTATGATCAATAAACACTCATCTAAGGGGAAAAACACTCATCTAAATTCAATTCAATATTACTTGAAAACAAATTAAATTCCAACCGACTCGGGTCAAATCCTCAATTAAATAAATTAGCCATCCACCAAAATAAATCAATATCCAACTTTGTTTATCAATTGAGACGTTAAGACTTGATTAGCAGCTAGATTGTCACTTTTGATAACATATCAAGAAAAATTAATAGATCTGTTGATTAAATTACTCGTAAAGATATACATCTCCACGATTAAGATCTCTCTGTCCTGTGATATCTTGCAACGAGCTGCACAATCATAGCTGGTCTCCCTGCTTAATGAGTTGATCGTGACCTTTGTAAAAACAAAAGAAAAAGTGAACTAAATCAAAATGGTTGGCTCATGCAGGCTAATGTATGGTACTTATCAACCTTTTATAAAGTGTAAACAAGGGTGAGAGATTCCAAAGACCAATGTCCCAAAGTTGCATTATTTGTTACCGAAAGCCTTCCTTTTGTCCGTAAAAAAATTGAGGGAATGCGTTCTAATATTTGTAAACTATTTGTATTTGCAATTATTTAGTAGGAGAATTGATTCTTCAATTCAACGATTGCTCCAAACAAAAAGTTTGTACGAATCATGCGGATACCTTCGGCTAAGTCAAAAAGGAGACGAATGCAAAGATTCAGATCAAGACAATTAACTTGTGACAAAAGAAAAAGAATAAGAAGATCAAGACAATTAACTCACCTTCAAACCATCTATTACACTTTGCTATTTACACTCCAAAAGCACTTCACAGACTCGTTCTGAATTTCCATCACCTTGTACCACCAGTATATATCTTATTATAAAATCTACTGTGGCTTGACCTATCTCACTCTATGGTTCTAGCGATGAGAATATGCACATAATAATTACTCGCTAAAAAACTCTCGCACTTCAACTCAGGAGAGGCTTCTCTGCATCAAACTCGGCCTCTAAGCTATCTGCATCAGCGAACCCTTCTTTCCCTTTTGCCCAGAGCACAAAATAGAGCCCCGTGAACATGAGGAACATACCCACAAGGCTGCAATAGTTCAGTGTTATTATCAACACACCACAATTGGGGAATCATAAGATTTTCAACATCAAATTAATGACCAAGAAACTTGAAAACGTACTTGCCTTCCGATATTAATAGTATCTCCGAGAGTTACGGCAGACAAAATGATGGAGCAGACGGTAGAAATGGGACTGAACATGGACACCAAAACTGGTCCTTTCTTCTTTACTGCCCATCCATGGAAGCTGAAGCATAATCCAAGCACTGCACCTGCCTGAGCTTTTATATTTTTTTTCACGTTATAATAATACCCACGAAACGAAATCTTGCGACGCGTACAAAAGGTTCAAACTGAGAATGTCGTCTCAGGCCAATTATTGCTATCTCGTAATGTATAGTTAGAAGGAAGAGAAGAGAGCAGAATATACCAGAAAAGTAAAGCCAATGAGTTTCGCAACGCTGAGATATTGCCCACCAGTTTTCAATTTGTGATCTTCAAGCAACTGAGCTATTGCAGTCATGAAAGCTCCGAGTAAGGATATGGCTGCGCTGAGGGATATGGGTGCAGGAAAGTCTCGCAAAGTTAAAGCCTGCAAATATATATATATAGTGAGTAATGAAGAGCAAATTAACACAAGCTGTAAATATTTGTGGTATATGACTCTTTCATGGCTTCATTCCAAGTTACCTGCAAAACATAAGCGCTTGATAATATGAAGACAGCAGCCACAAGGTAAAGACAACCTTTGATCTTTTTCATATCAAACATAGCATCGGGTGGGAACGATGGCAATTTCATTCCGGCCTCTATTTTCGTCGCAGGTGAAGATATGCTCTGCATTATGCTCATTGCGAGAGCCCCTGCCACGCAGATTATCGTGCCTAAGATTTTGACTTTACTATATATGCTTCTTACGTTGATCTTCTCTAACCTGCCAACCATACGAATCACTGGAATTGAGGAACATAAATTTTGTAGGATTTAATTTGCTATTGCACTTCAAATCATTTAATCTGTATTTTGGGTACCTGAAAGTCCAGGCGATGAAGAAGATGAGGCCCGGTGCTAGGTTTGGCATGGCAGTTCCCATGGTTGGCGAAGTCAGTTTCATTCCTTTAAGGGAGAAGGACTGGAACAGAGTTACCCTGCATAGTTGCCGAGAGAGATGATAATTAAAACCCCAATTTATAAAAATGAATTCTACATGCATGAAGGTAATTAAAAGGGAAACAAATTAAAGATTTGGAAAAATACAGAAGGAATCTCACCCTCCAAAGGAAAGAATCAATATCTGCAGGATTAACTTGAAACTGAATTTCTGGGGCCACTTAGTCCTGCAACGAAAACAGAGCAAGTCAGAAAACTGCAAGTCTACCGCTCAATTTGAGAAGAAAGGGAGGGGGACCTTTCAAAGTAGATGGCGAACGGGAAGACGACGAGGAAAGTAGAGAAGCAAGTAAAAATGACAAGGGTAAGAGGATCGATCTCCAGAGTCATGAGATAGCTTTGAAACACAGCGTGGACGGCGGTGATGAACTGAACGGCGATCAGACCTCCGGCAATGGCCAAATCTTCAGCCATACTCTCCCTTACCATCTCCGCCATCACAAAGACACAGCCATTGCTCTCATTCTCTAGCTTTGATGCGTGTTTGTATGTTTTTACTGCCATTTTCCCGGTTCTTGGCGTGACCGGGAAGCCATGTTTAATTGAATTTGTCTGTTTGCAGATATTTGCTATTTGCTTTGCCCTTTTGACGATGATCAATTTCCCCACGTTCTCTGGTTTCCCTCTGGGCTCTTCCTTTGCGGTTATATATAGCATTAGCCTCTAGTCATCCTCTTTTGCACACTAAAAATCTAAAACAAAATTCGATTCTAATATTAGATATGGATATTTTCCCGGCTATGATTTATAAATAGGAATTAGGAATCTTATTCGTGAAAATATAATTTCCTAGAAACGATGGATATTGAAATAAAAGGTGGCATTAATCTGAACAGAGTGGGTGGTATTTGAATTTAGAATTGAGCATGCGTCGAGGGTGGAGTGAGAGTGACAAGTGGGTTAACATGCAAGGCTCCATTGCTGAGAGGTGGACACGACACAGTTTGATTTCATGGTGACGTCAACATCCAAAATTCCTAGTCCCCCGCAAAACCTGGGAATTATTTCCACATCATGATCAAACTGAACCTTCCCTCTCGGGTCTCCGGGAATTGAGGTCCCCTCTCAGCCCCATCCTCACATGATCCTCTGATCTCCTGCCGCTCACCACCGTTTCCCAGAAGACGGTTAATATGACCATGTTTTGTGTTTATGTTTTTAAGATAATTTTGTATAGTACTGTAATTTTTTAAAACAAGGTTTGAAAAAAAAAAAGAAAATTTGTTTGAGTTATTATTCTAAAAAAAAACATGTCTACAGCGGTAAAATAAGGGGTGAAATAATTACTTATTTTATCAATATAATTTTAACAATATATTTTTTATCCTCTAACTTTATATAAGGTTACAGTTTGATTCCTTAATTTTATAAAACATATTTTTAATTTTTTAACCTTAATTTTTTCTGTGCTGATCATTGTTATTTTAAAAAAATTAAACTTAATAAATTAATATTTGAAAATAGTTTATCAATAGTTAAAAGTTCAATGTAATTTTTTTTTATAAAACTAACAGTGTTAAAATGAAAGAACTAAAAATATATTTTATAAAATTAAAAGATAAAATAAAATATTATATAAAGCTAAACAATCAAAAGTATACTTTAAAAGTATGATATTTTCTTGTCTCCTTTTTTTTTAAGTTTTGCATGACAGAAAATAATAAAATATTAACAAGATATTCTTATTTTTAATTCTTCACAATAAATGTTTTCAAAACAAAAAAAAAACTGAAATGGAAGCAAGTAATCTAACAAGTCTCATAGTTTTTTTTTTAATATTACTCTATATTCTTAATATAAGACAAATTTTAAAATATTTTTTTTGTTTCTTAATATAAAATAGAGGAAGAGTAATTAATTTTATTTTTCAATTTAGCATTGTTTGTTTATTATGTGTCAATTCCAAGATAACAATTTGTCATAATTATTAATTGTATAGAAAGGGTAAAAATGAAAAGGTACATTTTTTTTATAGTTTTAATGATAGGGTAAAATAAAAATTAGCTAGTAAATTATAGGTCTATTAATGTTGACACTTTGGACTCTATTTTTTTAATATTTTATTTCAACTTTTAAAAATAGTGTAATCTAATTCTTACTATTAACTATTGTTAATTGACTAAAAAATAGCATAAATGATGTTAAAGATTATAGAAATGAGTAAAAATTTATAGTAAAAAATTCAAAAATTACAAATGACAAAAAAAAATTATAGAAAATGACTAAGAACAATTTATTGATCCCTTTTTTTTGTAATTTTTAAGGTCATGTTGTGGTTAATTGACAGTTAAAGTTAATTTTTATTAATGATAGAGGTTGAATTACACCATTTTCAAAAATACAAAGAAAACATTATACAAAAAAAAGAAAACTAGGGTTTCAAATATTCTTGAACTTATAATTTAAGGATCGGTTAACTCTTTTACTTTCAATGATATACTCCCTTAGTCCCTATATATAAGAGCTTTTTTAGAATTTTTTTCATCCTTGAATATAAGATGTTGTTAGCTTTTTTTTTTAATGAATGAATTATTATACTCTTATTAAATTAAAAAAATAAAAAGATAAGTACTCTCATTAATTTACTTTAAAAAAAGAGATTCATTTTTTATTTATAATAACTAGAGGCAAAATTGAAACGCTAATATGCTTTTAATTAGATAACTAATTTTTATTAATTTACATAATTCGATTAAAAATATCTTATATATAAAAACGAAAAGAGTAATTAATATTTCTTATTAAGCGTGAAATTAGTTAACTTTGTCTCCCTACAAGGGCTAGAGGGAGTATACACAAGGCAAGTTCATTAGAATAACAAAATTACCTTAAAATTAAATTATTTTCCACCATAAATTTAAATAAAAGTGATTTGATACGTTAATCCAAATGTTTACACTTTTTTGTGTAGAATTTGCGTGGGAATATTTTTGTTAACTGTGCATTAAAGATAGCCAAAAGAAAATAACTTATATTAAAAATTAAAAAATCCTTCTAAAACATTATTGACAAATGGGACTGAATGGAGCATGTGTTAAAAATCATTATAATTTAACAACAAAAAGTTAGTTCTAACTTCTAACAAAGGGAACTAGATCCTTCTAAATGCGATGAATCAAGTTCAAAGCCTTGTTAGAAAAGATAATGTTAGATTGTATCTAAAACTGAATTTATAATGACAAATTTATTCCTTGATAAATCATAATAGTAACACCACTTATCTATATGGCTTATAGCTTAGGGAGAATTATATTAAAGTTTCACATAAAAAAATAATTATTATAAAATTATTGACAAACTGCTAATATCAACTACCTTAATTTAATTGTCAATAAATTTTGTAAAAGAACCTAAATGTAATTACCTTTATAACATAGGAAGAATTATTATAGTCTATTCAACTCGATTTATGTTTATAAAGAATTACTTACATGCACTGTTTTTTTTATACAGTACATTCACTGAATATAATGTGAAATATGATAGGTTCAATCAATTAATGTTAATCCATTTAAATTTAAAAATTCCAACAAATTGTTTAAGAGTGGTAATTTTATGGTCATAGCAACTGTTCAAGAAATGCCCTCAGGGAACAACTATGGGCGTGTTTGAAATTATTTTTTTGTTATTTTAAAAATTAATATTTTATAAAACATGTTTTAAGGGGGAAAAAAGTAAAACAAGTGTTTTTCGAATTTTCACCTATTTTCTAAAACAACAATCTTAAAATATTTAAAAGATATTTTTATTTTTTTATTTTTTAAAATAATATTTAATTTTTTTAAAAAATATTTTTAAAAAACACATTATCAAATAATTTTTTTATTTTAAAAAATAAAAAATTATTCTCAAAACATATTCCCAAACAAGCCTTACATGATCATACGAAGGGGTGAATTTCTTTTCACTATTTTTTTTTTCTACCATTCTATCAGTGCAAATCTAAATTTTTATACTTTTAAAAGTTATTAAATCACGGAATTTAATTTAATAGTCTAGAGCCCAGATGATCCCTCCTCTGCGCGTGGGAACGCAAACTCCCTATGCGAAGGCTACTATGCAGTGGAGATAAAAAATTGCGGCAATGGGAGAATAATCTTGATTTTCTTCCATTAGGATACTGTAACTCAGGCATTAGGAGTCAACTTAACCGTTTCAGCTCAACCTCAAGACTCATCGCTGCGCTTGCTAAAGGTGGAACTTGTGCTGAAATTGCGTTATTTGAGGCCTCTCGATTATTCAATTCAGGCTCTAAACCAGATGCCTGTGCTCTGGTTCACCTTCTTCGAGCCACCACTAACCTGGGTTGGGACCCATTTGGACATCAGCTCCACAGCTACGTTTTGCGATATGGGTATTATTCTGACGCCAATGTCTCCGCCGCCCTCATCAGATTTTACGTTGGAATGCAGTCTCTCGGTGATGCCCACAAATTGTTCGTTGAAATTCCTCAACGAAATGTGGTTTCTTGGAACACTTTGATTTCCGGATACGTGCACACCGGACAGTTTCGTAAAGCCTTGTCTGTTCTGCTTCAGCTGGAAAAATCAGACGTTTATGCTGATGCATTCTCATTTACATCGGGTTTAGCTGCTTGCGGCCACCTGGGTTTCTTGAAGCCAGGCAAGTCAATTCATTCCAAGGTTTTGAAATTTGGGTTGGTTGGAGATACTGTTGTTGCCAATTGCTTGATTGATATGTATGGCAAATGCGAGTGTGTTGAAGAGGCTGTTCGAGTATTCTCTGAAATTACTGACAAGGACGTTATTTCTTGGAATTCAGTAATAGCAGCAGCTGCCAGTAACGGAAAAATTGAACAAGCACTCCATTTTTTGCACTTCATGCCTAACCCTGACACCATTTCATACAATGGACTGATAAATGGTATAGCTCAGATGGGGAGAATGGAAGATGCAATTCAGATTTTATCCATCATGCCAAATCCAAATTCTTCATCGTGGAATTCAATAATCACGGGATTTGTGAATAGGAATCAAGTTCCAGCAGCTTTGGATATGTTCAGTAAGATGCACTCAAGAAACGTAGAGATGAATGAGTTCACGTTTTCAGTCATTCTAAACGGGATTGCTTGTCTGTCAGCTTTGACATGGGGAGTGGTGATTCAATGTTGCACTATTAAGCATGGTCTAGATGCATCTGTGGTTGTCGGTAGTGCGTTAATCGACATGCACTCAAAATGTGGGCAGGTTAAGAATGCGGAATCAATTTTCAAATCACTGTCTAGTCGGAATCTGGTAAGCTGGAACGCATTGATCTGTGGCTATGCTCGCAGTGGTGATTCTGCCAGAGTTATCCAACTCTTTGAGCTGCTCAAAACGGAGGGACATACAAAACCTGATGGCATCACATTTCTTAACCTGTTTTTTGCGTGTTCCCATAATCAAATACCACTTGAGGTTGCAACTCAGTACTTCAAATCTATGATCAGCGATTATGGAATAGCACCGACCGTTGAGCATTGTTGTTCTATGATTCGGCTGATGGGAAAAAAAGGGGAGTTGTGGAGAGCTGAAAGGATGATTCATGAACTTGGCTTTCAGACATCTGGATTGGTTTGGAGGGCTTTGCTTGGTGCTTGTGAAATTAATAGAGATTTACAAATTGCAGAGGTTGCGGCTGTTAATTTGATGAAGTTGGAGGGCAATGAAGATTATGTTTACGTGATTATGTCTAATCTCTATGCTTCTTATCGAAGATGGGAAGATGTTAGTGTAATTAGGGGCCTCATGAGGAGGAAAAGAGTGAGAAAAGATGCAGGCTCTAGTTGGATAGAAGTAGAGAACTTTGTCCTGTATGCTGCTGCTACTGGAATAAAATAACTACCTCAGTTACTCTGTAAAGATAATCTGACGCTCATGTCTTCAAGTGAAAAACAAAGCCTCTTATCTATATTATTTTACATGCTAAGTCTTTAAAAGAAAACACTTAAAGTCAAATATGATACTCCCTCTATTCAAAAATATAAAGTATTTTTTGAGGAGCTGAATGTTAAAAAATGTAAGACATTTTTAATTTTTTGAAGTGTAATTATTATCTCTTTTTTTTCAAAAATATTCCTATTAATAATGACTTTATATTTTTTATAAGATGTTTAATAAAAGTAAATATAAAAAGATAAAGTTAATTTGAAAGTAGATAGTTACTTTATTGAAGAATAAAATTTAATTAAAAACATCTTATATTTTTTAACGAAAAAAGTATGATATTTTCCAATAATGGATATTTTTAAAATTATATCATAGATTTTTCAATAAATTTTGCAAAGAAACTTATAGTATGAAATATTAAAAAACTGTAAAGTTTTTATATTATGGACCATAAATATCATAACATATAGATATCAATTAACCTGCCTTCATTTCAGCCCACAGAACAGCCCATAAAATCATGGAATTCAGTTGTGAACATCAACATGTTCCATTGCGCTCTCCCGAAGGGCGAAGGTGACGGGAAGCGGATATAGGTAGTTAAAACGGGTTGCTTATTGATGTAGAGGATATACGTAGTTGGTCTTTAGGCTAATAAATTGGTTTACTCACGAAAACATAGATGTCTTGTAATGAACTTGACAAGTTTGCACCAAAACAAATCCTAGTTTGCACTAAAATAATGGAAAAGGCATGGTCTAATGACAGGAGGATCACATTGAAAACGTTACAATTGTGCCACGGCAACCTAGTAGAGACTTGGGAGAGAAACCAAAATGAAGCAATTCATGCCTTGTCGAGGTGATTTGACTCATTCCTAAGCATGCACTCCAAAATGTTAAGAAATTCATGAAAATAAAGGAATGTAACTACGTTTCAATGTTTTTAATTTCTAACTATATTTGATTGGTCTGGAAATGATAGGCAAAATAATTCGCAATCGCCCCCGTTTTTTTGTGTACCATGATCTCTCTGCATGGGTGGTCATACGATTGATCAACATGAATCAACCTCTCATGTCACAACAGCTAAAGAAATAGAGAAAAGGAAATCGACACGATAGAGGGACTTGAAAATCGAGTATAATAATAAATGGAGATAAGTGCAGATAGTCTGGAGTTTCTATTAGTAACTATGCTTTATGCATGATATAATTTCATAAAATTAGGCAGGCTAAATATTATTCGTCATGATACGAATTTATGAGCTTGAAAGAATCACAGAATTGCTGCTTGCTGGATCCCCATAAACATCCGAAACAAAAAAGCCTTCCGATACGTTAATCATATAATTTCTCTCCTGGCAGGTCACCTTGGTACTGACAATCCAAGCTCTATAAGAAACAAATAAAACAAGACTCAATCAGTAATATGCCTGATTGTAATTGTAAATAAATTAAAGAATGCAGAACCACATCAGTAAGCAAGAAATTCCTACATGTTACCAAAAAAAAAAAAAAATTCCTACACTTTACAGTTATAGTAGTGATGCCAAAACACGAAAATTGTGCACTCTTGTAACTTTACTTCAGAATAAGGTATAAATGGCCAAACACATCAACTACAATTTATGAGACTGACATTATCTATGGTTGTCCAGACAGTTTGAGGTCAAACGTACAAAGATAAATCCCACCTTCAAAACTGCATGCATGTCTCACGTCCCATCAATTCCATCTGGCCAAAGTAGCAGTTAGGTTATCATATTATGCTTCTTTATTATAAAAGTATATTGTAAATTTAATGCAAAATATTTGCATCCAAGAATCTGGCTGGCTGTCCTAAGTCCAAAAGTAGTTTATCAAAATTCAACACCCACCCCACTTATAGTTTCAATTTTCCTATTCAACACCCCAAGGCTTTTAACTTGTATCTTTTCCCAATAAATCCCACCCACAAGTACCGCTATTATCTTCTCTAGGACAGGAAGCCATCCTATTAGAGAGAAAGAGAGAAACATGATGACATTCTCCTCATATGCTAATAGGAGAGAATTCGAATTTCACAAATACAAAGTACAAACAACAGGTGGTATCAATGCATCGTTTGTTTGTTAACACAAAAAGACATGTAAAACATAAATCTTCCCTACACTTCATAGATATGTTGCTTGTTGAGAGTAAGAAGAGTTATAAAGACTGAGCAGTAACAGAACAAATCTCTTGAGGAAGCCATGTACAATAGGTCCACCGTAAATTATTTTGTGGAGCTTTAAACAATCCACAATATACAAACAATTAGGAAGAAACATAGTGATTAACGTAGTAAGGCATTGAAACCAAAATAGACCACTCATGAAGAATTCATCCAATGTTTCAATCATCATCTAAATTTCTGCTTGTACTGAGGAAAAAACTGCAGGCTGGGAGCTTCTAAAACCAAGCTAAATTTACTAAGAAAGCCACCATACCATACTACCAAGAATGAATAGAAGAAACAACCACAGATAATGTATCACTTTGCTTCGTTTGAGAGGAAGGAAAGAAGAGAGTCTACAAGTTATGAGCTGGATCATGCTTAATAGCTTTAGAAAATACTAATTTATATTGCTCTCAGTTCTTTCCTCCTCTCTTCGTTTCTTTCACTAAGTTCTAAAGCCACTATTCCCATAGGCATTTCATATGGAATTCCAATGAACACTTGAAACTTCCAGCAGAACTTTTTGATGATAATACAAAATGTATCTCTGTTCTAATACAGCTGAAGAGAGTGTTAAATGTTAAAAGATCGTTTTTATTCATACTTGATAATGAAGCTGTAGGCCAAAATAGGTAGGTCCCGCAGATCCCCAATTAACTATGTGCCTGCAGGAACCAAATTTTACAGTTAGTTGACATCAAAACTCCCAATTAGAGCACTTTCATTTCCTACTCTCAGCCTTCAAATGGTTCCACAAATCCCACTACCCATGGCCATGACACTATTACAGGTTCTGGTGTAAATCAGACTACGTGACTCTATCTGTCCAACTCTCAAAGTTCTCAATGCTTGTTTATTTGCTATTACCAGCTACAGATCTCAAATTACTCAAATAAGCATGTGATAGCGCCAGTACAAAAGTTATGAACGCATAGATTAATTAGATTCCTCAAGTAAATTGCAAACAAATTGGCAACAATAAGTCACATAAAGGTTAAAGCACGTTCAGGAAATCACCACAAAAGCTTCAAATCTATTTCCCCGTTCATTTCCAAAGTTCTTGAGACTCATCCAATTGAAAGCATATTGAATACAATTCAGATGCGAATAACAAACGTGGTCCAAAGGAAAATCAATATAAGAAGCAAGGAAGCTACTCACAATTGCTAATAATTTTGAAAAAGAAAGTATTAGAGGCCGGGAGAGGTGCAGCAGAGTGTACCCTGAGAAAGCGCTCGGCAACTCCTGGAATTTATGCTCAGGCAAGACGTCATTCTTGCAATGGCAACCGCACTGTGTAGTGGCAACATTGACTGCAGGCATCCCAACTCCGGTGCAATCTTACTGCAGAAAACATCAAGGAAAAAATAACCAAAAGAAAAATATAAAGTTTATATTTATTCGGAAACAGAAGTTCAAAGAACAGAGATTAAAACCTGGTTAAGGAGGATCTGCGAAAAGTAGAAGTGGTTGATTTGCCAGGAATAGCTGGAATTGTGGCTGATCTGGATGAACAAGTGCGAAGATTGGATTTGATGGAAGATTTTACGGACGCAAGAAACGTCCTTTGCGCAATTCTGCCGCAGCCTGAAGCCATTGGCGAGTGCAAGGTGAGGGAGAAAAACACGAAATAGTTTCGCCTCGACTTCAGTTGCAGAGCTGCGGGACAGAAGGGTTTAGGGCTTTGCGGTTGGCGTCACAGCTCCCCCGAAACGGTTCCGTATCGTGCATTACTATCTCTTTCCCACTCTTTTTGGGGTCAAACATTCTTTTTCCTATTAAAAAAGAACTACACTGGATTTTGGGCCTTCTTAGCTTGTTGTGGAATTGTTAAACGAAGATGAAGACCTTTTCCTTCATCCAAAAAAAAAAAAACAAACAAAGAAAAAAGAACACTGGGAGAAGCAATCTCTCCTCCCCTTATTTGGGATGTAAAAATAAAGAGGAAGGGAGAAAAAAAAAATGGGGAAATGAAGAGAGAAAGGGTATATTTTTATTGTATTGGGACTAATATATTTATTTTATAATATAATAATTTAAAAATGCCCCTCTCTCTTTGTGATCATATGCCCTTCTATTTTAGTTGTGTTTCTCCTTCTAATTTATGCTGCCATTGTTGCTCACTCCCTCCATGCAGGCCATCGTTCATGTTGGAGTTCAGATCTTTCTGCTAAGCCTCCCCCTTTTCATTTATTTTTCTTATTCTATTATAAGGTAATAAACTTATTGCTTGCTCATGCCTTTATTTTATAAATTATGAATAAATTATTATTAAATATATTATTGACAATATGTGTGTGTGAACTATGGATAATTATATACTTATAATTATATATTAAAAATATTCATAACTATATTTTATTAGGAAAAAATAACTTAACTAAAATAAGAGTTTGTTTGTATATATATTTATTTTTCCTTTCTTTCCATCCTAAATCAAATAAGGTATTATCCCTCTCCTCAATTAAAACTTCTTTTCTCCCTTCCTGAACCAAATAATGTATCATATCCCTTCCATTAAAACTCCTCATCTCCCCTTTCTTCCATTAAAATCCCTACCTTTCCCTCTTCTCAAATGAAACAGACCCTGACACAACCAAAAAGTGAAAAAAAAAAAAAGATGAAGACCTATTCACCAAAAGCAAAAGGAAGACTATATCCCAAAAAAAAAAAAAACAAAGCAGGAGGAGGAGATAAATGACCTTTCAAGTTAGGTAAATCAATTTCAAGGCATTAAAATCGGGAGAGAAAAAAGAATTAATGACTTTACCAATTTAGTATTGAAAATTGAACTAAGCATTGATCTGAATTGTTATGTCATGGTAACCCTAAATCCTTGAGTTAAGGCTTAATCAATGTTAAGATATGGATTTCAAAATATGACTTACGACTTGTAATCCAAAGTGAAACTTTATCGGTAGCTAGCCTTCCGGAAAAATAGTAATTGACAAACTTCACAAACTTTTTTGTTCCCCTCCACTCGCAAGAAACGAGCTGGTTTTCTTCGGAAAATGTATCAACAAAAGAGATACCTTGTTTGCTTTTATAACTCAGGCCTCGCATATATTCTTTTTTTCATGCTTTCCATGCCTTTTCCCGGCGGGCTCTCATTGCCCTTTGCTTTTCCAATTTCCACGCTCCCTTATTACGTGTCTACTGTTGTCTAGTCGAGTCTATAAACCATCTTGTCTGTAAGTCCAGATATTATTTTCGATATATGATAGCTTTCTCAAATAAAATAAAAAGATAATCCATCGAGATCAAACCCTCAGGCACCATCCTTTGACGTCGAAATTTCCTTTCCTTTGATCGTAAATTAGTAAATTCTTCTGAGATTATGCATACACTTGCATCAAAGAATATATGATGGGGGACAAAAGGGGAAAATTCTACGTAGATAAAAATATTATCAACAATCCCAGAGTCAGAGAAACAGTCCATTTGGACATAGCGCTTTCTGACTCTATGGCAAGATTGGACGAACTTTCAGACTGTAATAAAGTACTAAACGCGAAGTTAGGGTTTGACCCATACAGAGCCTGAACTCCCTCCACGTCATCAATCTTCAATTCTACCTTCTTCGTCCTCGGTTTCAAGCTCGGGTACATAACGGCTCCTTTAACCGAAGAGTGAGCCAGGCCGAGTATATGTCCTATCTCATGCGTAACCACAGATTCCAAATCGACGGCTACCTTTGACTTATCCCGCTCGAAATCGACGGACCACGTTTCAGCAGCGTCCAAGTGGAATCTCCCATTTTCCGGGCAAAAAGCATGCGCTAAAACCCCAAGCACCCCGTCAAACGGCTGTCCGTCACCGTGATTCCTGTGGTAAAACCCAATCCGGATATCGGCCGATTCGTATCGACTCGTCTCCCGAAAATTTACCGGAATCACCGATGCCCAGCGTGAAAAGGAGCGCTTAAAAACTGTCCTAATTTCCGATATGCTGAGCCGTTCAATCAAGTTGTCAGGGGAGAAAGCATACGTCAGAGTCATCGGAGAAGCCCGAACCCACCGTGGCTTACCGTTAAAGTAAGAGAAGTGACGAGTTGAATGGGTTACATGCGACGAGTCATCGCTTACCCCGCATCTTGGCATCGTGATGGTTGATATGGTGTGAGAGTCAAGTTTTCCGGTGACGGGCAAGCCCAGCCTCTTTTGGTAAAGCAAAAGAGCCGACTCAAACCGAGCATCGAAAGTATTGGTGAAATCCGACGTCGTACCAACTCTAGGGAGATAACCGAATTGGCGGAAGTACTTCTTGAGCTCCGATACGCCGATGATTTGGCTGCCTCTCTCTGCGTTTAGCAATCTAGAGAAATTGTGCCACGTGGCGTTGTGACTGTGAGCTTCGGCGGTTATTACAGTTGCGGTTTCGGGGATGGTCCTGACGGGAAAGCAAGGGCGGGAAAGCAAAAGGGAAACAAAGGTGAAGAAGAAAAAGCAACGGTAACTAGAATTTAGGAACATAATAACAATAATAGTTGTTTCGATCGGGACTGGAGGCCCGATCGGCGTCAGGAAGGACGAAGAAATATTTGGACAGAGTTAAAGAAGTCTTATCATGGATCAGCACATATATAATTACTAATTGCGATTGTAATGATTCTGAATTTGAATTAAAATTTGATGAAAAACTTGTCTTTGGTATGATGGAAGCCAAATATAAGATGTTAAAGCTAAGAAGATTCTGCCTTTTTTATTGGGAATTCTGACTTTTGAAGTGTGATGGTGGGTAACCCATGGGTTTTGTTTCCAACTTTCCTTTCATATGCAAATGTATAGTTGCGTTTTGGTTTGTACTGAAAGAAAATTGCAAATAAAAGGAAACGTGTTCCCAGTTTCAAGTACGCATGTATGATACGGATTAGTTTGCTCAACAAGAGATTGGCTGACTCGTACTCTGTTTCTGGTCGTGAGGATATATATGTGTATATATATCAAGAGTTTTTGTTTTGACCTTTTTGACGAACAAAGACAATGATTGGATATGTAAGAAGAAAATTAATAATTACAATTGAACGTGATAATATCATAATACAGAGTGATCTTCCTCTGAATTCCTTTGCAGCATTACTGTAATTCCCTCCTTTCCTGATCAGTAATTGCTGCGCCATTTAACCAAGCAATCAAATTAGAATGTTTATCCACAGAAGTAATCCATTTGAGTGAACCGCAACAATTAGCTGAATAGAATTCTTTTGCGGCTAGTCCATGGCATCATATAATATACATATTGTATGTTACTATTAGTTATAATTAATCCAATTTTCATGTCACCTGGAAACTCGCTGATACTGAATATATCTGCCTCGAGCACCAAGTGAGTACGAGAAAGGAAAAGTGTTAGCGAGAGCCTGAAGAAAAATAACAACAACAAAAGCAGTGAAAGAAAATAACTTCAATACGCAGTCTTAATGGCTAACGATCGTATAAGGTGTCACATTCAGGAGATGAGATAATCAGGCAATACGGCGATACGTACTGCACGCAGGATGGGCTGTATTTGCATATATAAAAGTACATGTACGTAACCTCTACGGTCATTCACTGCTTAACTTCTCAGTCGCAGATGTTTATGTATATGACACGCAAGTGCAAGTCTTTAATGCTTCGTTTGGTATAGTGAAAATAATTTTGATAAAAATAGAAATTAATATGGAAGTAAAAATGGATATGGATATGGATATAGATATAGAATTTAAAAATATGTTTAGAATGTTCATGGAATTAGAAAATTATTTTTATTAAATATTAATATTAAAAATATGAAAAGACTAAAATGCCCCTCATCTCAAAAAAAATTGCCCCAACCCAGTTCATCCAAATCAAAGCAAAGTTCAAGCAGACTCCAGGTCCCTCATCCCGAAAAAATTTGCCCCAACGTAGATCATTCGATTCAAAGCAAAGTTCAAGCAGACTCCAAGTCCCTCATCCTAAAAAAATTAAAAATATTTATGCAAAAATCATGATCCATCAGAAATTGCAGATGCAACCTCCATTAATGATTGATTCAAATAGGTGGAAGCAAGGGATGGCACGGAGGAAGATGACGACATCATCGAGGTTCTGGAAACTCATTGCCCACAGCAATGTCGCTGCCATCGTTGAGGACTTCCTTGGATGCGATGGGGTTTCAATCGCCGACTAGATAGTTTTGAAAGGAAGAACTGACAAAGTGAATTTGTGAATAAGAAAACCCAGAGCACCCTCCATGACTTCTCTCTACAAATTTATGAGAGAGGGGGAAGAAGACAAAATGATAAGGAGTGGTGGAAGTGGAATCAGTGAGGGAGGAGGTTGTTGATCTTGGAGAACGAGTGATGGCGGCTAAGCAACAGAGTTCGAAGATTGAACATCGAAGGTCGATCTTCACTGTCAATGCTGAAGAGGTCAGCATCATTCACCTGTGAGAAGGTGTGAGGGGACGAGAGAGAAAGGGTAAAAATTAAAAGAGGATATGTGGAATTGCAAAATTGACTTTTTTTTATGGAACCCAATTCCATCAATTTTGATAGAAATGATTTCCATGTGGAAGTCATTTTCAACTTCATTTTAACCAATCAAATATAAAAAAATTTTAACTCCATCTCCACATTCATTTCCACCCTCTAAATTCCACCATACCAAACGGGCCCTAAAGATTATGGAAAAAAATTTCAATCTATACCTCTAGATCAAATATTATGAAAAAATAGAGCCTTAAAATTTGAAATTTCACTGCACACTGAGGGTAATGAAATGAAATTAAAATACAAACTAAAATTATCACATTGTCCCTAATGGCTTAAGTTTGTTAAAAGTCAATTGCAAATTCTTCATACGAAGTTATTCATTTATCATATTGAAGTAGTTAATTTTTCTATTAGAGTTGTTTTGTGCATGTAACATTCTAATTTTTAAATAATAAATTAATTGGGTAAATTGAAGTTTTTAATGGAGGAATTTTGATGTGGATTGATACTATTTTAAGGTTTAACTTAGGGAATAAATTTATATTTGAGATTGCTTAGAGTTAACCACATGCTTAGGCACTTGATTATAGGCTAAATTGGGCCAAGAGACATATAAGAGTGTTAATTAGGATCCAAAATATGTTAATGGGTCGAATGGGGCCCAAAAGGGTATTTTGGGCCAAGATGTTTGACAATACACGAAGGTGCAGGTCACAGATGTAACCCCAAAACAAGACCATTTGGTTTAGGGGTCATCCACACATGGACAAGTTTGCACTTGTCTCAACTTTGCATGGACAAGGCATTGTTAAAGTGTCCTTGTTCTGTAAAATTTAACAAAACATGAGAGGGAGAAGGAAAATCAAAAAGAGATTGTATTTGACTCTACTAGAGCATGAGAATCCAATGATCTAGAGGTGTTTTCAAGTCGTGCAACCACTTTAATTGAGCTCTTAGTCCTCTAAATAATCATTCTACATAGTTTTCTTTATGATTTGGGAAGATTTTCATATTTGGATTTTCTTATAGATGATCAATCCAAACCTATGATGATTTATTATGCTCATCCACATTGCTAGGAGTGTATTAAATGATATGGACCATATATTTGAAGTTAGAACTTGAATTTAGCAATTTTGAGTGGAACCAGAAGTCTTTGAGATTGAATTTGAAAATAAATCTGAATTGTTGGGGTGTTTTGTTATGCCTAAATGCTCGTTAAACGTAGATAAATGTTATTAAGATGTTATAATGGTGATTTAATGCATAAGAACAATTTTTTATTTTTTGAAATATTTTTGGACAAATTTTTAAATATGTGATGATAAAATATTGATATTGGAAGTAATTTGAGAATTTATTTATAGTTTATAAATGTAAGAGGATTTTAAAGAGAATTTTTAGGAGGGTCAAGTGAGTACTAACCTTAATTTAGTGCTATTGTGGCTTCAAGCCTAAACTTTCTAACTATAAAATTAGAGTTATTTATTGACTTTAATATTTGATACTATGAAATGATTGTGTAGACTGTATTAATAAAAAGAGCGATAAAAAGGGGTTGTGACGGTTGTCCAAATCATAAAGTAACCACTATTAATATGCGATTATGTGTGCGTTATAATTGACTATGTGTAATTTTATCTTATTTGAAAATTATGTTGTATTTGGAAAAGTATTTGTCATGTGAGATGCTATATACATATTTATATACAAACATATACATTGTACAACATGAAATCTTGTTTTCATAAGCATGAAAAGTGTTTGAATATATTTTCTTGTTTGAATATGTTCTAATATGCATGTGTTGCTAGGTTTGAAATAAATATAAGTTGGTGATTTTTGTTTGAAGATAATATACCATGTGGTATGCCCTTATTAGACTCAATGAGTGGCATTTAGCTTAGACAGACTTATATTTGGTTGGGTTTGTTGTCTATTGGCATGGTGTGAGGGAGGATACATGATGTATTATACATTTTTATTTACATTGTTTAGATAAATTGTGTTTGGAAACCTATTGTAATATGCCCACTTTACAAATGCATTATTAATTGCATCACATGTATCATTGTATATTAATTATGGTTACTAGGACTTTTAAATCTCATCTTTTATGGTTAAAATTTTTACAAGAATGGATTCGACTGAGGAAACACTAAAGGCGTGATTTTAGTGCATGAGACACCACTTTTTACGTTGCTTCTTTATTTGATTGATGCTATATATATTGTGCCAATTTAAGATATATATTATTTTGTAGGCCATGTACACTAAAATTTTGATTTGCTGCATCTATATGGTCAAGAGGATTTTGTTTGTTCCTCTTCGCTCTTTACTTGATTTGAATAATGTACCATGAGAATTATGCTTATCTCTCATGGCCATATATTCGACTTTTATGTTTGACCATGAGGATTATATCTATCTCTCATGGCCCTAACTGCTTTTTGAGATATTGGTGATATTGTCAAATTTGTTTGTAATTATTGAGTAATTAGTAAGGTTGTATGAATGTGATCATGTCGTGATCAAGTATGCACCCAAGAACTATTCCTGGCTAAGGCTAAGTTTGAAATGTTTGTCAATATTATTCACACCCATCTTGGGTATTGTTGTTGTTGTTAAATAACTTATTGTTTGAAAAGTATTAGTGACTTAACCATGATTTATCTTATACCGATTGGAGTGTACACTTGAGTTACGTTGTTGTCTCAAAAATTTGTGTTTATAAATTGTTTGAAATTTTGTCACCTTATGAGTCATGTTTCTGTGCTTAATTAAAATCTTAAAACCATTACTTGATTTGAATGTTAGCATCTTTTATGGGATTCCTCGATGTAAATTGTTTTCCATTTTTTTCTAGTAGGTATAACTTACTATCACTGATATTCTAATTACCATAATAGAGTTTAAATATTATGTTAATTTTTTTTATTATGGGAGATCTTTTCTACCATGATAGGTTATTTATGAAATAATTTATTTATATGATAAACTCTTTCTTGCCATGGCAGGCATTTTTTTTTATCATGTTAAAGTGTTTAATAACTTATCCGTCTACAAAAGATAGG